CCCTCACTGCCCCCAACGAGCCCGTCGACCTCACCATTCACTTCGAGCAGGGTGTGCCCACCAAGCTTGTTGCCCCCGGCAAGGAGTACACCGACCCCGTCGAGCTCTTCTACGCTCTCAACAAGCTCGGCTATACCCACGGTGTTGGCCGTATCGATATTGTCGAGAACCGCTTCATCGGCCTGAAGAGCCGTGGCTGCTACGACTGTACGGGCTCCTGCTTTACACCCGGCTTGAGAATTAATACTGACTTCTTGACTAGCTCCTGCTATGACCATCCTGCGCGATGCTCACCTTGACCTTGAGGGTCTTGTCCTCGACGGCCAGGTCCGTGCTCTGCGTGACCAGTTCGTCACCCACAACTGGTCTATCCAGCTCTACAACGGCCTGTAAGTATCTCGGCAAGCAGTCGATGTTATCGTGCAATGTTCAAATGATACTAACTGTCCCATAGCTACTTCAGCGCCGAGCGTGAGTTCATCGAGAACAGCATCAAGTTCAGCCAGAAGGTGAGTTATCGCATTCATAGGAAAATATCCACGTCATCAGTCCTAATTTGTTTCGCAGCGCGTCAACGGCGAGGTCCGCGTCCGCCTGTACAAGGGTCACACTTACATCCTCGGTCGCTCCAGCAGCACCGAGAAGCTCTACTCCGCCGAGGAGGCCTCGATGGACTCCCTGGAGGACTTCGAGCCCACTGACACCACTGGCTTCATTGCCATCCAGTCCATCCGGTTGAAGAAGTACGGTCTCCAGAAGGCCGAGGAGGGTGAGAGCCTGAGCCGTGCTTAGGCGTGAGGCATGATTTGTACGATTGATAGGGATTTTCATGGGGCATTTTCTAAAAAAGGACATAAAAGTAACACTTAATGAATAAGCACAATTCTAGACCGAATCTGAATACCTTAGCGTTTTTGTGCTGCTTCCCTGGAGCAAGTCAGAAGACTAGATACGGTACATCTCCGAGGATTTTCCTGATGTAGTTAGACCTATGAGTACGAATAAAGACCCGCGGGGCATGCACGTGACCCAGCTGACAGGGTCACGTGAATCAGGGTCTGGCTGCGGATCGGCGATTGTTGGCTGTTCCACTGGATGAATGAATGTTCCCTTCACTGGTGGATATTCCTGGATCAGACCCGATTACTTACTAAGTTAGCCGTGAAGTGTTCGTGTTCCAGGCACAGTATGTGGAGTATACATAGGGTCGTATTCCACCAGGGTGTCTCTGCTCACAGATGACGGAAGAATTAGCTGCAGGATTACACCGTTCCGGAACAAAGACCGGTCAGGATGGTGATGTTACATGTGTTCGAATGATTAGGGTACCACAGTCCCCTCTCCCCAAACTGGGTCGTTGTGTAATGATCCATGTTATTACTAGATTAACCAGCATAATGCAATCGATAGCCACTCGCTTTCTTCTGCCGCCAGTGTCATCTCTTGTCAGTAGCCTGGACTAACTTGCAAACCACGAGTCTAGCCCAGTGACCCAGAAAAGTTACTCCGCTATTATTAGACATATAAGACAAGCGGGCGCTAACCCGCCTCTTCTCTGGCGGGCTTTATTGATTGCGAGATCATCAGGCCTCATCAGGGTCACTTACTCTCTCTCTCTCTCTCTCTCTCTCACTCACTCTCGCACGTCTCTCGTTCACACTTGTTCGCTCGTTTTATCTGATCCCCCGGTTCCCCTATCTACCCCTATCCCCTCATCCCCTCACCTCGTCCTCCTAATCCAGAAAAGAATAAAAAAGAAAAAGAAAAAGAACCCACCGTCGATGCGCCACTCCACCGACAATGTGGTGGTCATCACGTTTTCTTAACGTTCTGATCGCCTGTACGGCCGCCTCCGTCGTCTCGGCCACCCGCCTGATCGAATCCAATGCGCTGAGTCTCTGCCAGAACAGCCCGAACTTCACAGCCACCTACTTCAGCGTCCGCTTCACCCCCAACAACCGCTCTCTCGCCCTCAGTTTCGACGGCGTGGCCGCGATCTCCGGCTATGTCACCGCAGACATTGTCGTCAACGTCTATGGCTATGAGCTGACCACCGAGTCCCTGAATCCGTGCACGATGAACCTGGCCGGTCTCTGCCCCATGAACGCGGGGAACATCAACGTCCCGAACGCCAACATCGATATCCCAGAGAACGTCGTCAAGAGGATTCCAGGTTGGTTTCTCGCCTGGACCCAGCAATCTGCTGACTCCGTGGAGGTGCTAGCTTTGGCGGGAACTAACGGGGCATTAGGAATCGCGTACACCGTCCCGGATCTGGACGCCTCCGTTCGCATTTACATCAATTCCACCGACGCCGGCGGGGAGAGTATCGCCTGCATCGAAGCGAGCCTGTCGAACGGGAAGACCGTCTACCAGAAAGGTGTGGGATGGGCCACGGCGGTCATATCGGGGGTCGGCTTGATCGCATCGGCGGTCACGGCCAGTCTGGGCAATTCCAACACCGCCGCCCACGTCGCCGCTAACGTTCTGTCGTTCTTCGGATTCATGCAGGCGCAGGCCATGTTCGGGATGATTTCCGTGCACATGCCGCCCATCGTCGCCGCCTGGACGCAGAATTTCCAGTGGAGCATGGGGATCATCCGAGTGACCTTCCTGGAGAAGATCTGCACCTGGTACCAGCGCGCCACGGGCGGCACTCCGAGCACGGTGCTCTCCGAGCTGTCGACTGTGTCGGTGGAGGTCATGCGGCGCAGGAAGCGCTCGATCGCGGGGGCCGCCGTCAACCTCTTCAAGCGCGCCGACGGGCAGTCGGCGACCGCGAAAACCGGCACGGTCGTCGTCCGCGGCATTAAGCGCGTTGGGTTCACGGCCCATATCGAAGGCACCAACATCTTCCTGACGGGGCTGATTTTCTTCGTCTTTTTTGTTGCGGTCGTGATGATCATCGTCGGCGCCCTGAAGGCGGCCTCCAAGCTGCTGGCGCGGTACGGTAAGATCCGCCACGATCAGTTCGCCGACTTCCACGTCTCCAAGGGGATCCTGTATCGGATGGTGCAGATCGGGTTCCCGCAGATGTGTGTTCTCTGCCTGTGGGAGTTCACGCAGCATGATTCGGCCGCGGAGGTCCTCCTAGCCGCGGTGATGCTGCTGTCCGTGATCGGGGCCCTGGGCTGGGCGGCGGTCAAAGTGATCCTCATCGCGCGGAACTCGGTGGGGATGCATCGCAACCCGGCCTACATCCTGTACTCGGACGAGGCCTGCCTCAACAAGCTGGGGTTCCTGTACGTGCAGTACCGCGCGACGGCCTACTACTTCCTGGTGCCGGCGATGAGCTACATCATCCTCAAGGCGATGTTCATTGGCCTGAGTCAGGCGGCGCCGATCGTGCAGACAGTGGCCCTGGTCATCATCGAGACGCTGATGCTGATCGGCATCAGCATACTGCGCCCCTGGATGGACCGCAAGACCAACGGGTACAACATCGCGATCGGGGCGATCAACTTCGTCAACGCGATCTTCCTCCTGTTCTTCTCGCAGGTGTTCGACCAGCCGGGGATCGTCACGGGCGTCATGGGGGTGATCTTCTTCGTGTACAACGCGGCCTTCGTGCTGGTCCTGCTCGTGCTCGTGCTCGTCACCTCGGCCTTCGCCATCTTCTCGAAAAACCCGGACCTGCGCTACCAGCCCATGCGCGACGACCGCGGCTCGTTCATCAAGTCGCAGAGCCAGCTGGGGATGACGGAGCTGGACGCGTTGGGCTCGACCGCCCGCGGCGAGAGCCCGCTGAAGCGATTCTACATGGCTGGCGAGGGAAACGTGTCCTCCAGTGCCACTGGTCTGGGGGGCGGAGGCGCGGGTGGAGGAATCCCCGGCAGCCGCAGCCGCGACAGCATTCCCAGCCATCGCAGCTCCGCCTCCCCAACCACGCGCTCCTCCCTCGTGCCCAGCACCGCAAGGGGCCCCAGTCCCGTGGGGCAAGCGGAATCTCCAGCTGCGGATGGAGCCTCCGGACGCGCCAAGCATGTGAACGCATGATCTCTCTTTGTTTTTTTGTCGTGTGATGGAGTTCCCAATTGACGATTTAGCTGATTTGATTTGATTGAGATGGGATGACGGCGTTAAAATTCGAGGTTTGCTGGGATCTTGCTTGGGCTTCTACACATGTTGGTATTCGCTTTTTCGAATCTGAAAAGTCGGTGCTCAATGGCATTTCTTCGTAAATCTTTCATAGCGGATGGTAGTAATGGGCCATTGCAGAACAGGAGCCCTGTCAATCTCCAAGGCACCCTAGGATCGATCCATAGGAGCGAAGAGAAGGCTACAGAGAACCAATGCCTAAAGATAGGTGGAATCAGGACAAATCAGAGTAATCAAAGAATGAGCAACTGGTCCACCGCTTGACCAGTCCTTCCAAGTAAGTTAAGCCCACAGCTTTCCTTCCGCATCTCGCAGTCTAATGTATTCAACGGTCACTGCGGATGGGTGTATTATAAGGAAACCGAACTAGACAACTTTATGTGATGAGGACGAACTCAAATATTAGCATCAGCCCAGACAGTTGTCATTAAGGCTCTATATCCTGCACACGCCTCGCGAAGACCATCAGCATTGTCACCCCGTGTGAATCATCCATGCCGTGGTACATAAATTTGGACCTTAACCTCTATCATGACGCACAATTGGAGTACAGTACCTCCTGCTGAATCCTACGTAGGCATTGCCGCCTCGGATAATGACAGATAAATTCGAGATCAGATACCGAGTTCACGAGATCAACAAGACGCACCAGCATGGCACTGCATGGCACTGCATGACACTGCAAGCTCTGCTGAGAGACGAAAAAGGCCACGCAACAATGCTTCAGATGTCATTACAACCCATACGCAGACAGAAATCTTCGAGTCGACCAAACTGCTATCTTTCTCGAAAGAAAAGCGTAGGCACGCCATGACAGCGATACTACCACAAGTATGTACTGTATGTGCAGCACTACAACTACAACCAGCATACCCCCGGTCCCCTTTCCCAGACCCCTCAAACCGCAAGCCTTCGTGGAAGCCCTTCCCAGACTTGAAAATAATACCAGTCTCGCGCACGACAAGATCGCATCAGCAAAGCCAAACATCTTCAGGACTGCTCACTGCTCCTGCTCCTTCGGATCCGTCGCATCCTGGCCCGGATTCGCCTCGGGGTAGTTGAACGCCTTCGCGAAACGATAGTACCCGGCCGCCAGGAGCGCGCCCATCAGCGGCCCGATCCAGTAGATGTAGTGGTATCCCGGGAAGCTGGCGGCCGCGACGTCGGGGCCGAATGATCGGGCCGGGTTCAGGGAGCCGCCGGTGAAAAACACTCCTACATCACCAACCATTCTCATTAGATCACTTCTCCTCAGCTTTATGGGGGAGGGTAACGGAGGGAAGAAGGGCATGTGGCTTACCAGCCAACTCCGCCACAAACAGCGCTAACCCAATCCCTACCGGCGCCAGGAACGTAGCATTATGCTTCTCGGCCGCCAGCATCAGGATCGTCACGATCAGCAGCGCCGTCAGAAACATCTCGATGAAGAGGCCCTGCGTGATGGAGGTGTCGGCGTTCAGCCGCGTCTGCACGGCGGTGATGGGCCCGGGGAACATGCAGGACACCAGGGCGGCGGCGACGATGCCGCCTAGGATCTGCACGGGGAGGAGGAAGGCGCAGCGGAGCCAGGGCATTGTGCCTGCCAGTGAGAGGCCGAGGGTTACCTGCGCCCGGAGATTAGCAGAACTTAGGGTTGGTCGGTTTGTGGCTACGACTGGGTATTTGGGGAGAGGCGGAGGGGGAGGGGGGCGTACAGCTGGATTGAACAGCCCGCCGGAGATCCGGTAGAAGGCCCAGGCCACCACAAGGAGGGACATGCCGAAGCTCAGGGAGATGTAGAGTAGGCTCTGCGGGTTGATGGCGTCGCTGTCGCTGGTCATCGCGGCCACTTGCGTCCCTGCGAAGGCGAACCAGAGGAATAACACGGTCCCTACGAACTCGCTTGATGCGGCGAGGAGGTGGTTTTTTAGGGCTTTTCTTCCTTTGTGTATGGCTTGTTCGTTGTTGGTGGGTGGTGGTTGTTGTTCCACGTCTGTGTTTTGGTTTGAATTCTGCATGGTTTTGAGGGGCGAGGAGGATATTCGGGGTCTAATTTGGGGTGGGCTGGGGCTTGGATAAGGCAGAAGAGGGTGTAAGCTTGTAAGCTGGTGGCTCTTGTGATTGTCGATGTTTTCTTACTATATCTTTACATTGGGATCTGTTCATCAGGACGGTGAGTTGGGAAGGAGTATGATATAGTGGATGTCAGTTCTGGATCGATGAGGATGCTGTATCAAGCGTCACGATGACAGCATGCGAGAATTGAGGAAGAAATAAGCGAGTAAGGATATCACCCCCATGGATTGAGTTTGTGTGTATGCTAGCAATGTGCACCTAGATAAATTGGAAACAGGAATCAGGGTCCGATCGCATCTCCATCAACCCAATCATCGATTTCACGTGAGTAGGAATCCTTTGGCGACAGTCCAAATGAAATCTTCAAGATGCTCGAATCAAGGTCGAAAAAGATGAAGTATTCTGGGCAGGATTCTGATATCTAATCATCCGATACTCACAAAATTACGCAACTCTACCAAGGCCTGATGTCTGGGGTATTGGTAACTAGCACGATTGGATCGCCGTGGCGGCTCAGTTACCAGCCACAAGGCGTTCTGGAATCGGGCTTCCAGTCCTTTGGATCTCTATTGAATAAAGTTTGCGGGGTGTGTGATTGACAGGTGTCTACCACGTGAGGATATCCGATCCGCTTCGAGGACATCTGGTAATGGGTGACGTGAGCATTACAGCTTCGATCTCAGCGTATCTTCCTATTCTGAGAGTGTGCCAACATAGTGGTCTGCGAGTGTCCCATTCTTGGTACCTTGGTCTGGGTGGCGAATATGGGCTTGATCATTCGCTGGTGGAACTTGCCGTAGCCAGAATATACGGTGAGGATCTATAGTTTAGTCCTGCATGTCATATAGTAGCCGTGTTATCTTGCAATCCCAAACCCCCTGGACAGCACACCTTATCTTGACCCTTTCAAGTTTTGCCATCTATCCCCAAATGGATAGTCCATTTCTGATACGGATCTACGAACTGCCTCTGAGCACCAACGTGAACGTCACACCTTTCATTGTTATTAGCTGGCTGATCAGAACCGACTAAGTGTCATCCTTGAAAAGCAACCACATCCATAACTCGTCGGCTAAACAGGTCGCCCTCGCTGCGGATATTGTCGCAAGCCGAAGAGCACTTCAGCCACTGAATCCCCTATCATAGATAGATGTCTCGCAAGATCAAAACTTGAGAGATCGACAGTCACAACCTCATTCAAGCTGGACTTTCGCGATGTAGCAAAGGACACATACAAAAAAGTCCAGGAAGAGATCCGGGGTTATGGGTCTACCGATCTGTAGAAACCTGCCTCCAGGTAGTCCAGAAAGGAACGGCATATTTACCTGCCAGTGAGTCCCTTCATGCTCTATTGGTCTGCATATGCTGGACCGATGGAAGTGGTTAGCGGAGGACTACCAACAATGGCACCTATAGTTGCGGATGATAGATGGTTATGAATTACTTAATCCGCAAGTAGAAGCTACTGGTGAGCATCAATCAGAGGCATCATTTCAAAGATCACCCCCGGATTTAGAAAGTAATAATACACTATTCTTAGGTATCGAAGCAGTGTGCACCGCATTAGGCGAGCGGGCGGAACTGGCAGCCAAACGCCTCAGTACTTACTTGACTCCTACCCGCCTACCATCTTCCCCCCTGACTCAAAACGTTTCAACCCATCCAACTCCTGATCAGACCACCTCACATCCCTCTTCCACCATGAAGAGCACAGACAACCACACCCCATGCAGTAACATAGCCGATAGCCGAATTCGCAATCGATGCGGGGTTCCTGTCACCCGCAGCCATTGGCTACAACCCGGCCAAGGAGACGCAATCCCCGCCGATCATGCTGCTTATCAGCCGACTCCCGATAGACGACGCAGTCAGTGCATGTATACACGGCGCATGGCAACAGTGCGGGGATGCAGACGAGCGGCTTTAAATTGAGCTCACCCGTCACGTCCGCAGGTTACTGCTCAACCCCCCTTGGGCATTGTCCAGCACCTCTCAACCTCAAGTGAAGTGTTTACCGTCCCAGCCAACCCCAAGATGGCCCCCAAACGCCCCAACTTCCTCGTCGTCGTAGCCGATGACCTGGGCTACTCAGACATCGGCTGCTACGGCGGCGAGATCCGCACCCCGAATTTGAATCGCTTGGCGGAGGAAGGTGTGCGGTTCACCGATTTCCATGCCGCAGCAGCGTGCTCGTCTGTCATCCCCTTCCTTTCTTTCTCTCGTACTGTCATGCTGTTTTTATTGTCTTGGCATAACGCTGACAGTCCGATACAATAATTTACAGCCCCACCCGCGCCATGATCATGACGGGAACGGACCACCACATAGCGGGCCTCGGCAACCTAATCGAGTGGACCAACATCACCGGCCAGAACGGGCCCAAGGGGTCGCAGATGTCCACCGCCCCGCAACGCGGAATGCCGGGCTACGAAGGCTATCTCAACGAGCGCGTGGTCGCGCTGCCCGAGCTCCTCCGCGACGCCGGCTACCACACCCTCATGGCCGGCAAGTGGCATCTGGGGCTGACCCCGGACCGCGCCCCCTGTAAGCGCGGCTTCGAGCGGTCGCTGGCGCACCTCCCAGCTTGCTCGAACCATTACGCGTTCGAGCCGCAGCTGGCCGGGGCGGATGAGACGCCGACGTTTTTGGAGGCGAGCTTCATCGCGTTGCATATGGAGGATGACCAGTATGTCAAAAAGTTGCCGGAGGGGTGGTACTCGTCCGATGGGTACGGGGACCGGATGTGTCAATACCTGCGGGAATGGCATGAGCGGGAGGATGATGGTGAGGGGGAAGGGGAGGAGCAGCGGAGGCCGTTCTTCGCCTACTTGCCTTTCACGGCGCCGCATTGGCCGCTTCAGGCGCCAAGGGAGTATATCGAGCATTATCGCGGGGTGTACGATGAGGGGCCGGATGTGCTGCGGCAGAAGAGATTGGAAAGGTTGAAGGCGTTGGGCATGATTCGCGAGGATGTGGAGGCGCATCCAGTCGTGGCTGAGGGTGAGGTCAAGCCGTGGGAGGAGTTCACTCCGGAGGAGAAGGTGTTATCCTGTCGCGCGATGGAGGTGTTTGCTGCGATGGTCGAGTGTATCGATGCCAATGTCGGGAAGGTGGTGGATTATCTGGAGTCCATCGGCGAGCTCGACAACACCTTCGTCTGCTTTATGTCGGACAACGGCGCGGAGGGGGCCGCGTACGAGGCCTACCCGATGGTGCAGAGTGGCGTGATGCCGCATCTGCAGAAGTACTACGACAACTCGCTGGAGAATCTGGGGAATTACAACTCGTTCATCTGGTACGGTCCGCGGTGGGCGCAGGCTGCGACCGCTCCCTCAAGACTTTACAAAGCCTACACGACGGAAGGCGGCGTGCATGTGCCTTTCCTGGCACGGTTCCCGGCTTCGGTGCGCGCAGCGGCGGACCACGTCAAGAACGGTAGCATCACGAATCAATTCGCTACGGTCATGGATCTGGCCCCGTCGATCCTGGAGATGGCGGGCGTGACGCACCCAGCGCCACTCTATCAGGGACGGGAGGTCGTGCCGATGCGAGGGAAGTCGTTTTATCCCTGGGCGACGGGCGAGAATTCCCGCATTCACGAGAAGGAATTCATCCAAGGCTGGGAAACGTGTGGTCGGGCGGCATTGCGGTTCGGGGATTGGAAGATCGTCTATATTCCCAAGCCGAAGGGGCCGGAGCGATGGCAGCTGTACAACCTGGTCGAGGACCCCGGCGAGATCCACGATCTGGTCGAGGAGCATCCTGATCGATTGAAGCAGTTGCTGAGATTATGGGATCAGTATGTCATAGAAACCGGCGTGATTCCCTTGAGCCCTGACTTGGGCGAGTTCCTGGAAGCGACCGAGGCGCAGATGCCGGAGAATGCGTGGATGGAGTACGACTACTGGAAGCAGGGGGCCAGAGACGACCCGAAGAAGTTCATGAGGCAGCCTCCTCGGTTTCAGCGGGTGGTTAAGCAGTTCTGAGGGAGCACCTCGGTGTTGGCTATGAGCCGTATACACATATCTAAGTGCAGTTTTCATCCTTCCATGCATTAAAGAATATCTCCAGTGGAGCTCAACCCAGTGTCCTACCATCAAATCGACTCCCTCAAACAGCCAGAACCCCTCCCCTGAAGATGATACGGCCGCGCTACGCAATCAGGGAACGATTCAATAAAAGGCGCAGCCGCCTCCAGCAGTAGCTGCCTCCTCCAAGCCCCCGGCTTCTCAGCCCCAGCCTTCGTACCTTCATCCTGGACCCGACGTAGCCCACCCCTCTCCCTCAAAGCCACCGACCCCCTAACCTCAGGACGCTGACAAGCCCCCAACTCCCCCTTCTCACGCCGCACACGCAACCGCTCCCTCGCCAGCCGCAGTCTCTCCAGCGCCCGCTCAAACTCCCATTCCTTCAGCCGCACGCTATTACTATACTGAAACCCAAAGACCCGATCCCACTCCGACGGCCTCTCATTCAGATACACATAATAATAGAACTCACTCCGCTGCATGCGATCCTCCCCACGGATCTCGGCGTGTGATCGCCGCCGCCGAAGCAGCATTTGCGTGAGATTCCGGACGTACAGGGGGAAGACATTCGGCGAGGTGCGGAAGAACATTCGGTCTGAGTTGCTATCATCATCGTCGTTGTCGTCGTCGAGGGATAGTGATAATGTCCGGCGAAGGGTATCCCGCGCGTAATGGAAGCTTATCGGCTGACCTGCAGTAGGACCAGCACCAGCACCAGCACCAGCACCAGCACCAGCACCAGCACCAGCACCAGTACCAGTATCAGTATCAGCACCAGCACCAGCCGCCGCTGCCGCACGAGTAAACTGGATGTCCGATACAGCCGGATGCAACGTCCCCGCCGTATAGGCAAAGAACAGATCTTTCTTCCCACCCTCCCTCTGACGGTAGATAACCACCCTCATCCCCCGCAACCCGGTCACCCGATCCAACTCCAACAGCCCCCCGTCCCAGTACGTATCCTTCCCGCTGGCCGGCGGGAACGCCAGCACCATTTCTACAGACACGGAGCGGAGGTTCGGGCAGGCGAGGCTGACTAACGCGAACGTCTCGTGCCACTCCGCGGCGTGCGTCTCCATGCCCTGTGACTGCGGGAGGAAGAAGGCGAGATGGCGGATTGTCTGGATCTGCGGGCGAGTGAGGCAACTGGTGAAGTTGGCAAACGCCTCGGTTTCTTGGGTGCGGAAGAGCGGGGCGCTGTAGGCGTAGTCGTGGGTTTCGTGGTGGAGTTGGCGGTTGGTGAGGAGGAGGGCGTAGCTGGGTTGGTAGTGGGGTTTGTTGAGCGTGGTGGGGGATGGATTGTGGGGGGAGGGTAGGGGGGTTCTGGCTTGGTCGACCCTGAGTGGGTTGGTGGTGGTGCGGTCGGGCATGGGTTTGCGTTGGATGGTGATGGGTTGGGTGGTGAAGCAGTAGGTGTAGATTATTTGGCGGAGTTCGGGGGGGAGGGTTAGGAGGGTCGGTTTGGGGCTGTTTGGGTTAGATGGGTTTCCGAGGGGTGAGAGAGGGGATGAGTTACTCGGGGAAGGAGAGCGGGGATGGGTTGGGGTGTTGAGGGCTTACCGGGGGGAGTCCATTAGGGCTGGGGTGATGCGGTTGAAGCTGTTGTGGTAGCTGTAGATCTTCGGTCGAGGGATAAACACAGAAGAAAGATCATGTCGCAATCACGTTGGAGGCTGATGGCTGCTTACTCGGCGCTAATGACGCTAAGGTTCTTAGATGGTAGCTAATGTTTATCTAGCACTGTATATCATTTGCTCCAGTCTGGCTTGTATGTAAGAGATAAGTAGATATGAATTCCGGGATCAGTAGAGGTTTGATTTCTCGGGCTTACCGACTATCTATATTGAGATGTAATATTTTTATTGTCAGAACCTGAAAATACAGTGCTTATATGGGTCCTAGGATATATAGGTAGATCTTGACTCTTGAAAAAACCACCATATTGAACTAGCTGACTCGTTGAACGTATATACTGTTGTTTGAAAGATGATTGATTACAGGAGATGGAGAGCATTAAGTTGGGGTTGGAATTTACATGTAGAACCAACCGTACCTAGTAGAGCACCAAAAGTAAGGCGGAATGCCCTGAAATTCCTTGCGACAACGTCATATGTGTGAACAAGCAGAGAGTTCAGTGAGGACCATAAATGCCTCTGGGAGCACTTATATCTCCAGACTTGAGGTCACTGAGTCAGGCATCCAATTCCAATTTCAGCTGAACAGGCAACAATTGTATAAATGAAGTAGATCGGCATGCTACCAGCCCAGAAGGGCTAGATCGAATTACGGACACATTTTACTCCACTCTGATGCCGGCAACCCGATCAGATTTATGTGTATCTACATGTACCGTACGTATTGAGTATATATTGTAAGTCTGTGAAATGATCCAGGATTCGCAGAATCAACAACACCCCCAATCTCGGCCTAGTATTCTAATAGTCCTGGTCCAACTGAGACAATCCCTAATTGGTTTATTAACCTTAAGGAAATAGCATCCTCTAATTGTTGTAAAAGATATCTAATACTTTATTTCTGCTAGTTCAGACTACTCTTAAGTATTTTTCTTCTATTTAATACTTACTTCTGATTTTCTTATCTTAAACCTCATATAATCTGTCTATCAATATATCCAACTTAGCACGGAATACCGGATTGTACAATTTACCCCCTAAGATCTTTAAATCAACCTTTATATACCTGGATCTTAATTTGATTAAGGCTCTCTGCTTAGTTGACCAAAAGCTGGCCGAGAAGTACATCAGATTCTAATTTCTAAAATATATCTAACAGCCTGTTTTTAATATCTTACTATAAAATCTCTGCTCTCTCTATATATTAATATATAATCCTATACTTAGTAAAAAATCTACTCACTTATATTTTTTACTACAACTATAAATCTTCTAGATTAGATAAAGATATTAAATCTAAAAAGTATATAGTACAGAAATTCAAAAAGCTTAGAAATATTGTTTCCAGGACTAAGATCAGATTTATACCAAAGTGTTGTACAATACCTGTGGCATGCAGCCGCCAGCTCTCATTCCGACACTGATGTTGTTGCTGATTCGTCGGGCTTCCAATCCGGGTTCTTAAGTCAGTATGAAGCTGACCCCTCTTTTCCAAGATGTATATAAGCACTCAAAATCCTTAGGGGGATTGGGAAACCCCAAGGATTAGTCTTGCAATTAATAGGAGACTACTTTTAACTGCTTTTGCCTTGCCTAACCAGCGTGTACCTCAATGGGGCATGCCAAGGGTCCTACTAGATAGACTTAGGTAAAAGGTGGTAGTCTAGTCTACGTGTAGAAACTGACCGATGTTACTAACCTATAAGAGGGCGACTGATACCAATTGAGGTCTTGATGTTCTTGGTTCTCGCCCTAAAGGGTCCCAGAGATTTCAGGGACCGGATTCGACTTTTCCTGATCTGGTGCAGACTCGACCCCACCGAACTCAGGGATCGTTCAATCATTCCATTTTCTCGTGCAACCAGAAGATGTTTTTCTACCTTACACCTTCCCGGTGACTCCGGAGTGGTGGCATGCAATCCGGTCGACGAGAACTTTTCGTGTTCAGCAGAAAACTTTTCATTGTATGTGGGGTTGGAGCGAGAATTCCGAAGTATCACTGGTTTGTCGAAGCCGATCTGCTCTTTGTTTTTTTTTTTTTTTATTTCTTTGTAGGGAATCATGACAGTCTGACACCTGTGCAGTGACAGGCATGCTTCCTTGGGTATGCTCCGATGTACTGTACATCTGTTTACCGAGAAGACCCTTGGCTCGGGTGACGGGACAGAAGCACGCCGAACCTTGGGTTGGTATACTGGAACGTCAAGCGCCTGTTTTGAACTGATTGATTTAGACTCGAGACTCAATAACAAGAGAAGCTATTCAGGGGTTAACTCGACGCCTTCGAGCTAAGGTGGGATTTATCCCAAGTTGATCCTCCCCATGTCAGATCGCAGTACCCTTCAGGCCAATGTGACTATTAGATACCATTGTCGTAATTCGATATCATGTTGCCGAGTATAGTGGGCTATCCCGGTTTACTAAGGCCGCTCTGAGCCCTCTCCCAGTGCTTCTATAGCAGCATAAAAGACCTCATAGATTGAACGCAAATTTGTAGACATCGCGGACTTTGGTTAGTCTTATTCTTAGTCTAGATACAAGATCAGTTGTGGCACAAGTTCTCTCATCTTCATATCTGATACCGTGAGGTCGCTTGATGCCTCGCAGATGATAGAAGAGCGATGATAGATCTAATCGAGCTGCGGAGATCACGATGGTACTAGATGGCTTGGCTCCAAGTTGTTGCACTGGCTAGTTCTGCCAGAGATAGTGTATGCAAGAGAACTGCTAATCTTTGCGTTGTCCGTCAATCTTTGACTGTGGGACCCGGATTGTGGTCAGGAGAGTATCTGCATCCTGTCAGCCATTTCGGCGATATTGACTGTACGTAGGCAAGGAAAAGGTACAATGTTTTCTGGGAAATTAGAGCTGAACTATTCACTGTCGACTACGATGGCGTCTACGGGACACACCGGACGATAGAAAAGATCAAATGCAATCGACTAACAGCTAAAGCCATATATCAAGCAGAAAGTACATTTTGGTACAGGGGCAGCAAAGCAAAGTAAAGCAACCATCTTCAACAGCTCACCCTCGACCAATCACATTCCTCTTCACATTCACCCCAGACATGACCATCCTCCATCCATCTTTCTTCGGCATCTGCACTGTCAACTTGAGATTCTCCCGCGGGAAAAGCGTCACATAGTTATCAGACCAATAGACCGGCGCGAGTTCCTCGGCCGCGTCCTCTTGCTGGCTCGCCGCATCGACGACCGTCAAATGCATAAAGAAAGCCGGGACATCGGCCTTATTTTCCAGCGTCACTTCCAGGGTCGACCCATTCTCTCCCTTCTGCTTGACGATCACGCTCGCCAACACACTCGCCGTCCGCAGAGTGCTCAACCCGGTGAAGTCCGCGTACCGCGAGACCGGCGTGGTGTACCAGTTCGATTTGCCCCAGTCCAGCACGTCGTTCTCCTTGGTCACCCAGTACACATTGCGACTGAGCACTGACCCATTGAGGGCATCTTTGAGCAACAACCTCAGGAACCCGACTCCCTGTAGACGGCTCACCCCGTCCGCCACTTTAGCAACGGGAACCGATGCCCCCGGGTCGGTCTCCTCCACCCCCACCACCTGCTTGTCCACTGTCTTCCCATTGGCAGCGGTGATCAACTCCACCTCCACCACTCTCTTCCCCTTCTTACCCCCTCCAGTAAAGCGGGGCCCATTCAGATTGACCACGCGCACCTCCCTGCTCACATAGTCATAGGCAACGTGCTCCCCCCGCGCAGCCGCCGTCTTCGTCCCGAAGTACGCCCCCCCTGGACGGAGGTAGTAATCGAACAACTGCCAATGTAGACTCGGCCACGCACTGTTCAGCATCCAATACACCAGTCCCGTTGCCGGGCGTGCATAACTGCTGCTGGCAGCATTCTGATTGATCGCAAACCCCTCAAACACAGCCCGTGTAGCTTCGTAGTCCATCATTTGGGTCTTCTGGAGGTAGTCCTCCAACGAGGTGGGATCCCCATATCGACGGAAGAGCGCGGTGTTGTAGATCTTGCGGGTGTGAAATTCCCCGGCACCCCGCGGGGAGAGATGATACGACCCCGTGGACGGGTGGCTCCAGAGGGCGTGGAGGTCCGCAGGGGAGAGGAACTGAGTCAAAGAGGGCAAGGTGGGCGTCCCGACGCCGGGGCCTTGTTCGGACCCGAAGCCGTAGGCGGTCCCGGACTCGGTTATACCGGGCGTGTTGTTGGAGGTCCAGTAGTTGGGAGGTACCCAGTCGTAGGGGCCGAGCATCTTCATGCCCGATGGTTCCAGGCCAGACGGATTGCCGCGAGCGGAGGCCGAGGCGACGATGGGGTTGGTCCAGTTTGTGAGTTGGAGTGCGGCAAGGTATTGCCTGGTGGCGGATTCGTCGGGCCAGTAGTCGGATCCGAGGATGAAGGCGAGGAGTGAGGGGTGCGCTTGGAGGTAGGTGGATTCGTGATACATCTGCCGATAGGCGGTTATGTAGTCCGTTGTGGTCCATTGGTGGCCTTGGCCGTCAGGGTTGTACTAAAGGCAGTTCAGGGTTAGTAGAGTGATGGCTTGTGAGGATGAATGGATGTGTTTGCTTGGAGGTGAGAAGCATCGGGAGGTGGTTTGACATACATCCCATCCTTCCCACTTATCGCAACATTCCCATCCGGCTATAATCATGATTCCCATTTGGTCGGCCAGTTGATAAAACTCCGGGTGCTCGAGCTTGCCTTCGAGCCGGATAGTGTTGAGACCCATGTCGAGGACGTAGCGGAAGATGGTGCGGACGCGGTTCAGGTCGAAGCGGAGGAAGAGGTCGGGTGCGTAGCCCGCACCTCGCACATGGAAGGGATGACCGTTGATGCTGAACGAGAGGTCCTTGTCGGGGCTGAGCTGAGAGGTTACGTGCCGGATTCCAAAGGTTGTGCGCGGTGCCCGGTCCGAAATCGTCCCCTGAGGCGTGCTCACGTTGAGCTGAACAGCATAGAGTGGCTGACGGGCCCACACGGCAGGCCACCAAATCTGCGGGTTTTGTATGGTCACAGGGAATGAGATGGTTGTGTGCTCGTTGGCGTTGAGTCGGATATTGCCTGAGAACGGGATCCGCTGCTGCATGCCAACATCTTGCTCCGTCTCGATGATCCCTTGGAAGGATGCCTGGATGGATACGTTGTTCTGGTTGGTAACATCCGTGATGACTGTCGCCAAGACTCGCTCACTGGGTGCGGTCTTGAAGTCGGTGACAATTCGAATCGGGGACAAAGAAATAGGACCTGTTTGCTTCAGCTCGATATTGCGCCAGACACCAGTGCCATTATCTGGCGGCGCTGGGTTCCAGTCTGCGAAGCCTTGGCCAAAGTCGATGGAATAGTCTGTTGGGTGAGCTTGAACGAGAAGAGCGTTTTTCCCTGAGCGGACGTGCGGCGTTATATCATACTGGTGGCCGCCAAAGCTTCCTTGTTGATAGTCGCTTGAGGCTACTTGTACACCGTTGAAGTATATATCAGCCTTGGAAGAAATGCCGTGAGTGATGAGGAAGAGATGGCCGCCCTTAGGTAGAGGTTGTAGGCCGAACTCTTCACGGTATAGCCACGGGGACTGAAATTCGGATAGATCGACGTCGTTCATGTGGTCCGAGTAGAAGAAATCAGTCTCGTTGTAGACCCCGGCTTGAAGCAAGCCGGCCATGACGGTGCTGCGTGACCCGATACGGTGCCATGAGTTCGTCGTAGCATCAGGCTGCGAGAGCTTGCTGGCTTCTTCTCGGGTTTGGATCGAAGACTGAAGATACCAGCCAGGAATCGTGACCGAGTCACCGGGAGACAGACTGAATCCATATACCAGACAGAGAAGATTCAGAAGATAGAAGGAGATTAAAGAGTACATCGTGAAATTAGTCCAACCAATGATGTTTGTCTGCGAAAACTTGTAAATGCTGGCAAAGATGGTCGAAACTCTAGATGAGTTGAAAGGAGTGTAGGAGATGATAATGAAAGGTAGAGTTGATGGGCAGCGGTGACTCAAATGTCCCGTTAGGGAGAAACGGCAAAAGATGACACCACGGTCCTACACACCATGACGTCGGTTGTAGAGAGAGATTTTTCACTGATATCAAACTGCGAACTGAAGACACGCTCTGAGTCACATGTCGTCGGTAAAGACGGTTGGACTATATTGTCGGACACCGTGTTACATCGACTGAATTTCAATTCAGCTGTGAGGTAATTGAAGCCTAGACATGAAATTATGTCCAGGCAGATTGCATGATGCTATGTGACGCAAGTTGCTAATATTTTGAGTATAGAATGACGAGACACCCTTTTCGCTGGCAGACATCCCAAAATGTCTCGTCTCTCAGATCTAGAATGGAAGATCTATATTCCCTTCAAGATCCAAGTACCCCCTTGTAGACCTCGAGCCTTGCCATTGACTAACTTCACAGCTTGCCCACGGCTAGATATCAACTGTCCAGTAGCGCCCTCAATCTCCACAGACCCTGAAGTACCATTAGGTGCAGTTAATGTCAACTGCTGAAACGTCCCGGCTGCAGATTTCTGAAATTGAGTTGCGAATAGTCCCAGGCGTGTTTCAAACCCGGCTTGAACCTCGGTGAGATTACCAGGTTGAGGCTTGAACAACCAGGTCGAGCCAGCGGGACCTGTCAGACGCAGTCCCGCCGTGTAATATGTGAGAGCGGAGGTGGGACCCGTAGACCATCCGTGGGCATGGGACACTCGCGGTGTGTTTCGATAAGGAGCATAGACCAGTGATCCATCAGTTGAGTAACCTTCAATAAAAGTGGAGTTTGTCATGCGTGGGTCATCAAGCATAAAGCCCCACTGAAGGCGCAGAAGTTCTAGTGCTCGATCTGGTTCGTTGGCTAAGTAGTGCGCTTGCAGTTCAAACCCGCCGATAAAGGGAGAGACTGTTGACCCGGCTTCAGGTGCGGGTGCTCCATAAGGCCCCCACCGTGCCGCTAGAGCAGAAGAGATAGCCTCAGATTGATTAGAAGAAAGTGTTAGATTCGCTTTGATGGCCCAAGCATTGCCGTCTTGCGGGTGAAGTGTCGTAGTCTCGTTGTCTTTGTACAAGCTATTCTGTGCATCCCAGAGACGGGCGTTGGCAGCCGCTTTGATCCTCGATGCGGCTGTGCTCCAATTGCCCACGTTGGTGCGATCATTGAGAAAGCTTGCCAGAGAGATGGCGTCATTGAGGACGTAATAAAGGATCGCATTGGCTTCGATGTTCTATAACCCATCAGTAACGTGCTATTATCAAGTGTACATAGTTTTGTGTGGGTGCTAAGGCAGACTTACATGTCCTCCCATACCGAATCGTAGCCAGTCGGCACTGGCTGTGATATTGGCAAGACCCGAATCGTCCAGGCTCGACAATGCCCATTGTAGGCCTTTCTTGTATTGTCCCCAGTAACGAGTGATCCAGCTTCGGTCTCCAGTATATTGATAATAAGACGACGCGCCGATCAGACTGTGGAGGTGGTACGTGAAGCTCACAATATCCAAGAATGGCCTGCCTGCATAAGGGAGTTGACCATTGGCCTTTTGAAGCACAAACAAAGACTCCAAGGCTGTGCGAACACTTTCCAGATCCGCAGTGCTGACTGCCGCGCTTCCTATAGCAATTGACATATCGCCCGGCCAGACCAAGCGATCACGCTTCGCTCCATCAACGAGAGTAGTACTGCCGTTGGTGATTGTGTAGTTATTCCACCAGGAGTCGGTTTGAGGCAAAGTAATATTATCGGAAGAAGATATCACGCCCAACCAAATCAAGGAGTCTCCGGTGGTGGGATCAATCGTGCAGAGCTGCAAGGTATAAGCACCTGCATACCAGATCCGATTAATAAGCTCATCGCTGCTGTGGAAGTAGCCTTTGTAGCCGCGAAGATCTTGAGTAGGAGCCGCGGTGTAGTTGATGCTGAGACCATCAAGGGATATAATGGCGGTAGAATTATTCACAAGTGTAAGGTATCGGAACGCACCCCGAAGGTGCTTCTTGTCCGCACTGTAAGTTCCTGGTCCATGGCCCACTGAGAACCAGAGAGGCGAATCAAGACCAGCATCGCTGGTAGCATCGCACGCCTCGCTGCTGATCCACAGGCTCGACTCTGTGAAAGTAACTCCAAGTTGAGCTGCTCTAGCAGAGACCGAGGTGACATCCAGAGACACTATACCAGCTATATTGCGTCCAAAATCATAAGTCACGGACGACTTGCCATGGAGAGTTGTTTGATCAGCTGTAAGACCGACGAGAGCTTCAGGATTGTCCACAGTGCCGTTGACTTGATACACCAAAGAAGGATTCAGCGTTCTTGAATGTGGGGCAAGAATATATTCTTCAAAAGGAATGGCGTGCGAACCAATGGCCAGCAAGGCCGGAGTCAAGATCCAAGATGACCATAACATGTTGACTTTGTGATGGCTTCGTCTCCATGCAATTTTGAAGCCTCCTCTCTCTGGAGCAATTCTGGCGACTATATACGTCTTTCGCGAGCGACCTTGTCCTGACATCAGGGCAGACCTGACAATCCATGGTCGGGTAAGCAAATACCGAGTGCAAGCAGACTCGGTTGAATCCCCGACCGAGAAATGCCCAACCCCAGACCCCTCAGCTTTCAAATCCTGCAGAAAGTGGAGATCATGTCATTAGGATATGGGAATCTGTGTGGGGTATGCGGCAGAGGCGGCATCTCTCCCCTGAGCTTGCCGAACCCTGTCGAGTCGAGTATAACAAGAGGTGTGCGGCGAACTTGGTAATAGATCCCTGCGTTGTAGGACAGGAATCTCTTAGACACGGTCTTTTTGGCAAGTTCCATCTCCACAGTAAGTTTTCTCACAGCGCGGTAACAAGAAGTGACATGACAAACGTTGCCGAAGAAACCCCGGAGAGTTCAGCAGGTTGCATTTCCCCGCATTCTGTGGGGAAAGTCAAATGAGGAGGTAAGGTCGGCCTGATCAAAAGATATTTAGGCAACTGAGAATCGTATAACAAACTGAGCTTGGCTCTCTTACCTGCTCCTGTCTTGACTGCAGCATGGAAGAGTTGGCCCACAACCACTATTCAGCTCCAAGGAGCGAGCTGTCTAGATCATGAATGTCCTCCTTTCTCTTGATTCCTTCGGCAGACCGAAGGTCGGGAGGCGGTGAGGGACTTTCGGCCAGGGCGGTAGAATCCTGCCGGCAGTGCCAAGTTGGAGAGTGTCTACTTTTAGTAAGAAAAGAGAAGATGGAACCTAAACAGCCACCATTCACGATGCTGGTTTCAAACAATGATCGGGATCAAAGATGCTACAAAGCCTCGCTCACTTGCACATAGTAGGAAGATTTTTGCAGAGTCTGTACAGAGGCTGAGTCTGTTTCGATCGAATATGTCTCAGTTCTTTGTCTCGTTTGGAGGGCAGGGAAGGATCCTAGGATGACTGACGTCATTGAACAAGGCGCATTCCAGATCGCTCTCGATCCGATCGGTTTCGATCTCAATTCCTTCAGCCCCCCTATCTCCACCCGGGTTTAGGCGACATTGCTTCGCGTGCTCTGAGGCCATGCTCTGGAAAAGCGCGTTAGTCTTCTCACCACAATTTTCCAATTCGCTTCGTCTTCGCACAACGCGCGTCTGTCACCTTGCCAACGCCTGTCTGGATTTTTATCCTACCATGGCTCGTCCGAAGCGCAAGGCATCTAGCAGCTCAAATGCTCGATCAGAGTCCACCAATGGCACCTCACCCGCGACCAAGCGTGGAAAGCTCGACCTGTCGCGTCCGCATCCCCATGCGAAAGACACCGAGGATTTCGGCATCGTGCTTCGAGAATACTATCCACCTGAGATGTGCAATGAGCGAGTGCATGCTTATAACGATGGAACATTAGAACGACCAATTGAGGAGCTACAAAGGTCTTACGAAGATACATTGGAGGCGCGCGAATCAGTTCAAGCTGGTTCGGCGGTGGTACACTGGTTCAAGTCCGACCTACGACTGCATGATAATCGCGCGCTGCAGATGGCGTACCAGGTGGCCCGCGAGCACAAGGTCCCACTGATATGTCTGTATATTTTGTCTCCCCAGGACCTGACAGCGCATCTCTCCAGTCCAGCACGGGTTGATCTAACGTTGCGTACGCTGGGGGTGTTGAAGCGAGACCTGAACGAGCTGGAAATTCCCCTTTACATGGAGACACAAGAGAAGCGCAAGGCGATTCCCCAGCGTATTGTGGACCTGTGCAAGGAATGGGGTGCAAGCCACCTGTTCGCGAATATGGAGTACGAAGTCGACGAGTTGCGCCGTGAGGCAAAATTGGTCCGCATGTGCGCCGAGAATGGTGTGCGGTTTGAGGCAGCTCATGATGCCTGCGTTGTCACTCCTGGGAAGCTCCATAGTCAGCAAGGCAAGCAGTATGCCGTCTATACTCCATGGTTTCGCGCTTGGTGTGCGTTTCTCAAAGAGAACCCGGAATACCTCGAGGTGGCGGAGGAACCGGGATCTAACCCTGGAGATGCTCGGAAACATTTCAAGGAATTGTTTGACAGTCAGGTGCCCACAGCCCCTGAAAACAAGACTCTATCCAGCGAAGAGAGGGAGCGCTTTCGTCAATTATATCCGGAAGGCGAGCACGAGGCTCTACAACGGCTCGAGGCTTTCCTCGAGGAGAAGGCGAGAGACTACGGTGATCAGCGCAACTATCTGAGTGGAGAAACCACGTCCGTTCTCAGTCCATATTTTGCGTCAGGCTGTCTCAGTGCACGAACAGCTGTATACCAAGCACGTAAAGCGAACAAAGGCCTCCTTGACCGTAACCAACCGGGCTACATGTCATGGATAAGTGAGGTTGCTTGGCGTGACTTCTACAAGCACGTATTGGTCCATTGGCCGTACATTTGGTTCGTCTCTTTTTGAAAGCTGTTATTGCGAGTGCTCTGGCTGACATGAACCAGTATGAACAAATGTTTCAAGCCGGAATTTACGAATCTTGAATGGGAATACGACGAAGAACAGTTTGACGCCTGGAGCCAGGGCAAAACTGGGTTCCCAATTGTCGACGCTGCCATGCGACAGCTGAACCACGCCGCATGGATGCACAATCGTAGTCGAATGGTGGTGTCATCATTTCTATCCAAGGACCTACTGATTGACTGGCGGCGTGGGGAGCGCTATTTCATGGAGCATCTGGTTGATGGCGACTTTGCTTCGAATCACGGCGGATGGGGTTTCGGGTCGAGTACTGGCGTCGATCCACAGCCATATTTTCGGATCTTTAACCCGTTTCGACAGAGTGAGCGATTTGACCCCGACGGAGAATACATTCGGAAGTGGGTGCCGGAGCTTCGGGAGGTGGAGGGAAATGCGATTCATGATCCGTATGGACGGGGAGCTGGCGAGGTAGCCAAGAAAAATGGATATCCGCAGGCCATTGTTGATCACGGGAAGAGTCGAGATCGAGCGTTGGCGCGTTATAAAGCAGCTCAGGGCCATTGACCTGATACAGGCCTGAAGAAGTCAGAGATCGATATTTGAAGGGTCAGTGGGTCAAGCTTGGTATAGAGGGACTATTGTAAATAGAATTCTTAGCCAATCGTTTGGAATATCCCCTGTCAGTAACCGAGGTATATTTTGCGCGGTTGACTCACCGATTTCATGGACGGAGTTAGTCCCTCCAGGCAATCAATCACCATCCGGAAGGATTCAATAGCTGTCAGCTAGTAGTGGGATGCTAGAACTGAGTAGATGAAAGAACCTTAATTACACGTGTTGTGAGATGGTAAGTAAGTCAATCCTGGTTGTGGTTGCCACTCTGAATAAGTGGTGCGTGCGTGCAGAGTGCAGAGGGCAGAAATGCGGAGGAGGCGAGCATCCCCAGCAACTCCAGCAACTCCAGTTCCAGTTCCACCATCGGTCGGTTCCCCGCCGCCTTCCACTTTGTTTGACTGTTTCCAGCACTGGAACTACTACGTACGCATCCCCATCCCATCGAGAAACTTACTCTGAAGAATTCTTTCTTTTTTTTCTTAGCCAGCTACTGCTTCTTTCTGTCATCATACTCCAAATTTCACCATCGTATCCCACACCCCGTGATCAAATCAATGTGACTGTGCTTCCCCGCTCCGAACCGGCCGGCCTGGGCGACTGAGACTAGTGCCCTCGCTTTCGCTTCCTTCGTCTTGGCCAAACTGCTAACCTCTTTCTTGCCCGTGGTTCCTAGCGACCTGGCCAGCTCATTTCAATCCATCTCATTTTGATCGTCACCTTGACTACCCTCCGAACCCTCCCCAACCTACCAATGTCGGATTGAAATGGATCAGTCGGGGGACGCCCAGGCATCCAACGCTCCAGCAACCGCCGCCGAAGAGTCGACCAACGGAATCATCACCAAACGTCGTTGGCGGCGCAACCGGATCGCATGCGACTCCTGCCATTCGCGTCGCGTGCGCTGCGACCGGGCTTTTCCATGTTCACGCTGTCTGCGTAGCGATATTCGCTGCGAGTTCACTCGCGAACGTAGGAAAAGAGGCCGCATTGCCCGATCCCGACTAACGGAGACCAACGCGGTGCCGGAGAGAGCGACCCGCCCTGTCGACGACGAACAACCTGCGCTTCCGGTGTTGGCGGAGACAGCTGGCGCTCTAGGCCAAAGTGGCTCTCCTGTCTCAATTTCGCAACACAAATCCCCATCCACAAACGACATCGCCGCTTCGGCTCCGAGTATCGACGAGCGACGCTCCCAAGCAGAAGCTCCGCTCCCGCCTCGCAGACCTCGGCCCGGTGAGAACCCAACGGAGGAATGGTTATCTGCGACACATGTGTCGCCCGGCTCCTATGAACCTCTGGGAGGACTCGGCCTGGGCGAGGGACCTTTCCCTCGGATGTTTGACATTTGGCAAGGAGTTGAGTTAGCTGGTTATAGCGATCCTACCTCAACAGCATCCAAAGCCACCGGCATCGGGCAAACATCCGGGTCGGCCGTTGCAGCATTGAAATACCCGGTGCTTATGCCACTCATGCCGTTCCTCGAAGGAAATCTACCTCGCAAACTCGTGTTCGATCTTCTGGAATTATATTTCACCAGCGCCTTTTCAACTCATATGCACCCAGTCTGTCATCACATACATTGCTATGTCCTACGAAAGGCATCCTTCTTCAGTCGGGAGACACCTCGTTCCAGCAGTCCTGCTCTTCTAGCCAGCATGCTCTGGGTTGCCGCGTTGGATGACCGTGCTTTTGCCTTGCCCATCTCCCCGCCACAGCGCAAGAAGATCTGCCAGTTTCTGTGCGCCCTGACAATTAGACTACTTCGCCCGTTGATTCACGTTTCATTCAAGGATTCAGAGGGCGCAACCGTGAGTGAGGCCGCATATGCTGGGCTCGGACCAGAAGGTCCGCCGACCACCGTTCATCATCCGTTCGAAGCTGGAGGAGACGATAGGGGCCTTGTCGGTCCAGCGGGTTCGTTGGACGATGTAATCACTTACATCCATGTGGCTTCGATAATTTCATCGAGCGAACAGAAAGCTGCCAGCATGAGATGGTTGGTCTACCCATAATTTTAACAAGCTGTGTATGCGGTGCTAATCTGTTCCAGGTGGCATGCAGCATTTACTCTAGCCCGAGAGCTCAAGCTGAATCAAGAGATCGAGGTAGTGCCTAATGAGGATAGTCACCAGACGGATGGCTCTAGTCCGTCGTTCGATTATTCGTTGGCGGGCTGGAGTGGCGTCGACACCGGCCCCTTTTTTGATTACTCGAACCCTGCTCGGCCAAGCCTGAATTGCGTATGCGATCGGAGCCACGATGTACGTACCACAATCACCGAAGAGCATCGCGAGGAGCGGCGACGGACATGGTGGCTACTATACATCATGGATCGTCACCTTGCGCTTTGCTACAACCGTCCACTAGCATTGCTCGATGCAGAGAGTGAAGACTTACTTTTGCCGCTGGACGAGGGATCATGGCAAGTGGGCAATATCCATAGCAACAGCCCCAAGACCGACGGACCACAATGTCTGCTATCTGGTGAGAAGAACAAACGCCGTGTCTTCCCCAACTTTGTCTGCCACGATCATTCGATTTTTGGGTTTTTTCTGCCGCTGATGACTATCACTGGCGAATTGATAGACCTGAATCAAGCACGGAATCACCCAATGCTTGGCACGCGATTTAATGGGAAAGATGCATGGGATAACCACGTCAGTGAGGTATTACGACAGCTTGAAATCTATAAAGCCAGTCTCACGACCTTTGCGGCCATCGCCTCTGATCCTGATGGCCCTATGCCTGGTGCTTTCCCTCCCAAGCCCGATCAGCAGCCGACCGAAGCTTCGCTTGCGCAAGCCTATGCGTGGCATACACAGACGGTGATATCTTACGCGTCGTACCTGGTTCATGTGCTCCACATATTGCTTGTAGGGAAATGGGACCCGGTGTCACTTATCGAGGACAAGGACTTCTGGACGTCTTCCCCTGCATTTGCTTCAACAATCTCCCATGTGTTAGAGGCTGCAGACTCTGTGGGTCATATTCTACGCTATGATCCTGACATCAGTTTTATCCCTTACTTCTTTGGAATCCAACTTCTACAAGGCAGCTTTCTTCTGTTGCTGATCGTGGAGCGATTGCAGAAGGAGGCGGGGGAGGGGATTCTTAATGCGTGCGAGGTGATGATCCGTGCAACGGAATCATGTGTTGTCACCTTGAATACGGAATACCAGCGAAATTTCCGGCAGGTCATGCGGAGTGCAGTGGCTCAGGCGCGCGGGCGCCCAGTCAATTACAGCGAGATTCGACACCGACGCAAAGCTGTGTTAGCGTTGTACCGATGGACACGAAAGGGCACGGGGTTGGCCCTGTGAGGTTAGACGACACGACCTCCTCGGCTCTACTAATGTCTCGAAGTGGCAAGGATCTTAAACTATTTGCAGGGATTATATCTAGCCCGTTTCCCCCTTCCCCTTTCCCCGGAGTGATATGCAGGCACATGCTGCATGGTCGTAGCTCTTCGACCTAACAGCCGACCGACCTGCAACACTAGTAGGAGTGGGGAACTGTCTGGTCCAGATGCGGTGTCCGGGGAACACGGCAGGTACCAGCTGATTCTGACCTCGACTGCAATTGTGCTTTGTATATATTAGATGAACCAGTGAATGTACACATCATGAGAGCAAGTCCCGAGGCCATGAAGAGAGTACTGAGTAAGATAGTAGTATGATATGTAGGGCTCTTTTCTTTTCTCTTCGTAAACCACCAACAGACAGGAGAGGTGCGAAGGCATGGAGTACATTGGCTGATGTTTAACCGACCCCATCTGGGGATGTGAAAGCCGATGCGCAAACACACTCTGGCGGTCGGCAAATATGGACAGGATCAGTTGACCAGTTGACTTTTCCCCGCAACCCCAGACTTCAACCCCAAAAAACGGCCCGCCTTTTCCTTTCTCTCCCACTCGGTCCGAGCTCTTCAAACTCTCGGTTAATTACCATCAAAAGGACCGAGATCATGCAGGTGCACGGTGCCAGATGGTGCCAGACGCCATCATCTCCGATACTCCTGCTCGGCTGGGTTGACTGAAAACCTGGGGGAGTTGGAATTGTTCGGTTAAAATGGCTACCCCGGGGAACTCGAAAATCATGCTTCCTTGTGATCAGATCTCGTCTCTATCGAATCACTATTACCCTTGCGCCCTTTTTCATTTTACCGATCGCATATCCATCGTGGCCGCCATGCTGTACTTGTTCAAGCTGCATCTCCACCACCGCTTTGAATCATGTTTCGTTCAAGCTGTTTCCCGGAGTTTATCCTGCTTTGCGCAGGTTATAAGCCTGCTTTCCCGCCCCGTGCTTTTCCCCGGAGAGGTTTTGCAGTAGCTCTCGAAGCATTCGCAACCGAAGGGTTCATCTTTACCCACAACAACAGCAAACTACTGAACGCGTCAATGCTCATCTTGCAATGAGCGCGAGATTCTGACTGCAATCTATACAACGAGTCACCCTCCTACCATCTATTCTCGCGAAAGATACCGACGCAATGCTCGACACCGATTTCTCTACAGACGTGCCGATGTGGTTCCCATTGGATTCATTAGACAACCAGGCTTTCGCTCTGGACTCGGAGCTTGTCGGCGAAGACTTGTATGGGAATCAGCTGGGTGTCGATGAGTTCGACCTCTCATCTGCCCATCTGTTGAGCCCTGAGCTTTGCGCCGAATATGAGTCGGCAATGGCACAAGCCGCTTCGGGCCAATTTCGGATTCCCCATGCATCAGGGATGCCAGATACACCAGCTTCCTCAGGATTCGTGGATAAACTCACCTCGATGTAAGTCTGCCAGAGCAATCTAAATCCTCCTCCACCAAATTTACTCCTAGGGGCCGGGCTTGCAGCAAGCCAGGAATCTCCCTGCACACGGGCTGACTGGAACCCCTCCGACTACTAGATTTGAAGAATCCACTTTCAACACCACACCCGATTCGAAGTCTTTCCCCGCCCACCTCTCCCTCGATGACCTCCTGCGCTCGACCTCCCAATTAGCCACCGAGCGAGCCCTCTACATGAATATCCCTGGAGCTATCTCGTCACCGCAGTCGTCATCGCACGATAGCTTCAGCGCCGTGCGCCCATTCGGCCAATCGTCCGTCGCGCAGGAGCCCTGCAGCTCGCCAGGAATGAGCCATCAATCATACAGTGGGAGCGAAGGAGACTGGGAACGGGAGTACAACTTGAGAGAGCCCGCACAGTACTATCGGCTTCCAGACATGGGACTGTCGGACAGCCTGCCGCTCCCTTCCTACCCCATCGACGGGGTGATGATGTCTGAGCCTCCGTTCAACGACCCACACCTACCTGCTACTGCATTACAAACAGGTTCGGAGCAGAATTGCAGCCGCGGGGCCAAAGGCAAGGGCAGGGCAGAGTACACTGGAATGAATAATAACAATGGACTGAAATCCCTCAATGCGATGGACGGACTGACCCCACTGGAAATGCCTGACGGGAGCACCCGGTTCACCGCAAATTGGCTCCCCGTGGACCCTGAAGGGGGCTTTACAATCCGAGACCCCTCCGTCGACCATTTTGCCCATGTCAACGACGACCCTCTGGACATCGACCCGATGATGGAGGGCTATGCGCAGAACGCGTTCATCTCGGTCCCCACGGACGTTGGTTTTTCTTGAGAGACCGAGAGACAACTCCGAGATCAGCAAAAATAATTCAAGCCAAGGACTTCCGACCCGAAGAAAAAAAAGATTGCAGATCGGGTAATGATGATAGGGAGGTGGCTTTCGGAGCACCGAGGGGACACCACACCACAAGCACGCGCACGACGCTAGCTTTACTAGCCTCGATCATGCCTAGTGCCTGCAATAGCAGTCAAGGCGACCGACCCTGGACCGATGCGGGGGCTCAACCACGCGCCGTCGCCATACGTTCCAGGGTTTGTCCCCCGAATCGAGCGAGTTAGTCGACCGAGAGCAACTCGGGTCAAAGGCCAACAGTTGATTGCTTTGCACGCTGCGTGCGTGTGCTTGCTAAATTGCTTTGCTGTGGACTAACGTACCGACCTTCCTCCCCCCTCTCGCCCCCGCGGACCATTCTCCACATCTGGCAATGGGCACAATCGCATGTGACCGGATGGACCCATGATGCCTCCATCCAACGGATAATTATCAACCAATTCCACCGTCACCGTCATGGGCCCAAAATTTCCCGCCCGCCCGCCGCCCCCGCGTTACCCAGACAATCCAAACAACACCTTGCCGACCCGCCTAGATTAAACCTTGACCATGCGCTCGCTCACCCTGGCTTTCTCAGCATCTGAATCTAGAGCAAAGCCATCCAGCGTCTAGCCACCACACTCACCGACTCACCACGGAATAATATGCACACGCATATTGAGCTGCTGACGCAATTGTGGGCTGTCGCGCCGCGCCTAGCGAGAGGGCTCTTGCTCCCTCCCCGCTTTTCCCTGCACTGCTGCCTACTATTCTCTGAGCTAGTGGTTGAGCTTCGCGTGGTGCCCTGGACACAACCGCTTTTCCAATCTTTCTTTCTCCGAATGAGATCATGTGAACGTGCTCACATCTGTCCTACTGACTGGACTCCTTAATATGCCTTTATCTCTGGAAGATGCTTTCAGTGGGATTTTGCACTAGGATCGCATTTAACCCGAGCTGGCGGCAGCTACTGGCATGCCTCCCTCCGCATCTTTCGAATCTGTATATAGATAACATCAACCACGAAGAGCAATTTCTTGTACAAAGACCAGCACTAGAGAGACGAAATTCAAACGGTGTCCATTGTGCACTTACAATCCGATCCGTAGATAATAAGTCTCCCAAATACAGTTTCCATATTTGTAATTGCTGAGCTTTTGTCCCGAGTTATGTTTCCTCGGATAAGCCGCGACACTAAGGCACCAAGTGTGCATAGGGAGCATCACCGCATGAAAACATTCAAGTATTTGCAACTCTCATATCGTACATTCGAGGCAAACAAATTGAAAATAAAATCGCCTCAGGATGCTGCCTGTAACCCTGCCTAAAAACAAACAAAGAACGCCAGGACCGATTCCATTTTGCTCGCTCGCTGTGAACAATCGAGATACTGAAATAAAGAAGATCGTAAGGGGAGGGGACAATTTCGTCCACCTCGGTGGGATTATTTCACCCCCCTTCCGTCCGCACCGACGAAGAGGGACACTGATTCGAGAAGACTGGGAACGCAAAGCGGCGCCCGATGTACGCGAACAGCTCCGCCATCGACTGCTTCTCGACCATGCCGTCGGGGAAGTTGTCGAAGGCGGTGCGGAGCACGAACATGACGCGCGAGACCAAGCACCCGGGGACCATCTGGGTGTAGTACTTCATGCTGCGGCAGATGTTGCAGGCGAACTCGTAGCGCTCCTGCAGGCCGAGCACGTCGACCAGCCCGGTGTGGGTGGCGGTGATGACGAGGTTGAGCGCCCAGTAGTAGCACATGGACGTGGCGAGTAACAGATCCGGGTAGACCAGGTTGGTGGCTACGGTGATTTGCATCGTGCTGGGATCGCGACACCGGAAGACGGGAAAGACGTCCGCCCCGCGACCGTCGGCCTCGCTCTTCCGTGTGTTGGGATGGACATCAAGACCGCACTCCTCGCGTGGTCCGCCGCCGGCGTATGTGTCGGCGTAGGTCCGCTTCCATGTCTGGAGCATGCTTTGCAGTTCATGGGCACGGACCCAGATTGCGGACTGCATTGTGACTAACTCGGATGGCGAGACGGCCGGATTTCTCAGCGCCGCTTGGAGATCGTCGATCTGCGAGAGGTAGCCTGGAGTATGAACGGCAACGTCGAGGAGATGTTGAAGGATGTCTTTTGGCGGTCCGTCGCATGACCAGGGCACTGTCAGCCATTCTTCTGAAGACAAGAATGTCGGCTTGCGATGCACCAACGCGGCAGTAACCTATAGACTTTCGGTTAATCCAGCTCAGACGTCAAAGCCAGGACAGGAGGTAGTCGCCTACCCAGTATAGTCGCAGATCAACAAACAGAGATCGCTCGACTCCATGCCGGTGGCGATAAGGGGTTCGTGCCCGCAGTAGCGCCAAGCCACCCAGCTGGTGTCGAAAAATGGAAGTGACCGACGTTTGTCTGAAAGCCTTTCACAATAGTGAGTGTGCTGTCTTAACTCCTGCATAGATGACCAAAAACATACTTCAATGATGGTAGACAGTAAGACTACGAGCAGGAGCTCGGTCGATTGATTCCCCTGGGGTTCATTCAACGCCGTCTGGAGAAGATGAAGTACTTTGATATATTTGGAATTGCCTGCCACCTCAAGAGCCTTGTTATGATACTGTCTCCCGGCAAATGTGAGTGATGCTGCTTCGAAAGCCTTGTAGAGGATTGGAGACAGTATTCGCATCTCTTTGGCCTCACGTAGTGCAATGGTGCCGCTGACATTGACCGGACTGAAGTTATCAATCAAACGTTCGATGAAGAACTCTATTGCAACACCAGCTGCCATGGGGTCTGTTAGAGCATGCTTTTCTTTCAGAAATAGAGAAGACCCGTGAACTAGACCGTCGTAAGCGGCAGGGCAGAGTAAATGGGAGTGAGGAAAGAGAGAGCATACTTCGCTGACAACTCTGGCCTTCGTGATCCTCGCCCAAGACGATAGCATCGCGAGGGATTAAAGATAGTTTCTCAGAGTCTTCCACAGACAGATCTGAATCCTCAAGTGCATCTTCATCGTCCCAGTCGTTCAGCTTTCGATCTGTATGAAGTGGTCTCCTCCTTGATAGAGGCCCTTCCTCAGCTTTCAAAGCGGGGTTGTTGGCCAGCTGACGAGCCTCCGCCAGCTGCTGCTTCAAGCTCTCACAAGAGCGTAGCAAGTTGTCAATAAGAGTGGCTTGTTGAATATACTGGCGGTCTCGCTTGCTGGTGCCATAATCACATTCCGAGGGTGTGCCCCGTAAACAGCATGCACCGCATGGTTTGACACGATCGCACTGTTATGGTATGCATTAGTACAAAGCTGCGGATGAATGAGAATGTGGTTGGAACAAGATGGTAGTGGTGAATGCCTCGCATAGGTGTTCAGTGTAGTGTGGTGTGGATATACCTTGACTTTGCGTTTATGGCAATTTAAGCATGAATAGGTGGGTCGGGCTTTCTTTCGCGCAGCCGCTTTGCTTGGTGCGGGAGGGTCAAGTTGATCCTTTTTCGGGCGATTCTCCAAGGTACCGTTGCTCATTGCAGTCGAAGGGTTCAAAGTTTATGCGGCTCACCACCTGTGTTTGCGGGGGAAAGGCGTTGCTGAAGATTCGTGTTCGTGCCAGCTCAGGTCGTGGTCTTTATGCGAAAGTGATGCAGGCTGGAGTTCGGATTGTTGACGAACAAAGTCTATTGTCAGAATCATGGGATGGATGGAGAGAGACCTCCAAAGTCCGAACGTGCAACCACAGGCTAAGAAGCAGTAGTAACGGTCATCGAGCACCGCCAGTGGTGGCTTACACCAGGAGAAATGACGACGAGACCTTCGATTTTGCAAGGGTGTTCTGTGGAGTGCTCTGGTTCCGGGGGCGGGCTGGATCCGTGGTTCAGCAAGACGAAAGACCTGAAAGCTTTCAAAGCATGCCCGCGCGATCAGTTGATTATTTGAAATGTGCTGTCTAGCCCGGCCTTTGCCTCTCCCCACTTTCTCGCAGCGACCTGGTGGCGGCCCCAATGATTCGACCAGCCGAAGGGATAGCAGGCAGGCGCCGTTCCAAAAGCCTTGTGGATCAATCACATCGAGGCTGAGGACTCAGCATATACCGGTATTCAAGGCGTCAATCATTGCCCAAGATTGCTGAGGGTGCCATGGTAGTTTGCACCGTTGCGATTTGGAATCAATTTCCGTCGCTAGTTCGAAGGGAAAGGGACTCTCCCCGTAGCCTGAGGGAGAGATCTGATTGCCGCCGGGTCGGGCCTGATTAGTCAATCGAGAGACGGTGATCCAGGGGTGCCAAGGAAGGTGATTCCCCCTATGTCGATCAAGCATTGTGCAGAGATCAGCGCTCTTCGTGTGATGCGATAGCCTCTTTGAGAACCAGTGATGATATGGAGCGTGTTCGATCACATTGTTATTGCCAATCTAGTCCAAGAACCGCCAGACAAATGGCATATCGAAGACAAGTCCCGTTTTCTGGCTCTCTGTCACCACAGAATAGGAGGTGGGTTTTCTACTGGTTTGGCGATCATCGCGGCAGGCAACGAACACGAACCCTGCCACATCGAAGATCGTCGCTGTCAGCCATTTCCAGGAAATCCCTCGACATTGCTGCATCATACCTAATCGGTCATAGCGTCTTGTTTCATGCATAATAACGTTGAGATACCAGGCCAGTGACATCCCTACCTACACAAGCAGCTGGGTTGTCAGCTTATTCCGTCCCATCACGAGTGAGGTATGCCCTTGCAGTCATTGCAAACAAGTGTGGTCACTGTTGCATTTTTCCTTCGTACTCAAAGGCGCCCACTCATGAATAGTGCGAGGAGTGAAAATAGATAATTCTTTGCTTGGTGCAGGTGGATGAGGCTGGGAGAGTACTAGGTAGTACTACGCGGGAGGAAAACACAGGCCGCGAGGTTTCGTGGTCTTCGTTTGGCTTCAGTCAAACAAACAAACACTGTCATAGAGAAAGCAAGATTCTACAGAGAAGTAAACAGGGAAGACTCTTCCTCTCTCCTCTGTCCGAGACACCGCACAGGCTTACAGTACTGCAGGTCTACGATAATGGTGAGTTCAGCACACGACCTCAAAAGTTTAATGACAAGCATTGACAATCAGTCTTCAAGGATGAAAGCGATACACTCAATCCAGTCGATTTCTGGACACATACTGTCTCCATACATCCTGGCTTTGTGGGATTTCTCCATGACACGCATCCAAGAATAAGGGTGACCTTGTCATCATGTTGATTTATGGTAGGACTGTGAGTTTATTGTGTTATGTTGATGATCCGAATTTTGCACTGTCTGTTGCATGCAACTTTTGTTGACGCGAAAGCAGGCATCTCGTCTGACGGAGGTATCCTTCAAAACAATCGAAGATCATTTATTCTATATAACCAATTCTACGTCAGCCGATTTAGCTGCAACATCTGGCAAACCATACACCTAATTGGAACCATATAGAGCTAGTTATGAGCTGGTGAGTCAATGGAAAACCACTCATCTCGCTATAATACCACACCCAGCATTAAATAACCCCTGACAACATAGTGTCAGGCATCGATGTAGTGTCATGCACCGATCTTCCGTCGACTCTTCTCGCTCCGGCACACGTCTAATGCCCTCCACCTCTGATCTCCGCCCCATCGGCCACGCATACCTAGCCTCGACGCTCGCTTTTCCCATGCTCGCGCTTGATCGCCGTGAAACTGCAATCCCACGTACGGCGTACATAACACCTTCCATGAGGATCCGACAACTCATTCTGATTAGACAGCATAGCCATCTGCATCGGCTTCTGCGCCCACCTCCTCGTCAAGGTGTATACTTAAGACGGGAGTCACGTCTAGGTGACAGAGGTCATAATAAGTCGAGAAAAACCACCTTGATGGAAGCACAGGTCGGGGGCGAATCTGGTTCTGTTGGCCGCGTATGCAGCGTCGGTGACAAAGCGCATGGGATGATCGTCCGATGTGGAAGGGGTCTGTTGCCGTACAGAAAGCACTTATCTTCCAGCAGACCTTGACTAAAGCGACATCAACTTATACTCCCGGTGGATGCCAAGATTCTTCTCTTGATGGTCCCGTTGGCGAACTCATTTTCGTTATGAGCTGGACGGACCACAGCGGCATGTGGAGATGGAAGACTCTCACTTGAAATTGACCAGCCACATAACGGGCTAGCCATTTAAATGATTTGTTGTAGCAGGCATCGGGATTTTGAAAGTACTGCAAGCTGGAGACCTTTTCGAGGGCCTTAGCTGCGGTTGGACTATGAACATAACCACAATAGAGACGGCTCCAACCTCCTCACCTTAGTGAACACACTCGCAAAAATCAACAACACGAGCTCAGTCTCATTCTTCGTTCCAGCAATCCGATTAAGCCCCAATGGAAAGCGTCCTGGCAGCTTTGTTCAGGAGCTGGTGAGGTATCGAGTGTTGAACTCCATGACTCGCAATGCCAGGAACATATTCTGCACACTTGAGGCTGCAGAGATATTCTTGCAGGTTTAGAGCTCGTTATCACGCCGTCTCACACCTCATCCTATTGAGCAGGTTACCCCGCGTTTTAGCGGATCCCCGAATGAGATAGGAAATTGGAACAAGCCCAAGCCACATCTTCCTGTGCATTGCGGCTTGACGGGAGATGAAAAATCCGGCGCCTCCACAAGTGTGGATCAGCCCAGGCGGACTACTCGGTATTTGCAATACCGTTCTTATTTTCGAGACACGCATCAGCCCTACGAGTCTTAGCATCTGCAGAACCACTTGTCCGCTTGGAGCCCCCCACCCCTTAGTTGGGGGTTTTCACTCCCTTGTGCTACTCAATATAAAGGCTACGGTTGCCTGCTCTTCTCCAGGGTCCGAGAATCAAGCTTACAACCAACACTTGCACCCGCTATGTTGACCGACTGTCTGGTTATGGATTGTCGCACTCAGCTTGCAACTATCGTTCCTTGATTGCTTATATGACAAACGGACACCTCATCAGGACTGCTAAGGTATTGGAGTGTTTCTTGCCAGAGTAGGAAACCCATCGAACGACAACTCGTTGCCATGGGCAAGCCCGGTCGTGGTCGTGAGCCAGCCAACTTGATCGGATCTATCGAGCAGACTTACAAGGAGGCTCGAGTCATCATGCTCGTGTGTCTCGCATCGTGGCTTGTGGGTCAACTTAGATTCAGTTTCGCGTGGCTATTCTTCGTCCTTGCGGCCAGCCGCACCTACTCCAATGTGTCCATGAAGCGTATGCAGCGAGTTGTTCGGGACGAGTGCCAGCGCTATCACGCTACCAAGATCCTGGCCCACGGTGAGACTATCAATTGGGTAAATGGAATCCTCCAACGTCTCTGGCACATGAATCAAGCTCAAATAAGTGAACAAATTGTCCGCTATGTGAATGATGGCCTCGCTCGTCGTACCTGGACCGAGCCTGACACACCGCCCCAGGAAGTCATTCTTCATTCGCTTGCCTTGATTGAGTTGCCGCTTCAAATGACGCGAGTATTTGTCCATCGCAAGCCCTTTTCGCCGAATCTGATCTTTGAAGGCCGCTTCGAAGTGAACCTAGCACCACATGGGACCGATCACCATGGTTTACTGGAAGTCTTTGAGCACCCGCTCATTGATCTCACGATTGTTCGTGATATTGACGAACACTATCGCCATCATTATCACAGCCATCATCACCACAATCTCGCTGTGCAGGTGCGACAGTTCACTAGTCAAGGGTCACTACGGATCGAGTTGGACCTGGAAGGCGAACAGCCCGCCTTGCTCCAGCCGCACATTGAGCTACAGGAGCAGCCGAAGATGGATTGCACGATCAAGTCGATCAGCCAACACCATTTCCCATTCCATTTCGCCCACCATGTCGACTGGCGCCGAGTGGTGGAGATGCAGCTACGCGAAGGACTAGGATGGGCCTTCCGTCGACCACTGCCTCTAGGGGAAAGGTGGCTGATCAAGATGATGACGTGGTGGTGGCATATTCTCAACTAGGCTCGTGACGATCCCGCTTCATGATTTATCCCCGGAGCGGTGGAGGATTTTGTTCAGCCCTGGAGGATCTCAAGGCCATAGGGCTGAAAACAGGTGTGTCGGCGATCGCGAATCAAATGGACAGAAACGGTGTTGCCTATTGCCCACAATGGCTCCCGTATGCGTATTGAAAAATACGGTCGGCAACCGCCCCCGGATCGAATTTGCCGAGGCCAACTCTGGGATGACCCACGCCGGGTGGCTGGAGAAGCTCACACTTTAAATAACGCCTATTTGCGACCTCGGCTGTGAAGCGAGCTGTTGCTGTTGCTTTGCTGCAGCTGCAGCTGCAGCTCATTGCACTTTATGCTCCGTATGTGCTATACTCATATTAGCGAATGCTGTTTCAAGCTGGGAGGTGCTAGTCTTGAGTGGCTCCAATTATTTTCATTTCGCCCCTTGTTTTAATTACTCTCCATGGTTTCACCGAGGTTCGATGGACTTCTCTCCGAAGGTAATGTGTGTTAATGTGATGAAAAGCGCACACAGGCCTACAGGCGGCCTACGGACCAACGATAAGCTATGACGATGATCAGGTGATGACCAGTGGCGAGAATAACAAATGGAAACAACATTTTGGGATTTCCCCAAGAGGTGGGAGGAGGGAGGGAAGAGAGAGAAAGAGACTGTGGACTGAAGCGGCAAGCGGACTGATGTCATGGTGTAGTCAGTTTTGGGTCTCAGGCACCGCCCACAATCCCATCCAACCCACACCACACTCAACTCACTGCATCATCGTTGGATTTTCCTCTTCCGCATTCTTTTTCCCTCCCATCTTTTATCCTCATCCGCTTATTCCCATCCCATCCCATCCCACCACATCCCACCATCACCACCAACCCCTCCCTCCGCTACCCGCTACCGCTAAAACTGCATATCGCACGTTTATTCGGTCTTCAATGTGGCTTTCCAATTTGGGTTGACCTAGCCCCCTTTGTGTGTGATGACTGAGGTCTGACACCTGCTGGACGGAACGTGTTTCACCACTCCCTATCACCTACTACACTAGTATCTTATGCTTAGCATCCATCCATGTCGCCCAGCAACTATCCATCGATTCAACCAACCCGCTCTCTTTCCCAGTCGGATGAGCTGATGGTAGGTGAATCCCTGATCCTGCATCTTGATTCATCCTTCCCCAACTTGTAATACTGGATTGTTGACCGATCACATCCTCCCCGTAGAATGGCCCTTACTCGCCTAAGATCCAAGCACACTCTGGGCACGATGCATCCAACGAGACTTCGGCTGAGGCGTGTCAATCAGTGGCCGAGTATCTAACTGATACGTCGAACTATCATCATGATATGCTCTACGATCTCTTCGAGGTCGTGCGATCGACGGTTCCCAGCCATGCAGACGCCCTGCTAAAACTCATCCGAAGTCGCGCCTCCATAGAAGAGGTGCGTTCCTATCTGGACCAGACTCTTGCCGAGATGCACGCTGCCGGGAAGGACTCGCATGCGCTGCAACAACTTTACGGCATCTGGCAAGGGATTGAGGTGGAAAGTGAAGCACCCAAGTTTCGACCCATGATGATGGATATCCGGTATCTGACGGGGAATGCTCCCTTTCGGGTACCCGCGAAGCCTTGGACCAGCGTCACGGATGATGACGACCTCGTATCCCATCTAGTTTCCCTGTATCTGACTTGGGACTATCCGTTCTTTGCATTTATGGACCGCAAGTCCTTCCTGAAGCACATGGCGATGGGGAATGTGGATTCCGACTTCTGCAGCCCATTTTTAGTCAATGCGCTGCTCGCCAACGCATGCGTGAGTTCAGACAATCTGCCCGTCGCCCTTGGCCTGTTACTGAAGTTGTGAGATGGCACCGACACAGTACTACTCACCCTATTCCGAGGCGTACACGGTTCCAGGGGATGTGAGGACGAAAGGTGCGGACTTCCTCGCGGAAGCGGAGCGCCACATGAAAAGACACCAATTCGAAAAGGGCAATGACATTCGACTACCGACCCTGCAAGCGATCCTTCTCCTCTACGAGAGGTAAGTTCCCCACTCATGTAACTGTCCTTGTCATTGCGAATCCTTCGGTGCCTGATCATCGAAATGTCTTCTAGATATTCCGTCTCAGGAAATGGTGATCATGGCTACGCCATGCTACATCGTGCCATCGAAATGGCAGAGTCTCTAGGGATTATCAATCATAAAAGGCGAGAGCTCAAGACATCGCAGATGTCTGAAGACATGATTATGTCCATCAAGCGGACCGCTTGGGGCCTCTATCAAATCGACACGTAAGTCCCGATCGACCTCTTCAAAAGAATTTTATGGACTAAACATTCTCGCACAAATCCTATCACAGGGTTGTTCACACGAACTTCCTCAAGCCAAGTCGCGTGAACTCAGTGAGCATTGACCGGATTGCGCGGGATGACGCAGGCGCAGGAGATATATGGACTCCCTACCCCCTACCTCGCCCCGCCCGGCTATCTTATCTGAGTCAGTACTTCGATGATGCTTGTCAGCTGTCTGACATTGCCCGTGACATCTCTCGGAGCTTGTCCAAGGAAGGGAACTCTGCTCCCGGTTACAATCAGCGCAAACGGGAGCTCTATCTGCGGCTCCGCAAATGGCAGCGGGGGCTTCCGCCGTGTTTTGATCCAGCTGAAAAGCCCGCTCCCCATATCATCCTCCTCTGGTTGGTGCCGTCCCTTCTTCCCCTGTATGGCCAAGCTGATGAGGGTAACAGGATGCGATATCACACACTAGTGATCAATCTTTGCTTCGATGCCCTCGGCCCCAGTGCACGATTGTTCCATCAGAACGAAACGTCCGACGCCAAAGATCAGTTCAACCCGTTTGCCATTGCCATCTCGTCCGCGCGATCGATTGCCTCTCTCGCTCGACTCCAGCGAACTGAGTTCGGGATGGAACACGCCCACCAGTTTGCCATGTACGCAGTGAATCTCGCGCTGTTTGCTCTTCTCGAGCAGAAGAGCTTCGATATCCTTGACCAAGACTTCCTGGCTTTGACCAGTGCCTTTTCTATTATTGCCTGTCGGTCCCAGGTGGGCCGCAACCTGTTTCATCTTTTCAAACTGTCCGTGCGCTCTCGCAACCAGGGATCGAGAGTCGCACGCTCCACGGATGTCCCTCCCGGTATCAAGGAATTGTTCCGGCAGGACTCGGAATCGCAACAGCCCGATCGATGGGACCACTACGCCGAGGGGTTGACCAAAGCTGACGTTGACCCCAGCTACATTGATGGGATGGGAAGCGAAGTGGAGTCGTCGGCGGCGACTGGGATGCATGATATGCTCGAGCGGTATGAGCGACTGAGCCTAGGGAAAGAGGAAGGATGGGGGGCACGTTCTCGGAGAGGGATGTTCTGATTGCTGTGCCTGGGCATATGATTTACAGGACAGCAATTTGTATATATGCTAGGAAGTACAGTACATAGCAAGCATGACTCAATGATGATGCCGGTGTAAGATAGAAGCAATACAACAAGACTGTTGCCACGGAAAGATAAACACAACTGAGCGGTGATGACTACTACGTCTTTCCTAAACGCCCCCACGAGGATACATCCTGATCTCAGGTGCAGATGTTCCAGATACACGACGTAATTTACTGTGGTTCTTCCAGAAACCTACACATGCACAAAACAAGCAATAGATTCATTAACTCCATACTATACACGACCCTATGTCCACCCAATTAGTCTTCCGGATTGGATATACAACATTCCAAATACACAGGCATTCTGGATTAATCAATATCACCATCGCGCGATATCCATCCCCTTGCACCAAACCCATCCATCACAAGGCAGTGATGGAGAGACGCTTCGCCCCTCCGTTGCCCGTCAGCAGGGCCGAGCCGCTGGATTGGCGGAGATGGTTTTGATGGGTCTCAAGCTCCTCCACGTCCAGGCTGAAGCGGCGCGGCCGCTGCCACATACCCATCGACTCGTCGGTCTTGCCAGCTTCGAGCTTGGTGGGTGAGAGTCCGAACTTCGTGGCAATGTCCTGCACCCGTTCCTGGGCGGCCGTGGCATCGATCGCCGCACTCTGACCCTCCTTGGCCAGTCGTCCTTGGGCGTATTGCAGCAACTCTAGATGCTGGGTCACTGCGTTGACAGCCGCATTGTGGTCGCTGGTCTCGCTGTTCAGGAGCTCTGCAAGCGCGGTCTCGTGCAGAGCGGCAGCAGCAAGATGGTTGCCCGAGGCCGTGTAGAGGCCAGACAGCAGCTTGTTCATCTCCAGCGTCACCGGGTCGGCATTACCCCAGACCTGGCGCAGATTGTAGCAGATATCCTTACCGAGTGCCGTTGCAGCACCGACCTGGCCGCGACAGTACCGGGTTTCCACGAGCCGACGACCAATCCACACCACTGCGGGTAGGGACCAGGTCTTTTGCACAATGCGGGAGGTCCAGAGATCAGTGAGAATAGACTATGAAAGATGTTAGTGTTGGTGAATACCTTGCCATGTGCGAGTTGTCGCTTACCTCCAAGTCTTCGAACATCTCATGTTCGCCCAAGACAGTCACCAAGTCATTGAGCTCCGAGAAGGGCAGCTCGGCGTATTCCATCGGGAAATCTCGCGCGTTCGCCATAATCTCCTGTAGGAGCATTTGCGACTCGAGCGACATATTCTTCGCGGTCGTGGCTTCGGTGCACTTGTTCACCTTGTAGCCGCAAAGATACAGGCAAAGCTTGATGGCCGTAAATATGCTTTCCGGCAATCTTAGTCCGTCAGTCAAATGGACAAATGAGTGGAAGACGCCAGTAACATCAGCCGCATCCTGGAAGCGCGAGCGGTTGCACAGGTCTCGCACTAGCCCGGTGGCCTGCGTCACAATATTGATGTTATAGTCATCGCTGGGCGATTCGCGACGGCACATGACGTAGAACTGGTGCACAACATCTTTCTTCCGCAGCGGTTGCGCCACCGAGAGCGTGTTGCAGAAGTATTCGTAGAGCTTGTCCTGGGTGTCTTGAGCCGCGGCGCTGCGCTTCTGCTCCAATTGCAGCTGGTGCAGCTTGTCGCCTGCCGCCAGGGTGGGCATAAGATCATGGCTGGACAGATGCTGTTGGAACACACTGTACACCCGCCCCTCGCGAGACAAATCATCCAAGATCTGTCGCGATGATCGTGTTCGACCGAATACTTCCTCAAACGCTGCAACGAATGCAGCAGGTCGGTACTCACCCAGATTCTGGCGGTGAGAAGCCGGTGTATCATGGATCACCTGCTGGTGCAGCTCGTTGATAAGCTCCCAACCTTCATCGATATATCCGCATTCAAGGTAGATTTCTGCCAAGCCATGGGCGCGTTCTACCAGTGTATCGTGATTGGCAGTGACATGAACGACCTCGTCGACGTGCTCATGAAGTAGCTCGGCTCCCTGGCGGCGGGACTCTGGATTATCCTGAAGGGCATACAGTCGTGCTATCTCACGAAGCCACAGGTGCGTCGTTGGTGCAGATAGCCCCTGCTGCTGCTTTGACAAGGCAAGCTCTTCCGTGTAGAAGGCCCGAGCTTGCGGGGATGTATCCTTCTGGAGCATAAATAACTGGGCCATGCGATGCTTAATATCCATAGGCAGCGGCTGAGTCATGTCAGGAAGCGATCGTGAAGCCTCAGCAGAAGGAACCCAGTCATTGGTCTTGAGAGCTTGTTCGTAAAGCTGAAGTGCCTCGCTTCTGCGCTCAGGATGACCAGAACAGATTCCTGCAAGGGCCATCGTCGCGTCACGGGTGCGAGGGTCTGTAGGACCATACAACTTCTTGCAGAGCTGGTGATGCTGCGAGGCGACCTGATACCGCTCATTATCCCCGGCTTCAGTTTGCGTGTTCTCCAATATGGACATGTACCCACTGTAGGTCTTGGGAAGCAGGCCCTCCAAAAGAGCCCGGTCATACCCGTCTTTCTCGTCAAAATGCACGAGGGTGGGCCACAGGTGCCGGTACACATCAAGAGCATCCTCCCATTTCTTGTCTTGTTCGTACAAAGTGACCAAAGCTACTGCAGCCCGAACACCAGACGATGTTACTCTGCCGTCTGGAATGCAGGTCTTGTAAATTTTACTGTAGCTGTCTTCCGCCTCATCACGACGGTCAAGGCGAAGCGCCAGGTCGGCTTCGTAGTAGCGACTGTCGAGAGTATGCTTATCGTTGCTGCCTAGTCTCGATGCAAAGAAGTCGCTAATCTGGTGCAACAGCACCATTGCTTTTTCAAATTGGAAGGTCGTCTCATAGAACTCGACGACAGTTTTGACGACAGTCGTGACCGAGGGAACGGCCACTTGATCCGCGGTGATGGATGCTTTGAAAGCATTTCCGTAGACGATAGTAGCCAGTGCCACGTCCAGACGTCGGAACAGACAGTAGGCGTGATCGAGGGCAAGGCTGGCCATCAGAGGCGCCTGCTCCGAGGGAAATCTTGCCTTGGAATGTGGATCCTCGACAGTAGGCCAGAGGTGCTTTAGCACTGCCCAGGCGCATTCATTGCCTTCGCGCCATTTCTCTGCTGCCATTCGTTGACTTGCCAGCTGGTGAGATAGGGCTAGGATTGACATTAAGTCACGCTCACTGCCAGCTGATGCAACAGTATCAATCCAGCCAGGGAGCAGTTCATTATCCTCTGGGGAGAGTGTCGACAAGCGCGAGCCGATGGAGCTAGCAGTGCTCTTGGTGGGAATAATCCTTTCGGTGAGAGACTCGGCCAGAGAGACAGCTTGGGGGGTGTATTGCTGACCGGAAGACTTGTAATACTTCCACATTTGCAGAGCAAGGGCACGATCCATATCTTTCATATCCATTTGCCGGGCTTCACTACGAAGCTCCTCGGCACGTTTGACCATCTGTGGCGAATTCACGCCGCCGCCTGTCTCCAGATCTACCTCAAGGTCGCGCAGTATGCCTGTAGCCTGGTCGGGACGTCCTTGCCGACGCAGGAATTGGGAGTAATAGAAGGCTACCCTTGTTTTCTGATCCCAAGAGTCTGTGGTATCGGAGCCCCGAGCAGATAGGCCTGCCCACAGTCGAGACAGCACTGCGTCTGCTTTTCCGATCTGGTTGTTCTCCTCATACATCTTGGCTAGGTAGAGAGAATAAGCCACTCGCCGCGGGTCGGTCGCATCCATTGAATGAAGCATTGTCTCATACTTGGTTCGCGCAAGCTCCAACGCCAACTCGTCTGGAGGCGCGATTTCAAAGTTCTTGGTGAGGTAATCGGCTGCTGACATAGTTTCGGGTGAATGAGCACCATATGTCTGCACTGTCTGGTGGTAAAACTGTTTAGCAGCAGAGTATGCCTCATCAGGCTGCTTGTTGGCATTATAAGATTTCACCAGCTTGTCAAGGTACTGCAGTCTTTGCGCAAAGCCAATATCGGATGAGCCCCATCCGGACAGTGCCATGTCCTTCAGGGCATCAGTCTTCATGCCTGCAGTGCGGTCCGCTTGGCCGTTGGCTACAAGCATTTGTTCGAGGTCGCGTGTGATTTTGTTGGAAGGTCCCAGTTGCGAACGACTGCGCATCCAAGCTTCGTACAGGTGATCGTTGGCCCAGCTGGCTTGTGTCTGTTCGGCAGCACGAGCGCTAAGAAGCAAGCTTTGCAACAGAGCGGGAGACTCATTCCCCAAAACCACACGACGAACACCAACTGCCAATCGGTATAGTTCCACAATGCTCGAGCGACTAAACTGGGACTCCCGGTTGGTAAGCTCTAGCTGGGCGAAGAGAACAGTGTCGGGTAGAGCACGACGGAATGTTGTGTCAAAAGAGATCTCACGATCGGAAGATGCCATTGGCGATGCCAGCATATGCGATAGCCAGTAGCGTGCGGTGTACTCAAGCAAGACATAAGCGTCCAAGTAACGGTCGCGCACAAACACGCTCATCTTGTCCCACGAGAGGGAGACCTCGTCCGTGACCGTACGGCGAACCCAGGCCAAACAGCGGATCAAAAGGTCAGAATGAGCATCCGCCAAAGAGAACGGCAGTTCCTGACGCATTTGAGCCCGCGCTTGGAGGTGCTCCCGGATCATGGGATGACGGAAAGACACAAACCCATCACGAACAGCGACTAGACGCTTAAGAGGCTGGAAGAGGTCACGCTCGAGGTTGGAAGTCCGAGGCGCCACTTTCAGTGTCTTGATATCAACTGCCAAAAGCTGTTCCACCTCTGGGATGCGCAAGGGGCGCTCACTGGCCGCTAGCCACCCCAGAAGACTCTGCGCACCTTGACGTTTGATATTGGTAGTACGCAGATGGTGATCAATCAAATCGCCCAACGTATTGGGCATTTTTGCAACAGCAGACGTCATGTCGCTGACAGTCGTTCGCTGCTGCATCGCCTCTACGGCCAGCTGTGCCCATATGAAGCAGCCCTGGGAGCGGGATACGATCGCCGCCCCCAGTGATTCCCTTTGAGAGGGCTCGAGTCCAGAGAACGAAGAATCGGCCGTCATCATGTCGCTGACCGCGACTTGCATATCATGCTGGATTGTAGCGGCATTCATGGCAACCTGGTGTGTCTTGGTGGTCTCGCGAATTGGCAGGATATCCTTAGACATAGGTCGGCTGAAAATAATCAACTTGGAAGGGGTATCGGTCACTGTGTCTTGTAGCAACCCCAAAAACGCGCTGACAGTTGTCTCAGCGTGCTTCATTTGGTCGAACCCATCAACCACCAACATAAAGTGCAGATTGGACTGTACGGCAGCGCGAATAGCAGTCCAAAGCTGGCCTTCTACTTGAGGGTCGGTCGCACCAGCTACTGCCAGCTCGATAGCGCCGGTCACAGCAGCCAAGATGGCATCTTGAGTCCTGCGGCTAGTCACTGAGTGATCAAGGATCTGGATCAGAATCCCCTTAAGAATGCTCAGCGTGAGCGTTGTGATGGGTACGTCTGATCTGATGGTAATCGGAATGACATTCCAGATATCATACTCCGAGGAAGCCTGAAGTCGCTCGACAGTCCATTGAGCGAGCGCACTCTTCCCTGAACCGGGATTTCCTCGGATCATCATAAGACTTCGTCTACTCATGGCGAAGGTAGTCAGATGCGGCTCGAACCAGGAGAAGGATCCGTCCGCTAAGGAGTGGTTCTGGCCTTCAAGAAGCATCTGCAACGGACGATCTTGGAGTTCGAGGAACTGATAAATGACCGACAGATTGACTGAAGTCTGCTGTTTAGCCATTCCTGATTGCAGCACAAGCTCAGATACACGACGCCAATGAGTAGCGAAGCGGTTGAAGTAGCGGAAGAAGGCCATATCGATAGCCGTGTTCATCGACTGCCAATGCTGGGTCTTCGCTCCTTGGCGATATTCCCAAGCTACGTGGACGACAAGTTGCAAGATATGAGCGTAGATCTCGGCGACCTGCTGTTGCAGGGGTCGAGATGTAGGGAAGTAGGTTTCCTGCTGGAGGAGGAGCGAGATACCCATAGTGATCCGACCATAGCGACCGAACAGGCTTTCGATTACGTCGAGTTGGTCGATACCCATCTGTATTTCTAGTTAGAACATATCTTGCGAAATCGGTTGGAAGGAATCACATACCTCAAGCAGGAGCAGCGTTGTCCCCCAGACAAGCGCAGTGGCTTCATCAGCGCCATCCATGTAACTTGACACTGCATCGCGCAATGAACCAACAGCAACAGCGAGACGCGAAGCTCGCCTGAGAACACCGTCCAATCGACTACCGTCCGCAGGCATGCGCCGAAGTCGCTCTGCCGCAATAGTATCGAAAAAGACATCGAGACTCGGGGCTTTGTTTTCGATCTCCTCCGCCGTTAGTCCCAGGCGTGTGGGACATTCTTCAGAGACAGTGTTGACTGTCTCCCGCAGGATTGGAAGCGACGTGACGCCTCCGTTCACTGCAATTGGCTCCATTGCGTTATTGGAAGCCATGCTGCATTCAATTCAACGAAGTAGGAAACCGGGGCAGCATAGCCTTGAATGGTTGCATTTGGCTCATGTGTGGTTACGAGGCACTATATGAACTTTGCACCACCATCGAGGTCAATGATGTTAAGGGAGTCCCGGAATTCCGAATGCTGAGCAATCTTGACATCATAATTGTCGTCCTTTCAGCACCACGTTTGTTACAGACAAATTAACTGCATGGTAACCGTGGATCGGGAGGCCCGGCGCGAAGTCTGTCGCTGTGGTAAATCTGGTAAAGAAGAGATTGTTCGGTATAGTTCCAGGCAGATCGAGCATAAGCCACGTGAAATCAGCGTAGTCGTGGTGTCATGGGCATTGCTATTGTCGGTCAACGACGAGTGCGATGCGTCATGGACGAGCAGAAGTCAATGACATCACGAGGATAGTAGGTTTTCTGTGGCCGCCATACGTAAGATGGAAATGGCATCCATGAAGAGAAAGGAGCTATACTGTATGACTGGCTTTGGAGATTAAAATCAAGTGGATATTTGTTGAGTACGGGAAGGAGCGATGGGTTTCTGGGGAAGCGGAGGCGTGGTGGTGGAGGAAGATATGGTGGTGGTGGTAACTATTGTTTTCTGGGGAAGGACAACATCCGCCGCCGGGAGACGAGATTCAGCACTCGCAAGTTCGTCACCCGAAACCTAGCCACGTCGTAACCTAGGATAATTGCTTTATCCCTATGTTTTTTATCCTTTGCAGTCCTCTTGACCTTGTTAACTTTACATTCAAGCATCCATCGCCCAGGTGCGTTCTATGCATTCCGACTGGGAGTCTTGTTCTGAGGGTAGAGTCTAGGAAGGTGACCAGAAACCATGTCCGCCCTACTCAAAGGCAAAGTGTCATAATTTGCTCCATGCGATGATGATAATGTAAATCAAAATTTAGAGCACGCCACTGAGTACTAGAGCAGCAACCAAGTCGCTCAGAACAGCGATTTTATGTGTGAGGCTGCTGGCTATGGTGGAATTTTGGCTTCTTATTTGTGAAAATGCTACAAAAGGGTCTAATGCCAGTGAGTAAGAAGACTATAGACCAGAGCATATTCGCATTAGATCAGAGGGTCAAAGGTCCTCACACAGCTGCGGAGCACAATGGCATTGGAAATTGCGTGGTCTTTACCCCCTGTTCTTCTTGAGACTATCGAGCCTGTCAACTTGACAGAATGATTAGACAGGATAATACGGTTTCAGTTGCTATCTGTAAGCATATATCATGGACCAGTACCTCAAATAATCAATACAGACTAAGTAATGTATTAACTTCTCTAGACGGTCACCTTAGGGCGCTTCCACTGCTTATACAGTGATTCACCATCGCTGGAGACTGACCACATAGTAAGGTCGACAATTGTCATATTTTGACAATCTCGCGTATTACAAAGAAAAGCATTGAACAGCACAAAGCAATCATGATACAGTAGTTGGTGAAAGATGCGCATTACCCGATTTCGTTGCTTATGTTCAGGGTCAACGTTGTTCGACCGGCGGCCGTTGACCGTATCCAACATACGTGGCTGCCAATTGACGGCGCACCCACTTTGGAACCATGTCAGTGGCAGAACCCAAATTGCCATTGGAATATCACTTACCTCTCCCGCCTTGAAAGGCTGATGACATGCTGGGCTGTCTTCTGATATGCAGCTGGGCAAAACTGATACCGTGGTGTTATAGTCCACTCCAAAGAAAAAGGGGATCGTATATCGTTCTTCCCCAGTGATATTGATGACCCGGTGTACAGTCGATTTAAACTTTCGGTTTGTCCTGCTTATTCTCAGCTACTATCTTCCCTCGCAATTGCGATCTTCAATTTTACCACATGGACAAACAATCCGCAATGTTAACCACCAGCGTGTTTGGAAGGGGCTGAACAGTGATCCACTCTTCGCTAGAGTTACGCACTTGCAGGGCTGGCACTTTGTCCTGGGAAAGAATGGTGATGCACTCATAGTCCTGCATTATCGATCAGGGTTTCTGGAAGGCACGGAGCAAGATGCAGATTCATATCAATCAGGAGAACCATGAACTCACCGTATGAGCGCCCAAACCGATCCTGGACGTATCATTTGCCGATTGTGAAGGATAGTGTAACATTCTGGATGTTGCGCCTGGGTACTCCATCATCGGGTCGAAGAACTCTTCTGGCAAGTCGAGTGCCAAAGCAAAGATTCGCATCAAGGAACGACATAGAGTTAATGCCTCTGCGAAGTATTCGATGTAAGTCCGTCGAAAACGAGGCAATTCGTCCTCAGAGGGCCACTGGTTGTCGCCATAGAGACCAAAGTCATCAGATGGAAGCGAATCGTGCGGTTCTCTTTGAGGATCTGCTGCAAGCTCATAGCCCATATCAAAGGATTCCGAATACGCTCCAGGTGTGCTGGCATTGTCAGGGTCTGGCTGTTGAAGCTCGAGTCCAGTCATCTGCTCAGCATACAGAGGCATGAAGCCGCGAAATTTCTGGCCCATATGTCAGAATTAAATCGACACAGAGAGTTCCAGTCAGAGTGACCTTGGAATTGGCTATGGAATATTGTGATTTCCGGTCGTCTGGGAGAGCGAAGAACTGGCATGCTGCTTCATGAAGTGCTGAGATAGTCGCTTGGGGAATTCCATGATTCTGTCGGTCTATGTTAGTCGTCATCACACTGGCAGATGTTGAGCTATCCGACCGTGATATAGAAGAACCCAACTTGCATACAGGCATCATAGATTTCTCTTGCTAGCGCTCGTCGCTCATCAAGCTGGGGACTGCGCAGATTGGTCAAATCAATGACTGGAACCCTGCTGAAGTCTCCCCTGACTGAAGACTCTGGAAGCGACATATTGTCCTATTGTGAATAATGGAAGCTTGCATATTCGATTGAAGAGGAAGTCACAGACTATGTACCGTGCGGAGAATGAGGGGTCAAATAGTTACACGAGGGGTGTCAGTCCGATAAGCCTCGCGGGCAGTTCGATTAAGACTACTAAGATATTGGTTGTACAATAACTACTGATAGACGATAAGATGACATGAGATTGGCGCCAAAAAATGGAGATAACATCCTGGAATGTCTTGACTTGCCCGTGACAATGGTACTGCAAATATACATTTTAAGAACTAGAACCAAAGTTGACACGATATCTGTAAGTTACATGGATCAGCGCTCGGTGACATTTTGCTCTCTGAATGTTGCGTTGTAATTGTACATCAGCTACAGGATAGCTGATCCACCAGCCTAAGTTGAGTTGCATATTGGGCCTATGTATGCTCCGCGTGCATTCACAACATGGGGGAAATATTGCGCGGAATAACAGGATGGCCGAAACGGGCGTGGTGCGGTGGGCGAGTGGCAGACCCGCTTTCTACCGCACAGGGTTCTTTGAATGTTCCGAGCCGCTCCGGCCAATGAAGGCGGAAATATTGGAGGAAAGGAGGGGATGCCGAAAGCGAAAGCGCCGATTTCCCGACGTCACGGGGGTTGCGCATCGAGTCCACTGGATTCTTTCCCTTACCCAATGCTTCGTTCCTTCTCCTCAACTGCGCGATTTTCGCCCCTGAGAGCTCCATCACCTTGACCGGATCGATTCGTACTGCGCGAACCATGCTCGCGCCGTACTGAGCTCCCCCCCTCCCAATCCGTTCGTCGAAGTGTCAAGCGACAGGGAGAAGCGCAATCGCGAGAAAAAAAAAATAGGAACAGCAATCACCTCCTATTTGTGTCAATGAGTTCTTGTTAGTCTTGAAGATCTTTTGAAGCTTCCCAACGCAGAACTCTCCAAAGAAAGCTAACCAGATCCTTGTTTTAGGAGCCATTGACCTCCCTGTTCTAATGCCACACACCCCGCTCTTCGGCTCCACGTTTGTCACTCACCCACCCCATCACAGCTAAGCATCGCATCCTGTGATGCTGTCCTCAACCGACGCAGGCTCTCGCCATGAGAGCCACCATGTGGAGAATGCAACGTCCCCTCTTACAAGCTCCCCAGGGCGAGCCTCAGATCGCACTGATCGCAAAACACCTGTGCCCAAAGTATCCAACAACAATGCGCAAAATTTTTTGAATGGCTTGGAAGGGGACTTCAAATTGAAACACTTGGGTCTTCTCGGAGTGCTTGTGTGGTTCTTGTAAGCCACACCTTTCAGACTCAATCTCCCTGACAATTAGCGAAATCGCGCCGCTCATGCTCGTCCACCAATAGGTTTCTGCATGTCGTGGGGATATTCTTCTTCACCAAAGGGTTCTTGTTGACTAGAATGGTCCTGGAAAACAAGTCTTCATGCGATGTGCTTCCGTTAGCCGATACAAGTGTCAAGAAAAATGACGGGTGTTGGCATAAGAAGTCATTTGACAAGGCCGTCGTTCTCATCATCGATGCCCTGAGATATGATTTCACGGTTCCCTTTACCTCGGATGTGGACGCGGGATCAGTCCCCCTATTTTATAATAACATCCCCGTCCTCTACGAGACAGCTGTGAACACACCGGACAACGCCTTTTTGCTTCCGTTCATCGCTGACCCGCCAACAACCACGCTACAGCGGCTGAAAGGACTGACAACCGGAACACTGCCGACTTTTGTTGATGCTGGCTCCAACTTTGCCGGAACAGCCATTGACGAGGATAACATTGTTGCTCAGTTTCGCGCGGCCGGGAAGACTCTGGTTCATTTGGGTGATGATACGTGGCAGTCACTCTTCCCCGACTACTTCGATGCGAATCTGACACGCCCTTATGATTCATTCAATGTTTGGGACCTGCACACTGTTGACAACGGCGTGACGGAGCATCTCATTCCCCTTCTACATCCTGCTAATGCCACCAAGTGGGACGTTGTCTTCGGGCATTATCTCGGAGTCGACCATGCGGGCCACCGCTACGGACCCAACCACCCAGCAATGGCCGCGAAGCTTCAACAAATGGACAAACTGATCCGCAATGTGATGGCAAAGCTGGACGACAAAACGCTTCTGGTAGTCATGGGCGACCACGGCATGGATTCCAAGGGCGACCACGGCGGCGAGTCGGATGATGAAGTAAATGCCGCATTGTGGATGTATTCGAAGAAGGGCATATTTGGGCGGACCAGCGAAGAGAATGCCAAGCCGCCCGCGCAGGCCAGCAACCGCTTTATTCCGCAGGTTGATCTTGTGCCCACGCTGTCTCTTCTTCTCGGCATACCCGTCCCTTTCAACAATCTTGGTTCGCCAATTGAGGAAGCATTCGTCGGGCCTAATGGCAACAACTGGAAGAACCTAGTGACTGTGAACCGTCTAGCTTCGGCTCAGATCAAACGCTATCAGCAAGAGTATGCATCGGTACGCGGGGCGGAAGAAGGAAATAGCCTTCAGTCAATTGAGCTGTGGAATGCAGCAGAGAACGACTGGCAGAACATCCCCTGGGTGGGCAAATCCAATCCCTCTACGTTGCGACCGGTCTACGACTCGTATAGGCACTACCAGCGGAACACCCTCCAGGTCTGTCGCAGTCTATGGGCCAAATTTGACGAGTGGAGTATGGCCCAGGGTATCGCTATTCTGCTTGCTGCAATTGTTTTGCTGGTGTTTTATGCACGTGGTATCAGGACGGGGCAGACAGAGCTCAATAACGCTCTGCTTAGGTCTGTTGGAGCAGGCACTGGTGTGGGTGCTATCACTGGCGCTTTGCTTGTGCTGATAGGTGTGGGGGCTAGCCCGCTGATCGAAGAATCAGTCTTATTCGCAGCCACAGGAGGGATCCTCAGTGCTTCATGGTCTTTGTTCTCCAGCCCCAGGCAACTAACAGTGCCTCTACCTAAGACATTGTGGGGTTGGCTTGCTATCGTCTTCACCGTTGCACAGTCTGTCGGTTTTGCTTCTAATTCTTACACTATCTGGGAAGATGAAATACTCTTGTTCTTCCTTTCGACCTTTGGCGTTCTTGCTGGTGTATCTTCGATGCGCCAGAAGTTGACGGCGGACAGGGTTCTAGGTGTCTATCATTCCATTCTCTTCGTCATCTTGGGAAGAGTGGCATCTATGTCTCGCCTGTGTCGCGAAGAGCAAATGCCATTTTGTCGCTCGACTTACTACTCGTCGGCAACATCTTCGACCTCCGCCCCTTGGCAGCTCATCATTCCCCTGATCTTGGCCTTTGTACTCCCGACCGTTGTAAAGTCCTTTTACGCAGGTTCGAAATCGTATCAAGGCGCCGCCCCTCTTTGGATCGGGTCTGCGTTCCGACTGGGGCTATTCTTGGTTGCTGTCTTCTGGGCGCTCGAGGGTGCTGACGATGGTGAGTGGCTGCCGGTCAGCAAGGAGACATTGAAGTCAAGCCGGGTCTTCCTGGCTCAGCTTGTCCTAGCTCTGGCTTTTGTTGCAGGCACGACAGCTTTCATCTACACCAAGCCGTGCATCAGCATCAATGTCAGCCAGGGCAACAACGATCCTGAAGCCAAGGGTAAGACATCCTCGTTCTCGTCGGCAGGGAGAACGACCGTCACAATCTTGGGTTTCGGCAACGTCTATGGAACGCGGTACTTCCTATTGGTCGTCAACTTCTGCCTTGGCATTATCCTTATGCAGAAGCCCATGGGCCAGGGAGCGATGGGGCTGCTGCTCTGGCAGATCCTCTCCTTGCTCGAAATTCTTGACACCAACGGCCTGGTGACTAGCAATTCGTCGATCGGACCAATCATCTTGGCGGTTCTGGGCTCGTTCTACTATTTCAAGACGGGCCACCAAGCCACGTTGAGCAGCATCCAGTGGGAGTCTGCTTTCATTCCTCTGTCCTCGGTGCAATACCCTTGGTCTCCGGTCCTCGTCGTTCTCAACACCTTCGGTCCCCAAATCCTCACCGCGGTCGCCGTTCCCCTGACCGTCCTGTGGAAGCGGCCTCTGCAACTCAGCGAGGAAGCCACGTCGACAAGCAAGGCGAGCAACCCGGCGATCCGCATCCTCTCCGACGCCATCCAAGCGGCGAGCACCTACATCTTGTATTTCGCCACCATCAACGTGGCAACCACGATGTGGGCCGGCCATCTGCGCCGTCACCTCATGTTGTACCGGATCTTCAGCCCCCGCTTCATGATGGGCGCCGCTGTACTGGGTGTCGTCGACATTGTCCTTATCTTGTTCTCCGTGGCCGGTGTGCGGTGGAGCATACTCAGCGTTGGCGACATCTTTGGGTGGTAGAGTGTTTGGCCTCTACCGGTCAACTCGCCCACCTTGGGGCCATTCTTCTTCCCTTGTTTCAGCTCTGACTGTCTATTCCTATTACTTTCTTGAAGCTTGGATATGACAAGTATCAGCGGAGCTTGTAAAGTACATTTGAACTTGCAAAACTTCCCTCCAGCGCTTGGCAGGCGGTGGCGCTGCCCAGCCCACTGATAGAATTTGCGGTATATACCATGATAATCATCAAAATCAATTCAATACTTTCTTTGTTCAAGATGGGTGATCTAGCAGCAGTGTCCCCGATATTAGTAGTATAGTTCTTGAGTGTGCTAGTCATTCTATGGCTGTAGTGCGATAAGCCCATAACAAATTGCACACATGTAGAATATCAAAGCTGGAAAAAAAATAGCCCTATATGATCGCGGCACGAGCAAATCATCTTCCAACATCAAACAACCTCCTTAGCAAGTCTATGTTAGACCACACCAAGATCCCATTCAATCCGCTTCGGAGACCCCCAGGTCGCAACCAAGCAGCCAGCTACCCGATCACGTGCGCCGGACAATCGCCGCGGGTAATCTCCTCCAAAAACGCGGGCGGGGGCCGATGCAGCATGACATGGAAATGCTCGACGGCATGGACCGACTTGAGTGACCGCCAGTTCCGGAACCAGATCACCTGTGGAATCACCCCATAATCAGCCACGCCCGCACTTCTCCACGGACTCAGATCCTTTGGAACAGAAAATTACCTGCTCCGGCGCCATGCGCGCATGGAACGTCCGCCTCACGAACCCGTCGATCTCGCGGCGCGCGCGCGGCGTCAGATCATCGACGACCGGATCCTCCTCCAGCGGGAATTTGGTCCACACCACGAGGTGCACGATTTCCGGCTCGAGGCCGTACGGCCAGTCGTTGTATAAGATGCGGAGGTCCTCTATATTTTGGACGGGGGATTAGCTTATACCTTTTAACCCGGGGGGACGGGGGGGGGGGGTTCTTTGTTGTTAGAATGAGGGAGGCAGGCCGACAAACCATCGAACTCAAACGGCCTCCCCTTGGCCCGCAAATCACTCTGCAGGCCTTCCCCCCACCGCAAGCGCTCCTTCACGACGAAGCGCATGATCGACCCGTGCTCGGCGATGATCCGCTCCTTGTACTCCAGGTACCGGCGCAGATCGCTGGGGAGGCGCTGGAAGCGGTCGATTCGGTTCGTGCCTGCTCAACCACCAACAACCATCACCAGGGATCTCGGTTAGCGACTGGGTCTGTGACGCAAACAGCTTCCGCTATATAAGATAAACGGATACGCAACGCAACGCAACGCACATACGGACGAGCTCTGTGACGAGGTCCCACCCTTGTCTTTGGTAGAGGTGGTCTGGGGTCGAGAGGATGTCGATGTTCTTCTGGGAGATGTCGCGGAGGTAGCTGGGGCAGGTGGGGGTCCATTGGGAGGCGGGGATGTTCATGAGCCAGTAGGGTAGGGATATTTCTTGTTGTTCTTCTTTGGGGGTGTTGTGCTTGGGGATGGTTGGTGTGTGGGAGTCGGTCACGGTGGCTAGTGGGCCTTTCTCGGTCAGGTATCCCTGTCTCTGTCGCGGGGAGAAGGCCGTTGTTGTCGGCATTGCTGCGACTGTCGTGGGTGACATCTTCTCTTCTGAATTAAGGTAAAGTGGAGGGGTGCAGGGTGAGGATGTTTTGTTGGGGATGAAGGTCTCGAAATGAGAATAAGGGAAGGATTCTGGGCACGATAAAAGGAGCTGCTGAGGTGTATACAGCTTTGACAGGTAAGTGAGAAGGGAAAGAGGGCGAAGGGAGGAGGGAGTGTCATTTAACAGGTGTAGGTGCAGGTTTCCCCCCGTAGCTTTCACTGTCAACCTTATTCTGACCCTGTTGGTATGACCCCAATGGGCATTGCGGCGGGTCCGGAAGTGGCAACTAATGGCGATCATTGGAGAAGGCATGGATGTGCAGGGCCGAGAAAGGAGAGAGTGCAACTGCCAGTGATGATAATTATAGGTAGGTGAGGCAGTCAATAAGGCAGACGCCGAGTCCCTGTGCATTCCTGAATGAGGCGTCGATATTGTCTCTACCGATAGAGTGGATTGTCACATCCTTTGTTAGGGGTAGTAGGTAGTGTGGGTTGCTTTTTTTCATGAGTGATTTTGTCTACTGTCCAGCTTAGAGTGTGAAAGTTGTATACTGTGCCACTTGGGTCCCATATCTCCATAGCATATATCTGGCTTGACAATAGGAACCTGCAGTGACGGCTCCCTCAAAATCTCTGGTTGATGGTTCTGGGTCAAGTCGGAGACCCCTTTCCCCCGGGCCGTGAAGATCATCGCCCGCATCCGGAGTATAGAGGCTGTCATCAGGCATGTACTGTACTCACTGTACAGGACCACCGTATGTGATAGCAGTACGAGAATTGGGTGATTGGGTCTGGACATTCTCTCACACAGCATCCAACCCGTATGACGGAGCTGACCTCAACTTGGCCATCTTCAATGATTATCGTGAATATAGTATAGTAAACCCCCTCAAATGGTATTCTAGTGGTAGAAGTGACGTGCCAAGTGAGTTGTTCCCCACAAAATAACAGTTTTTACTTGGCGAGACAATCCCAAGCATTCGGGGGCTCTTTTAGCGCCCAGCCCAGACACGAATCCAACCATCCACCTTCCCAACCAACGCACCTCCATTAAGCTACCCCTAAACACCCCTGCCCCCCGTGGCATACAAACAGAGACTCCTCGAATCACTCAACCAACCCCGCAATCTCCGGCCCATCCGACCTCACAATCACGACCCCGGCCTCCCTCAACTCCCGCCGCGCCTCCTCCCACCCTTCCCCCGGATCCACGCACCGCGTCGCATCCTCCACGAAATAACTCCGAAACCCGGCCCTCGCCGCATCGATCGCCGTGCACTTGACGCAGTAATCGCCCGCGACCCCCACCGAGAACACCGCCGTCACGCCCCGCGCCCGCAGCTCGGCCTCGAGATCACAATCCACCGAGCGCCGGTTCCGCTCGAGGCTGTTGCGGTTGCCGAACGCATCCGCGAACACCGAGTACATCTCCACGCGGGCGTCCAGCCCCTTCTTGACGAACAGGTCGATGCGTGCCGCGTCGAGCTCCGGGATCAGCGCCGCGCCCGGCGTGTCCGCGACGCAGTGCACCGGCCACAGCCGCTGCGGTTTGGTGTCGGTGTGCTTGCCCGGCGCCGGGTTGGTCAGCGTGATGGTACACTCGAAGGGGATGTTGTTGGGCGCCGGGTGGTTCGGGGCGAAGGAGATGTGGTCCACCGGGTGGTAGTCTTGCGAGGAGACGCGGAAGCTGAAGCCCCGGTGCGCGAGGAGCGTGTTGATGGTTGGGGCGAGGTCGCGCGCGCCTTCGACGGCTAGGGAGCCGTTCTGTTTTTTTCCCCGGGAGTGGTAAGTGGTTAGTTGGAGTTATTTTGTGTTTTCGTAGATTGGATTCGGGGGTTTTTTGAAGGAGGAAGAAACGTACGGGAGGACAAAAATCCTCCTGCATGTCGACAACCACTAGTGCTGCTTTCATCGTAGAGAGGATTTTTGCGATCGTTAAATCTTAGTGATATGGGGATTGTGTGTGTTGCTTGCCACTGGTTCTTGCTCAGGTGAGGGCTTTTATGGTGTGGATCGTCGCATGAGTTGCTTAGACTATAGGATCCTATACGTGTATGTGTGACTGTAGGAAGGCCGCCCCTAATTGAGGGGATCAATCGTTCGATAGTGTCAAAGTTCCCCGCTATGTTATCTTAGTTCAAGGGAGATAGATGGACGCGCAAGCGGTCGCTGGAACTAATCTCATGTTGCTTGGTCCGACCGCTATCAGCTGTGGAACCGAGCTTTCACAGCCAGAATAAGATGTCGTTCATGGATTCTGAAACAATACTCCGTATGCAAAAAGTCCTTTTCGCTATCGCTGGCACTATAAGGATAGCTGCAGCTGGATGAGCATGATTACACAGCAGATGCAGGCGACCCGCTAGTCGATCGGTGACTGTTCTCGTGCAATCTTGTAGGCACAGTTGAACAGGGAACGACTTATAGACATGTTTCTTATGATCTTAGATACTTGCGTACTTGCATTCTCTGCTGTGCTACAAGCACCACGTCTGTAGGGAAATGACGTACTGCACAGGCAAGAGGCACGTGATCAGATCCAAGCTTCTAGGCAATCGTCACCTGAGATCTCAGGCACTCATGATCACCGCCTAGGTCATCGCTCGCAGTGTGTTGCTCTACAGCAACCCACCTGAAGGCTCCACCATCAGCTTGAATCGGATCCCTGGCCTGTACTTTCAAGGCTACTTCAAGGCCGCTAGATACGCTCTTCTCATATAAGGTGTAACCGCGCAAGGAAAAGCAGCCAACCTGGGTCTCAAGGGATATGATTAAACGCCTATCCAATCATGGATGACGAAACAAATATCAAGCACGAGGCGGAAGGTTTGAGTGCGCGATACCCTGTAAAACAAGAGTCAACGGAGTCGTCTGATGCAGCTGCCACATCTGCACAGTCGTCCGGACCCTCGGTGGCGATCAACGAGGCGAGCCGCTTGAAAGAGCTGCAGGCCGACGTCCGTGACCAGGATGATCTGGAGAGAGATATCGCCCGCCAGGCAAGTAGCATGGCCCCACATGCGATACACCTCTGGACGGATGAGTTACTAACCACGCTCGCAGGCAGACAAGCTGCTCCTGGAACAGGCCGATGAGCGCGACAACAAGAGACTGGAGCGGACTACCCGCGAGAAACAGTATGATAGCTCCGGCCCCCTCCGTGCTATGCTCCATAGAGCGGCGCTCACTGTTCTTTTCGCAGGAAGGTCGAGTCACAGATCCTGAAACTCCACCAGCGGCTTTCCCAGCCCATCGGGACCGCCGCGAGGGTGCGCGCGCAGAATGAACTCCAGACCCTCGAGTCGCGCAACACGGCGTTGGCCAATGACCTGGTGGATATCCAGCAACGCATAGTCGACAGAAGCCGGGAGCAAGAGGGCGGTGGTGAGGCTTCGAGAATCGGACGCCTGCCAAACGAGTCTCGGAGGGACTACCTCATTCGTACGGGGAAGATCACCCCGTTCATGAACATGAGCCATGGCCCGGACCATGGTCCGCTTGCTAGCCTGCAGGATGCTCTTATCGACGCCGAGGATGAGCATGATGAGGCAGAGGCCCTGGAGCGCTTCAAGGCTCGATCGGCAGTCTCGCATCGAAACCTTGTGCAACCGGGGTTTGATTTCGATGTGTCCAGTGGCCCTGACAGCACGGATCTGTCTGCGGACACTCGAGGTGTAAAACGTCGAAAGCTGGGGCATGCGCAGCCCTCTAAGAAGATTCCTGAGAAAAAGGAGGAGTTGGGCTATAGCTCAGAAGCTCCCGATGGCACTCGGTCTGAGAAAGATGATGACTCCAACTATGTAGCGTCGGAAGGTGAAGAGTCACCGCTCGACTTTGAAAAGGACTGGGCTCCGGAAGGGCAGTCGGAGCGAGCAGCGTCCCAGAAGAAGAAAAGTAAGACGTCTTCTGACGAGATGGAAGACTTCACCGGGCTGGACGATGGCAACGAGACAGTGTATCAAACAAGACTGCAATCGTGGATCAGTCGCAGGAGTGCAGCAAGAGACCGTGCGCGTAAGACCCAGCATTCAGGAGAAGATGGCGATGTGGCCATGAATGAAGATCCGATTCTAGACGAAGATACGGAACAGGACGAGTGGTTCAAACCTCACCCAACTGTCCCAGATATGCATTTTGACAACGGATATCGTATACCTGGCGATATCCATGCCTTGTTGTTTGACTATCAAAAGACTGGAGTACAGTGGCTGTGGGAGTTGCAACAGCAGCAGGTCGGTGGTATCATCGGTGATGAGATGGGTCTGGGCAAGACCATCCAGGTCATTGCGTTCATCGCTGGTCTGCATTACAGCAAACAGCTCACTCGGCCTGTGGTCATCGTGTGCCCCGCAACAGTCATGAAGCAATGGGTGAATGAATTCCACCGCTGGTGGCCCCCTCTTCGCGTTTCCATCTTACACACCTCTGGCAGTGGGATGGTCAACCTTCGAAGTGAAAGTAGCAGGGAGGACGCATTACTGTCCCAGGCCTGGAATGCTGCCACTTCTCGCCGTATGCCTAATGGATTGAAAGCGGCGCGCAGAGTCGTTAAGCGCGTGGTCGAAGAAGGACATGTGCTAGTGACGACCTACTCGGGTCTACAGACCTATGCCTCTCTTGCGATCCCAATTGAGTGGGGTTGCGCTGTTTTGGATGAAGGCCACAAGATCCGCAACCCGAATACCTCGATCACAATCCACTGCAAAGAGCTTCGGACGCCGCATCGGATCATTCTTTCAGGAACCCCCATGCAGAATAACCTGACAGAGCTCTGGTCGTTATTCGACTTTGTCTTCCCGATGCGACTGGGGACTCTGGTGAACTTTCGCAATCAATTCGAGTTCCCGATCCGTCAAGGTGGCTATGCAAACGCTTCGAATCTGCAAGTTCAGACCGCCGTCAAGTGTGCTGAGACTCTGAAAGACGCAATCAGTCCCTACCTCCTGCAGCGCTTCAAGATAGACGTGGCTTCAGACCTTCCCAAGAAGAGCGAGCAGGTTCTCTTCTGTAAACTGACCAAGGTGCAACGAGAGGCATACGAGGCATTCCTTAGCTCATCCGAGATGCAAGGTATCCTCAACAAACGCCGACAAGTCCTCTACGGAGTTGACATCTTGCGAAAGATCTGCAACCACCCCGACCTACCAAGTCACAAACTCCAGTCCTCTGCAAAGGATTACGGAAGCGGCAGCAGATCTGGCAAGATGCAGGTCGTCAAATCACTGCTTGAACTATGGAAGGACACTGGACACAAGACTCTACTCTTCTGCCAACATCGAATCATGTTAGACATCTTGGAAAAGTTCGTGCGGGCGATGTCTGGATTCAATTACCGCCGAATGGATGGCACCACCCCAATCCAGCATCGGCAGACGATGGTCGATGAGTTCAACAACGACCCAGACCTTCACGTGTTCCTGCTTACGACCAAGGTTGGCGGACTGGGTGTGAACCTCACCGGTGCGGATCGCGTCATCATCTACGATCCGGACTGGAACCCGTCTACAGATATGCAAGCCCGCGAGCGGGCGTGGAGACTGGGGCAGAAGCGGGACGTCACGATCTATCGACTGATGACGGCCGGGACCATTGAGGAAAAGATCTACCATCGTCAGATCTTCAAGCAGTTCCTCACCAACAAGATCCTGAAAGACCCCAATCAACGGCAGACATTCCAGATGAGCGACTTGCACGATCTCTTCTCCCTTGGCGAGGATAACCAAGGGGCCACCGAGACCAGTAAGATCTTCAAAGACACTGCAGCCACGACCTTCAAGAACGGCGACAACAACAATGTCTCCAAACCCACAGCCTCGGCCGCTGCAACCCCCGCAGACGTCGAAGACGAGAAGAGGGACATCCGCAAAGCGGCGGGCGTTGCATCAATCGAAGAATACCAAGGCGAACAGGAACAGCAGCAGCAACAACAACAAAGCGAATCCGAGCCCACCGTCGGCAGCGGCCCCGGTAATGCAAACCAAGAAGCGCGCATCATGGAGAAGATCTTCGCACGCTCCGGCGTGCACTCAGCGCTGGAGCACGACCAGATCCTGAACGGTAAGCGCGTCGTCCGGGCCGATCCCAAGATCATCGAGGCCGAAGCCAAGCGCGTGGCCGCCGAAGCAGCGGAAGAGCTCCGGCGGGCCGGGGAAGCCGCGAGGTCCGTCCCCATCGGCACACCCACCTGGACCGGCCAGTTCGGCGTGGCCGGCCGACCCGAAGAGCGAATATCCTCCCCCTTCGCGAGAGGCGGCGGCGGCGGCGGCAGTAGCGCGAGACGGGCGGGCGCCGGCCCCTCGTCCGCCAGCATCCTTGCCAACCTTTCCTCTTCTGCCGGCGGTGCTGCCTCGCAGAGATCTTCCCCCGCTTCGCGCAGCAACACGAACAGCCCGGCTCCGTTGACATCGTCGTCGCGGGCGGCGCCGAGTGGAATCGACTTCATCACCCTGCTGCGCGACTTCATCACGGCCCATGGCGGCTCGGTCTACACGCAGATGCTGATCGACCAGTTCAACCACCATTGCACGACGCCGCAAAAGACCGCCGAGTTCAAGGAGATGCTCAACACCATTGCGGTTCTGGAGAAGGGGGGCCGCAGCCGACGCGGCAAGTGGACGCTGAAGCCGGAGTATGCTCAGAAACGATAATTTCTAATGTGCTTGTTTAGCGGTTTTCGATCCACCGGCATGTGTTCATGATTAGATGTATGAATAGATCCTTGGGAAAAGATGGCTCCTATAGGAAGATTTGCAAGTTCTCTTGTCTTTTCTGATATGAAAAATACTGGCTTCAGACAGTGATTTAATGAAAGATTAACATTACCCTTTCCTGAGGCCTTCCATTGGGTCTGGTGACTGTTCTACACCACCTACACCACACTGCAAACGTCTAAGCCTGCAAAGGTCGGCTCGCGAGTCTAGTCGATACTGTACGTATTACCTGATCTCATAACATCCATGGCATACTCACCGCTACTGCCGGTATAAGTCTATTTATATCACGAGCTACGTCCTACTTGGGACCCCCCTGCCATGCCCAAGAATCTGGGCCAGCATGATCTAGCAAACCAGATCTGACCGCTTTGCCTCCATACCACCCCTTGCTTACCTTGGTAGTTCAGCCCAATATCCCCGCATTGAGATCCGCAAATCTAGCCGCACCATACCGCATGATTTGCACAATCTCGTGCTCGTCGATGTGGCTCTTGCGCAAGACCCGCAAGAGCTCCAGGGGGACCTCATTAGAGTCCATCCAGAGCGAGGCCGAATTCTGCGCCGCGTAGTACCGGCTGAGCGCGATGTAAGCCAAGGCGCAGAGCCCTCCGACGCAGCCCAGCCGCCGCAGCCAAGGGCGCTGCTTCGGCGGGTCGAAGTCGATGGCACCGCCGAACTTCCGAAAGTCGCGCGGCTCGTGGGGCTGGAGGACGTACTCGGACTCGGACGGGTCGGCGGGTTTCTGGACTTCGACCTCCTTCCGGTAGTCTTGGTCGGCGGACAGCTTCGTCCATTCCTTGGCGGTGGTGGGGAAGCTGCTGCGGAGCATGGTGGGCTTGTGCGTGGGCGGGAGGTAGCTGGGGCCGACGAATCGGGTCTTCTCGCGGGGGAGGACCTTGGCCGGCGCTGTGGACGCCTGCTCGGTTGGCTGCTTCACGGAAATGACCCGCGCCTTGGGGACCAATGGCGGCGGCGGCGGTAATGCCAGCGCTTGTGACTGCTCCAACCGGCTCTGGAGCTGGTTGAAGTTGACGACCGAGGCCTCCTTCAGGTACCAGACGACTTTCTCGAGGAGCTCCTCAATCGTCGGCGTGCGCTGCATCTCCGTCGCCATCGCGGTCTGGATGACCACCAGGAACTGCTCGAGCGCCGTCTCCGGGGTGATCTCATCGAGGTAGGTCCGCGAGACGTTCATGTCGTCCAGCATCTTCGTGATGGCCATGAATCCGCTGTCCGGCGCCTGGGACGGCCACTCGAAGTCGAACTCCAAGTCGCCCATGCGCATGCGCTTGAGGTGGTCGCCCATCTCCAGAATAGGGTCCGGCGCCATGGCTTCGCCTTCCAGACTGAAGTCCGCGAACCCCCGTTTGCGCGATCTCGCCTCGAATCGGGGCTCGGTCGGGGTCGGCGGCAGGTACAGCGGCACCCGGGGCTCTTCCACCCACACGCTGGAGCCCTGATCCACCAGCATGGTCTCCCGGGGTTGGTTCCAGAGCTGGGCAACCATGCTCTGGGGGATCTCCCGTTTCTTTCTCTTTTTCCTCTCCTCCGGGGCCTCCTCCTCTCCCCCGCGCCACCATTTCACTCCAGTTCTGAGATCGTTATGCGGGTTTGCGGACGGATCTGCCATATCATGATCGTAGGCTGTATCGTAACCGTGTGAGCTTTTGGCGTAGTTGGTAAAGGCCGCTAATTTCTGGCTGAAACCCTCCAGGAGTTGACTTCGGTTCGTTTCATCCAGGACATCGACCATCTCGTCGTCTTGTTGGCTATTTCTTGTGCTGTTATTCTTTTTGTTCTTTTTCTGTATCTCTTCCTTCGACTTGCCCTTCGCAACCAGGTATAGGGCGTCGTCCTGGGCAGATGCCATTCGAACTGCACGGCGGAGCTTCTCATTGAGACACGAGTTCTCCTCCTCCAACTTGTCGTTCAGCGATTCGACGCTTTCGTCACTATAGCTGTTTCTCTGCAGACTATGATGCAGTTCTTTTTTCGCCTCTCCTACTTCCTTGCTGTACCGGACAAGCTGGTTCTGCAAGTCCTTCAAGCTCTTGTTGCGATGCTTGGCATTTTGGCCCATCTGCCGACACCTCTCCCGTGCCTCGTTGAACAGCTCTTCCTGCCTCGCGGTTCTCACTTTCAGGTTGGCATTCTCCCTTTTCGACTTGATAAAGTTCTTCTCGTGCCGTTTGCCTCTTTTGTTGCTCGCCTGGAGCTCCTGGCGCAACGCCTGTTCTTTGCGGTGCCATTGCTTCTCCGTCTCGGTCAGGGCCTTCGTCAGCGCTAGCAGCTGGTTCTTGAGTTGGGTGTTCTCCGTGTCGAGGCCAACCGCCTTCTGCTCGGCATGGGTCAGCTGCGTCTTGTTCTGGTCGAGGGTCTGGTAGAACCACTCCGCCTTGACTTCGGGCGACTCATTCCTGTCGCGGAGATGGTCGAGGACCTCCTTGTCCTGCTGGAGTTCGTGCACAGAGAGACGGTTGTTGTTGTTGCTGTTGTTGCTGTTGTTGTTGTTATTATTGTTGTTATTGTTGTTGTTGCGGTTGTTATTATTGCGGTTGTTATTATTGCGGTTGTTGTTATTATTATTGTTGCGGTTGTAATTGCGGCTGTTGTTTTTGTAGTTCGACATCTTGCAGTCTTCTTCTGATTTCGCTTACTGGTTAGTCAATCTTTTGGGGCGTTTGTGGAGAGAGGAATGGTTTAGTATATTGTTTGGCGTCTCACGAGTCACAGACTCCGAGGTCTTCAAACTGAACAAGTAGAAATGTTCGTCTGAAGTATCTTGTTCCGATCGATTTTGCGGGTATTGGGTCATGACAGACTCTCGATGTAGTCAATAGCTGGTGAAAGATGCGAACATTTGTTACTTATATTAGTCTGCCCTTTGTCCATGGCTGCCGAAGTATATCGGAGGACGTCAGGTACTCGTGGTTGAGCTTCAATTGTGCAGGTCAGATCGAAGTCGATCTCCGCAAACAATCTTCTACCTGGCATCGTCTCCCGGGACCTGCCCTGGCCAGAAAGAGAGCTTATTATCTGAGCATGAATGATCTGGTTGATGGCCACAATGACATTGTCGCAGTTGTTCTTTCACTGATACAACAAAGCAGACAGTCAGGCTTGGTCCTGTAGACCGTATTCTTTCGTTTGTCTCCATTGTTTTGAGCTAAACAAAGCTCTCAGCCAGTAGATGAGAGCAATTGTAGCTGGATGGAGTTGCTGCCCAATTTCTTGTATGTATTGTGAGTCGAGTACTTCATAAGACAAATGAAGGTACACAAAAGCATGAGATGCGGGATGCCTCAGGCGTTGCTGGCGGGTATCTCCGCGATCACGTGTTGTGTGTCGGGAACACCCCACACTATTCCTAAAATAGCAGCACATCCTTTTTTCCATTCCACCACCCCGTGATGCGCTGCGCTATCGCAATCGAGACGGGGAAATGAGGGTCTCCGCCTGATCTTCCCACTCTCCCTGAACCCCTCGTGTGTGCGTCGCGTCCATCTATTCCCGACAGGGTCTTCACGATTCATTTTACATTCGTTTCAAGATCTTCTTCTTGCTGCCTTTTCTTCCCAGCTGTGTGGCATCTTCGAGGCGCTGCCCGGTAATAGGAGCAGCGAGGCCAACTCTTTGTCACCTGTTGTTGTGGAGACCGGGTCGGAGGCCCGCCCATCTTATTTACCTTGCAAGGAACCTCTTCTGACCAAAGCGATCGCCCGTGACATTCTCCTCGCCGCTTCTTGTTCAAAGAACTATTCGAAGACAAAATGGGGTTCGGCGACTTCGACTCGATCTGTGAGAAGGCACCATTGCCTCTGTGCTCCTTGGTGGGCCCTCCATCCTCGATATCCGGCCTAACGGGCATTATTCCCAACTGCTATGCACGCAACATCGAACTGGCCAATACCATCATTTTCGAGGGCGCCGCTTCATTCGTGCATATCATCGCCCTTGGTATGACGGTGATCATGGTTTTGCACGTTCGTTCGAAGTTCACTGCTGTTGGTATGGTCTTGCCATCTCTGTCGGATATTCCCTCTGTCTCATAGTGGGATTCGCTAACAAAGAGCCATGATGGCATACAGGCCGCAAGGAAATTCTGACCTTCTTCTACATCTACCTGCTCTTGACTATGTGTTCTTTGATCCTGGATGCAGGCGTGACACCCCCAGGAAGTAGCTCGTTTCCTTACTTTACTGCCGTACAAAACGGCTTGGCCTCGGCACTTTGTACCTCGTTGCTTATCAACGGCTTCGTGGGATTCCAGCTCTATGAAGATGGCACCACTCTATCTGTCTGGCTCGTGCGACTCAGTTCGGCGGTCATGTTTGTTGTCTCCTTCCTTGTCTCCCTCGCTACCTTCAAGTCCTGGGGTAGCCTCGGGCCTACTAACACCATCGGCATGTTTGTTGTGCTGTACCTTGTGAATGCCATCTTCATCGTGATTTACCTGGTCATGCAGCTACTTCTCGTCCTCAACACCCTCGAGGACCGCTGGCCGTTGGGCCATATCGCTTTCGGTCTTGTGGTTTTCATCTGTGGGCAGGTTCTTCTTTATGCGTTTAGCAATGTGATTTGCGACAACGTGCAGCATTATATGGATGGACTCTTCTTCGCAACGCTTTGCAACCTGCTAGCGGTCATGATGGTGTACAAGGTAAGCACATGCTATTTCTATATGACAGACTGGATCTCTGACGGCGGTATACAGTTCTGGGACTATATCACGAAAGAGGACCTCGAGTTCTCTGTTGGAATCAAGCCCAACACATGGGAGGTTAAGGAGCTCCTTCCCGAAGAGGATCGCCGGCAGACGATCTACGCCGATGCTGATTCGGAATATGCGGGGAGCATGTACCATCACCGAGCGTCAACCTATCACGGCCACAATTATTAATTTGCCAAGCGTGTTGGACTCTAGCATCTAGTTGGAATTCAACACGGTTTCTCCGGCACTTCTTATTCATTCCATCTTCAAACGGCCCCTTTTCTCGGCACACCGGGGGCCGGGTTGAGGGGGGCAACTCCGAACCTTACCCCTCCTCCATCTGGATCTCAAGGCCTATGCGCAACGCTTTTCTAGCTCTCTTGAACCATGCCCGATTAACTGGGCAATTGCGAATAATTGACGATCTTTTTGTATAATCCATGTGTAGGCGCTTGGGGGACGTTCTTTCTGATGACCTGTTTGCGTTGTTTGCATTGGGGGCCATCGTGCCTCCCACCCTGCCTGCTTGCTATATGCCCAAATATCCAGTTTCATTGTTCTTCTTCTGAGGCCCCAGGATAGTTTCTAACGAGGGCTTATTTTGTCATCTACGGGTACACATCTCGAGTACCAAATACATTACATACCTAATTCATGGTTTATCATCTGCACATGCGAACTTTATGTTGACATACGGTAGCTTCGGGGTTCCGGTGACTAAAAATAGCCGCCCATTCAACATTGCCGCTCTGCAAGGGCCGAGGACTGTCCAGACCGCAGTACGTGGGCACTACGAGTAAGTCAGTAGGCCGGCTAAACCAAATTCTCCATGGCACGCACAGCAATCAGTCTAGGAGAAATGAAAATACGAGGTCACATTCGCTAAGTCCACGGATCGCATGGAACCCACCGTGAGCCAATGCGACAAGCTCCGGAACCGGCTCAGACCCTTTTTCCTTTTCCTTTTCCTCTTCCTCTTTTTCCTTCTTAGCGCCACTAGTCTAGCCTCAGGCCAACCTACTGGCGGGCGTGCCAAAATGGTCAGACCCCGTCCGTCCGTCCGTCATGCTCCATCTATCAAATGCTTAGCATGTCAGAGATCGAACAGCGTCCCTCACCCTGAGTTGGACCTCGACCGAGTCTCGTCTCAACCCCATCTGCCTATCTGCCCATCCGCCCATCCGGGGTGCTCTGCCTTCACAGTTCACCGACAATGGCGACAAGTGAAAAAAAAAGGTTCCAATGTTCCAACGGATTGCCCATCGGATCGAGCAATTTGCTTGAGACCCATGAGGATCCACCCTGGTGGAAATCAAGAAATACCACCCTACCTATACGGTACTCAGCACCACAACAGGTAAGACAGGCCCATCTCAGGAAGCAAATCTTGCCGACTTGGAACGACTAGCCCGCAATTGCTTTCCCACTTATCGCCCGCTTTCACCCAAACCGCCCCCAGCATTGTCCAGCCAGCCCCTATCAGGAAATGGGCGAGGCAGATCCAATTTACGCTAAAGCGAACTTAAGCACAATGTACTCGAGTAGATTAAAGGAGAAAGGGGATTAGCCCGACCCTTCGACCCAGTCGAACCCTGGGTGAGTCCATTAATCTTACTACATATGCAGTCATGTCCGACTGAAAGATAACTATAGGTTGTCGCCCTCGCTCTCTCCTCTCGTCGTCACTTACTCACTTCTCCCCCCCCCCCCCAATATCCTTTTGGGATGAACCTCATCCCATTCCACCTTATCCTCTAATCTTCTTTCAGCCCATTTCTTTGCTTGTGTCGAACCCTTCGCTCGCTTTGCTTTCTTGTCTATCTATCTATCGGTCAATGAACCGTGAAGTCAGTCTTTACAACCTGTGCTTATGACACCACCAACCAACCAACGCCCTGCCACAATCACCCGACGAGACCTCTTCTCGCTACTGCTACTGCTTTAAACCGCACGCCTCGAAAAGGAATGAACCAACTCACTATATAATACAAGCCCAGTACCACAGCAATAATCGATCATCATGATTCTCTCGCTCAGTCGCCCGGTCACCCTGGCCCTTTCGACACTTCTCCTCCTCAACTTCTACCTCTTCCACCGCGTACTCCACCAGCCTGTGGTCACTAGTACATTTTCCGTAAATACAACCCCGGTCCAGCAGCAGCAGCGAGAGCAACAAGACCAGGACCAGCAACAACAGGCCTTCCTATCACCTACTCCTACTCCGTCACTCGAACCAACTAGCGCCACTCAACCCACCTGGACCACACTCCCGATCTCAGCAGCGACCCCAACCCCAACCCCAACTCCAATTCCAACTCCAACCGCTTTTCCTCTGAAGCTGTGGCAAAAGTCAGGTCCCAAAGGAGTTTCTCCGGACATCCAGACCTATATCCAATCGTGGCATGCGCTCAACCCGTCCCTCCGCCACGAGATCCTTTCCGACGACAGTGCTCTCGCTTACGTCGAAGAGACCTTCCGAGACGAGTGGCCCGAGGTGGCAGATCTCTACCAGCAGATCCAGGTCCCAATCATCCGCGCCGATCTCCTTCGCTTGTTGATTCTCTATGCCGATGGGGGCATCTGGAGCGACCTGGATGTCACTTGCGAAACACCTATCGCGGAGTGGATCCCCGACGTATTTGTCAGGGATGACGGCAACATCTGGGTGAAGGAGCAGGTCAACGTTGTAGTCGGACTGGAGTTTGACGGATGGCAGTTTGCCAGTTGGACAATGATGGCCAAACCCAGGCTGAATCACTTCGAGGCGGCGATCGAGTATGTGATGCACCAAATGGAGGAGATCGCACAATCGCACAATGTGTCGCTCTCTGGGGTGACGATGGAAATGATTCCCGACGTTGTGGATGCGAGTGGTCCGCAGGCCATCACCGTGGCGCTACTCCGGAGTCTCTCGCATACGCTGGGCGAGACGGTGGATCGGTCCAATATCACCAACTTGCGTGAGCCGAGGCTGCTCGGGGACGTGCTGGTCTTGCCGCAGGCGGCATATGCAGCACTGCAGGGCGGGTACCCCGAGGACCAGGGACCCTACCTGGTCTCGCATCATTATGCGGGTTCTTGGAAGAATGTCCAGGGAGGTGAACAACGGCGCTAGCCCGCATTAACCTTTGATTCTGGTCTTTTGTCTTCCTCTTTACTCCTGGTTAATTTCTATGTATATATTGAAATCACATATCATTTTTTTTCCCCTTAAATGCACGGAAATGATTCTCTATTTCACGAGTTACCTAACATCCTGTGATATCTGAGTGGCAGCACAGACCAATTCCAAGCGTTATGGCCTGAGGCAGGTGGGGAATATGAGTCAGCGCACGTGGTGTCACGTGGATTTGGCAGATCCCCTCCCTGCCGAAACCGGGCGACCAGGGCGAATTCCAACGATGCGCTCAGAGCGACTTGACTTTGCTTGAATTCCAGCATTGTTTCTTTGATACGTGCACCGTCATGTTCCGGCGGGCCTGCAGGATAAGGCCTCTCCGGTCAGTACCGCTCTCACATTCGATCATCCGCTTGTCATCCTCTCTCTCTCCGCCGCTGATCTCTATTAAGAACACGACCTTTTACAAGACTGCGCCCACACCTCATGACAAAACCCGAGGCACAAACCCGGCCGTATTCAAAAACGTCGATTTCACCCTGCCGAGCGAGCCCTTAGAGGAGGATAATTTCGAAATCCAGACCTGGGCCGTTGTCGGGCGCTCTGACAAGACTCAGTTCCTCGAAATCCTTGGCGGCAAGTACATACCTAACCCCCCCAACGGCCGGAGTTACCCGTACCTTCTCACCGATGAGATCGCCCAGCGCAATCCCCGAGCGCGATTCCCACACAATGCGATCAGATACCTGGGGTTTAGCGGAGAAGGCTCCGTAGCCAATGGGGGCACGCGGGGCGCCTATCTGAGTGCTCGGTATGAGAGTCTGCGGGAGGAGACGGACTGGACGGTGCGCCAATTTCTCCGCGGCCAGACCTCGTTGAACCCGCTCCCAGAGGAGCAAGGTGGTACCATTGATGACGAGGAGTTGCTCGCCCGGGTCATCGAGGATCTGCGGCTGGCTGAGCTTCTGGACATGCCCGTGGCCAACTTGAGCAACGGTCAAATGCGACGAGCCCGGGTCGCCAAAGCCCTGCTGAAGAAGCCGGAGGTGCTACTTCTTGACGATCCTTTCAGTAAGTCCTCATCCTGGCCCATGCTGTCCAGCGCCGAATCACTCACTGATTCAAACCGCTTTTAGTGGGCCTTGATCCTGAATCCCTCGCAAGAATGTCGGAACTCCTCCGCCGCCTCGCCCGCAAGGCAGAACCCCGGTTGATTCTCGCTTTCCGTCCACAAGACCCATTGCCAGACTGGATCAGTCATGTTGTCATACTCGGCGACAACCAAGGCTTGATATACGTGGGGCGTCGCGCACTTGCCCATCAACTGACCAATGTATGGTCACAATTTGCCCAGTCTCGCCGCTTCGGCACGCACCAAATCCTTGCCAATCCACCGTATGAGGCAGACGTCCTGGACGGCTACAACAGGCTGCAGAAAAACACCGAAGGAAGCTACGTTAGATCTATACAGAAAGCGGCATCGATCATGACCCGGGAATACATGCAGGAATTTTTAAGGGGGTTTTCACCATCTTCTCTGTCCGACAGCGCGCCAGCCAAGCTTCATCCGCCCCGAGGAGGCGAACCCTTGATCGAAATGGAAGGGGTTCGCGTGCAGTATGGAGACAAGGCCGTTTTGGGCAATTGGTCACAGTCTGTTGACGGCGAATTGAAAGAGGGCCTTCACTGGACGGTGCGTCGCGGCCAGCGCTGGATTATCCTCGGTGCCAACGGATCCGGCAAGACGACGCTCCTCTCGCTCATCACCTCCGACCACCCTCAGACATATGCGCTTCCCATCCGTCTTTTCGGCCGCTCCCGTCTGCCGGAAGAAGGCAAACCGGGCATCTCCATCTTTGAACTTCAGCGGCGCATTGGTCACTCCTCGCCCGAAGTCCACGCTTTCTTTCCCCGTCAGCTAACCGTGCGGGAAGTTATCGAATCCGGCTTTGCTGAGACCTTCTTGTCGCGGCCGAAGATGGACTACGAGCGCGATCTGGACGTGGAGGCCATCCTGGAGCATTTCAAGCCTGATCTCAGCACTGCCCTAGCGCTCCCGCGCAATCGATCAGGTCGCAAAAAGGGGGTCATTACGCAAGCCACTGGCAAGATGTTCCCGTTGCACGATGCTTACCACTTCAGAAAGGAGTACCAACCCCCTGGCCTTGAGATGGAATGGGCCGACATGGTCACGTTTGGGCAGTTACCGCCCGACCTTCAGAGACTTGCTCTTTTCCTGCGCGCTCTGGTTCATCGGCCTGATATCGTCATCCTCGATGAGGCGTTCTCTGGAATGACCAACGGTCTACGTGACAAGTGCATTGACTTCCTTGAAAACGGACTTGGCCCGGAGTCTCGCTTCGGCGGTCTCTCCGATGAGCAGGCCCTCATCATGATAAGCCATCTCCGTCAGGAAATCCCCGAGAGCGTGCGCTACTACATGCGTCTGCCGTCGGAAGAACAGGAGGGCACCTTCCGCTTCGGCCCGCTCCAGCCGCAGAGCTCCTTGCGTAGCCCCAAGGTTTGGAACATGCTGTGGGCGCCGCCGGGGGTCTACAACAAGAGGACCACCCCAGCTGATCCGGCGGAGGTCCCGGAGGGGGAGGCGGTACGGGAGGACTACAATCGGTACGATTGGCGATCTGTCTAGAAGCTCGGAAGTGTTAGACTTTTGTACAAAACTACATCTGGCGAGTTAGTGGATTGGTTGGATTTAGCGGATGCTTAAATGTATTATTACGCTTGATATAGAATGCAAAATGCGCAACATGAACATAGATCTCAGCCTCTCCCCACATTCCGTCCTCTGTCCAGTACTCCACCAGTTGAGCGCTGACGACGGAGCCGGAATAGCCGAGTGCGGGGGAATCATCCGGGGTAATGGTTGACCGAGCGGGTTATCCGAGCTCCCCACGGCCGTTCCTTAAATCCATCCTTGTCAACTCCCACCACTCCCTCACAACAAGATATAGAACCTCCGCGGTGCAATACCAGCAGCAGCAGCAGCAGCAGCAGCAATGACAAGCACGGATTGGGCCCTGTCCGCCCCATGGATCTGGGTACCGCACTACCTGGAAGAGGACAACCAGCCCGGACGATATTTTCTTTTCCGCAAAACCTTCCAATGGCCTGGCACCGCTCGCAATGACCACGAATACCTCGTGCACGTTTCCGCCGATAGTCGATATCGCCTGTTCGTCAACGGGCGCAGCGTCAGCTTCGGCCCCTGCAAATCGCATCCCGGCAAGTGGTACTACGAGACGGTGGACATTCGCCCGTACCTCGTCGCCGGTGCCAACGTGGTCAGTGCCCGGGTTCTACGCTACTCGAGTATCGTGGCCGGCTCGTCCTCGATCGTCAGCTCGCCGTTGCCGGGGTTCATGCTCTATTCGGCCAGGGAGGTGGGTTGGCTGCTGTGCGGGGGTCCCGTTGCCCGCGTTGCTCTTGTTGATTTTTCACAGAAACAGTTTGCTGATGTGAGTTTATAGGATATCCCAATTTCCAGCGATGTGTCGTGGAGATGCTGGGAGCAGAAGTCCGTGCAGGTCATTCCGCACGCGGAGTGGAATTTCCTGCTCGGGCCGCCGTTCATGGCGAACAATGAGCGGGTCGAGGAGGATCCGGCCCTGCGTGGTTGGCTAGACGCTGGATACAATGACTCCGCATGGGAGTCTGCTCTCGTGCAGTCGAACGCGGTCAAGATGATGCCCATCGTGAGCCATTGGCAGCTTAGCCCGCGGCCAATCCCTGCTCTGCCGGAGATACCTTGCAATTTTGATGGAGTCACCAAGTCTTCTGGGGCAATTGCAACGGAGGATTGGGAAGCGCTATTATCTGCTGGTCAGCCTGTCGTCGTCCCGGCGGGTGAGAGCGTAACGGTCGACGTGAGCGTGGACAGCCTCATGACTGCTTTCATCAACCTGGCGTTCAGTGGAGGGTTAGGCACGAGCATCACAGTGCTGTATGCGGAGTGCTATGAGAAGGACCTAGGGGTGGATACCGCTCCTTTCCCCATGCCACGAACCAAAGCCAACCGCGCGGACGTCAGCGGTCGTCTCTACGGGCCGAGGGACTATTACACCGTCACGGCGGGCCAGGAGACGCACTCGTTCGAGCCATTCTGGTTCCGCTGTTTTCGCTACGTGCAGATCAAGATCGTCACGGCCGACCAGCCGTTAACCCTGAGCCGGATCTCCCTGCGTGAGACATCGTACCCACTGGACATCCAGACGAAGATCCAAGCCGGGGACGAACTTACCAAGATCTGGGACATAAGCCTCCACACCCTCAAGAACTGCCGCCATGAAACCTTCGAGGACTGCCCCTTCTACGAGCAAAACCAGTTCGCATCCGACTCGCGGCTGCAGATGCTCTTCAACTACCAACTCTCGCCGGACGACCGCCTAGCCCGCAAGACCATGGAGGAGTTCCACGCCAGCCGCACCGCCGACGGCCTCATCATCGCCCAATACCCCACGGGGCTCCCTCTCAAACAGATCCCGCAGTTCTCCCTCTACTTCATCCTGATGGTGCACGACCACATGCGGTACTTCGGCGACCGGACTCTCGTCCGCCGGTATTTGGGGACGGTCGACAGCATCCTGGACCACTTCTCGCAGCGCCTCGACAGCCGGGGGCTAGTCGGGCAATTCGCGCCGAACACCTGGCCCTTCGTCGACTGGGTCAAAGAATGGCTCGTGCCCGGCCAAATATTCAAATCGTGCATGCCACCCGCCTACCACTCCCGCAGCGCCGGGGCAGCGACCATCAACAGCCTCCTGTACGCGATGACCCTCCTGCACGCGGTTCGACCTGTGCACCTTCGCGGGCCGCCCCGACACAGCAGCGGAATACCGGGCGCGCGCCGCGGCCCTCCGCTCTGCGGTCAACCAGCACTGCCTCGGCCGAAGGGACGGGCTGTACACCGACGGGCCCGGCGTCGAGGAGTACAGCCAGCACACGCAGATCTTCGCCATTTTGTCGGAGACAATCACGGGGCCGGACGCCGCGAGCCTCCTGCGCCGGTGCGTCGAGGACACGTCTCTTCCGCAGTGCTCTTACGCGATGAAATTCTACGTCTTCCGCGCCGCCGAGAAGGCCGGCGTCTACGCGGACGTGTTCCACCGCCTCCTCGAGCCGTGGCGCGCCATGATGGCGGAGAATTTGACGACGTGGGCTGAGGACGACGTCAATGCCCGCAGTGATTGTCATGGCTGGAGTGCTTGTCCCGTCAATGAGCTGGTCACGCAGGTGTTCGGCGTGACGCCGGTGGCGCCGGGGTTGGAGGGAGTGCGGATTCGGATCGAGCCGCGAAGGGAGCTGGTGGCGCAGGCAGAGGCGTGGTTGTGGACGCCTGCTGGGGAGGTGAAGGTGGCTTGGGGGAGGGATAGGCCGGTGGAGGTGGAGGCGAGGGCGCAGGTTACGGTTGAGGTTGTTGCGGGGGGGAGGACGGCGGTTGTTGAGTTGGCGCCGGGGAGGGTGGTTAGGGTTTAGGGAGTTGGCGGCGGGATCTGGATCTTGATTGTGTATAGCTTTTGATGAAGGGGTGATCATAGACCTTGTAGATTTTGATATGAAATATACGGCTTTGGGGAGTTATTGTATATCAGGATCAGGATTGCATGTACCACGGCATGATAGCGTCCATCGTGCACCTGCAGACTCCGTACTGTCCCATAGTCTTTAGTATATCTCAGCAAGCGGAATCATGCACTTGAATAGGGAATATCAAGTTCAACCAAGTCTAAGATCCTCAACGCAATGCCCAAACCCAGCAACATACTCGACAGGTAGATCACAGACGCAGTGCCAGCCAGATGACGCGCAGCCCACAACACGCCAACCACACAACAACATCGTCAACACCGAAAGCTGGAGCAAAAAGACCACAAAAAGCGAACTCCGATAGGGGGAATCGAACCCCCGGCTGCCGTGTGAGAGACGGCGATGTTAGCCACTACACCATATCGGATTGTTGTGGTAGATGGCTGAATTGTTGGCAACATCTGGTAAAGATATGGCTCTGTGTGTGGAATGTGAAGAGGAGGTTGGTTTTCTGGTTGGGGGCGTGGTCAGTGGTCACTGGAAGATTGTGTTTGCTGGGTGGTATGCGATGACATCTTATACACTCTTGAGATGTTCAAGCTAGGAGGTGGTATGGTAAGGGGGAAGTCTAGTATGGATATTATTCTCTGGAGAATATTATGTAGTGTGATTTGGGTGGTAGTTGTGGGAAGGAAATAAAGATAGAAGATGGAATTGGTAGACTAGAGAATAAGGACATACTCCTTGTACGAAGGGACAGCCAGGCTACCTTAGGGTATTGCTAGGTGTAAGGTGTCCGACAAGACTAGATGTGTCTTTGATAACACGATTTTGATTCATGCTAGGCTCTTCTGCAATGTTAAAGGTAGGTATCCTTCAATTTCCTTCAAGGATTGCACTGCATTCATTGTATACAAACCAGAGCCCGATGTTAAGCCATGTCCCGCAAATATCATAAATACAGAGTCAACATTACAATACACCATGACTCTGACCTTACCAAGACCAATACACACACATACATACACATCATCTAGCCTATACAAAACATACAATACAGCAAACCCACCGCAAGCCCCACCCGTAAACAAAACTAGCCCAAACGTCCTCCCTAAAATACCCACCCAGAAACAAAAGCCACTGCCCACAATACCAACGCACGCACACGCACAAACACACACCTCCATGGGCAAGAAATCCTTCGAAATTGACTCAGTATCGTGCCAGCCACCTATTCATCCATTTCCTCTTCCCCCCACTCCATCCATATTGATTAATCGTTAACCGCTGTTGCCCGTCCATGCATTTTTACCCATTAGCAGGATATGAATTCTGCTTGACACTGAAGAATTGAGGGACGGACGCAGATGATTGGTTCGATTTAGCCTCGAAAGGATTCATTCTTCGGAGTAAATTCTGAAGCGACCAAATCTTGCCGTGCCAGGCTGCCGAGAAGTGGATCCGGCCGGGTCTTTTTTTTTTCCTGTCTGGCAGCGCAGCGCATGGCAGGGCAGGCAGGGCCATGGGTGTGGTGGGTGTGGATGCCACCGTCTGCCGGGTCAACCACGGGGCGCGCGGTTCTATCCAATCAGATTAGATGATCATATCATCTAATCAGATCAGATGGGGAATCCCAGTCGGTGACACCACATCTTATCCGTTTTGGTTCCGTTCCGAGGTTAGATTTTTTTTTTCTTTGGGGTGCGCTCGATGATGATGATGATGATGACGATGTCTGTTTTGAACCATTCTTTTACTTTCTTGATGCTCTTCAAGCTTGCGCTGTGTAGCATCGCCAATAATCAACTAGACGATGCTTTATCCTATTGCCCTCATTCCATAAACACAAAAAATGGGTATTATCACATTCTAAACCAAGTAAACCAAAAAGAAAATCAAGCCGTAGCTACAGCTTGTCCCCGCTGCTCCAACACCTGAGCAGCGACCTTGCGCAAGTCGACCTTGCGCACCTTGCCGCTCCCCGTGACGGGGACCGTGCGGTCGATGCCCTCCTCGCCGAACACAAACACATGCTGCGGAGCCTTGTGCCACCCCAGCGTCTCGCGGGTCCAGTTACGCAGCTCGTCGACCGACGGCCGCGTGCCCTCGTGGCCGGCGGCGATCGCGATGAACGCGCCCACCACCTCGCCGTACTTCTGGTCGGGGACGCCGATGACGGAGGCGAGCTCGATGGCCGGGTGAGCGGCGAGGCGCTCTTCGATCTCGAGGGGGTAGATGTTCTCTCCGCCTGTTCACACAACATGAATCCGTTAGTCGTTTGTTATTTGGGAGCTGGGCACGAGTCTGAAGGAAGGAGGGTGAGCCACGTACCGCGAATGATGATGTCCTTGAAGCGACCGGTGATCGTGCAGTAACCTTCCGGCGTGAAGATGGCCTCGTCGCCCGTATTCAACCAGACAGTGCCCTCCGCGTCTGTGGTTAGAGTCTCTGCCGTCTTGTCGGGGTTGTTCCAGTAGCCCTTGGTCAACTGGTACCCAGCGATGCAGAGCTCCCCGCGCTGGCCGACAGGGACGATGTTGCCTTCGGCGTCGATGATCTTGGCCCGCGCGTGCGGCATGACCTTTCCTACTGTCTTCAGTCGGGTCTCGATGGTATCCGTGGTGAGCGCGTTGAAACATGTGGGAGACGCTTCGGTGAGACCTGTTCAAGATAAAAGACGTATTAGCAACTCGTCTAATTGGGTGTTGTCCATAGCGTGATCGCTTACCGTAGCTGCTGGTGTATTGAGTCATGTTCAGTTCCTCGAAGAGTCGCTTCATCAGGGGCCGAGGCACGGGTGCTCCGGCGATGATTCCAGTGCGGAGGTTGCGGGTGTCGAAATTGGCGGGCTTGGGGAGTGCCAGAATCGCCTCGAACATCGTGGGGACGCCGTGCAAGGCGGTGCACTTCTCGTCGGAGATGGCGTGGAGAACCGCCTGGGGGTCGAAGGTTTCGCTGGGGAAGACGATCTTTGATCCATGTGTTACAACCGCCAGCATGCCCAGCACCAGGCCGAAGCAGTGGAACAGAGGCGGGGGGCAGCAGAGGACGTCGAAGGAGGTCAGGTCCATGCGGTCGCCGATGAAGCGCGAGTTGTTGACAAGGTTGCTATTAGACGCAGCTCCGGTCAGTCAAGGTGTTCGCCAACACACCTGAAGTAGGTAGATGTGCTTGTCTTTGTATCATCTCCATCAAGCTATGGATACTTACTGATGCGTTAGCATGGCAGCCTTGGGGTTGCCTGTTGAGCCACTGGTGAACTGGAGATTGCAGACATCGGCGGGGCTTAATTCCATTTCGCGGTTCGGTAAGGCAGAGCTGGGGAGCGACGACCCGCGGTGAATCACGTCCTTGTAAGTGCTGAAGTTCTGGTACTCTCCCCGCAGAATGACAATCTCCTCCAATGCGACAGAGTTGCCGGCTTGCTTTGGCTTGGGACCCATCTTCTCCAAAACCTCTTCCAGAGAGTGACGGCCAATGCGAGGGGTCATAAACAACACACGAACGTCTGAAGAAAGAAAGCGCTTAAGTCAGCCATTGAGGCTCCATCAATCGAGTAAGCAGTGCAACGAACCTGTATGGTCGAGAGCATAGTAAAGCTCGGAAGGAGTGTATGTATTGTTCAACACCACCAGGATGGCTCCCACACGCGCGGCGGCGAAGAAGACTGCGATGTACTGCTCGCAGTTGCCTGCCATGATACCGATACGGTCGCCCTTCTGGATTCCCATCGCCAACAGGCCCCGAGCCAGCCGGTCGGCCTCATCGTTCAGGTTGGTATACGTCCAGCGAGCTCCAGTCCAGGGAAAGACCAAGCATTCGTAGTCGCCATAGTGAAGGCTCTGCAGCGTCAGCAGTTCACCCAAAGTGATATCGAGCAAAGCCGGCTCTGTGGGACCCTGCACAATTGAGAGCTGCTGGGTCGTCCGAGGGGACTGGAAGTGAGACAAAGTCTGCTGAAGACGCCGTACAGTAGCCATTGTGACGGAAAGTGGTGGATGAGAAAACTGACGGACAGGGCCAGCCGCCGGGGGTCCTGGGATCTTATCAGATTAGAAAAAATCTACCCGGTCAAGCCCGGGGGAGAAGAGAGGGGCTTCGATTTCATCATTGTCATTGTCTCAAACCGGTCGCGGAATCCACTCTGCATTATCACTCCAATGGGGCGGCGTGAAGGTCTCGTCGGAATGGATCGTTGGACTCGCGCGATTCTTGGCTGCGGACTGGAGTGGCCAGTCCACCATTGGACCGAGATGATATTAAACCCAGTAACATCCCCACATCGGTCGTCGGACTGATTTCTGCAGAGGTGCGGTCGGTTTGCAAGAAGAAAGGCAACCCGGGAAGACCCAGAACCTGGCCTGACTCCACCTCTGACATTCTTGCCCGAAGTGCCTAGAAGAAGGATCGGAATGTTGTCGGAGATAGCAGGAGGCTGACTGATGAAGGGGAGAAGTCAATAAAAAAAAAAAAAACAGATTCAAGTACCCCTCCCGGCTGGGCCATGGCTTCCAAGGTTTACCCCTCCTCGACACTTGCCGTATCAAGCCCCTGGTATGTAACTTACCGGATCAGATAACAGTTAATACATTAGAAAGATGGTCACGTCATGACAGTAATTCAGCAATGTATGGTACGTTATGTGTATTGTGCGGGATACTCCATACTCCGAGCACCTAAATCCCATTGCTAGAGCACCCTTGCAAGTCTGCTTACAGCACAAGCAGAGGCTTGGTTGTGTACGTAGTACTGTCTATTACTCCAATGGCTCACTGTGCAGCGTATCAAGTCACATCGGCATATATTTCATGCCTGCAGGCGTTGCTCATTGATTGAACTTGATGTAACTTCATTAGAGCTCGTTGTAAGTTGACAAGATAACCCATGTATGGTGTTGATTCAACAGTATTTCAAACAGAACAAGTACTATGATTGCCAATACAAGTCTGTTACAGTTACCACTTACAAGAATGCCATTGTATCCCGAGATGTAGGCATGGCTGTCTCATATGCAATGCAACCGCACGGGCCATCATGCAGAACAAAACGTGGATCAAACTGTTGCAACTGTAGGCCAGAGGAGAAGTCTCTCATCCTCGTCAAACCCATATATGCAAGGATTTTATACTAGGATGATAGACGGCAACACCCGATTTTGCCTATCTTGGTTACCTTGCCGACTGGAATCTGCGACCCTGGTAGGATTCTCGGAATTATCAATCTGACTCAAGCTTGACAGGTCAACTGGTAAATGTATGTCTCGAGAAGTAGGCCTCGCGCTCGGAACGCTCGGGACTGCTCATGTATCTGTGCTGCCTCGGCTAAAGGTACTGTACAGTAAACCTGGATTACGGCTGTTCAGGATAGTTCGAGTCATGTAAGGTTGTGGACTTAGGATGTTTCCACTGTACTGTGACAATCTGAACTAAGACAAAGAGGGAATTGTCTTTCTGAATAATGAATTCTACAAGAGACGAAGATATCTCTAATATTAAGACTTAAGCGTCCTTCTGGAATCTGCTTCTAAAGGAAAAGAGCTTCTGGTGTGTGGGGAGCAAAAGATAAGTTCGATCCATCCCATCAAGACAAGTACCAGAAGATTGTAAAAGCTGTACACTGTTTATAACAGCAGGTTGCTCAAAATGTCTCCCTGCATAGGCGAGATGGTTGAATACGAAGCTTGCCTTGGTTCCTGCTGTCAATGCGATACCCGCTTGGGCTAGACGAAGTAAGTAATCGCTCTCGGCGGCTATTGGGCTGAAGAACTTGGCAAGCGTGATTATCATTAGTCAAGGATAATAATGGGAAACCCAACGGGGCGTTTCAGCTCGAATGAACACTGGAACTCGGCAAGATCAGGCAATGTATTAGGCAGTCTTTCTTTTTGTGCTGGGCACAGTCTGTGGAAGATCTAATCTGATGATCTAATCTGATTAACCAAGTGATCCTGCAAAGCAGACGAGTTTGTACGATTTAAAGTACTATATTTAGCTGGCCTGAACATGGCTTGTGGTTATTCGCAGCACTAAGCTTGATACAGGCCTTTCAGTGAGAGTACAGTGAAGCCCTGGTGAAGCCTTGTTGAATCAGGAAAAGAACACCCTCGGAAGCTGCAAAACATAAATATAAACCTGCCAAGAGGCCACAGGAACCCGCAACAGTTGGAAGCAGAATCGCACATCTTAAGTTAAATCAAACACCTTCAGGCGAAGAAACACTATTCTGATATAATCTGATCATCTCTGACAATATTCAAGAGTGGTTTGATGAGGTCACACAACAAAAAACATCATGTTGGAGAGGATTGATTCACGTGATGATAACTTCCAGCTGCATGGGTCACATGATGACGCGTCTTCTTTGCGTCACCAGAAAACAACATCTACCTCACCACACTTCAATCAATACCCATGATACAGCAACTGATGGGTGATCAGCAATGGACTGTATCCTCGATGGTCTCAATTCCTCCCAGTCCAGTGCTGTGACATCCCCGGCGTCTATTTTGCAGGTCCTGGCGCCCCCGGGTTCGGGCAAGACAAAGACGCTGACGGCGCGCGTCGCGTACCTTCTGGCGCATCATAATTACCGCCCTCAAGATGTCATCTGTTGTACATTCACTATTAAGGCCAGCCGGGAGATGCGAGAGAGGCTGACCAAGTTGATTGGCGAGGATTTACAGAAGAGACTGCTCCTGGGAACCTTCCATTCGATCTGCCGGCGGTATCTAGTGATCTACGGCCACTTAATCGGGCTGAAGAAAGGCTTCGGGATCGCCGACTCCGGTGACAGTACGTCTATCATCAAAGTGGGTCAAGCCTCTTTCTTGTTGAACTCCGCGCGACCGTCTCCATGGTGGAGTTATATTGACCTGGGATAATTGGCAGAAAATCATCAAGCGGCTGCGCGTCAGTATAGAGCCGGGGGCCGCTAGAGGACGAATCTCTCGCCAAAAAGCTCAGGGTGTCGGCCCAGATGAGGTCGCAGAAAGGATACAGACAAAGAACAAGACCACAGAGCAATGGGACTTCGTCCAGGTCTACCGCGAGTATGAAAGGCACCTGGCGGAGTCGAATCTGCTGGACTATGACGACCTGCTTGTGCGATGCGCCGACCTCCTGAGACAGCATCCGAAATGTGTTTCGAACATCCAGGCCGTCTTGGTAGACGAATTCCAGGACACCAACCTCATTCAGTATGAGCTCATGAATCTCTTCGCATCCCAGAACAAGCGCATCACCATCGTCGGCGACCCGGATCAAAGCATTTATGGGTTCCGATCTGCAGAGATCAAGAATTTGGCACGCATGCAGAAACTATATCGTGATACATCTGTGGTCTTGCTGGAAAACAACTATCGGTCGTCTGGGTCTATCTTGAATTCGGCACAGGATGTCATCGAGCAAGACACCTCCAGACCAGCGAAGAGGCTGCAGCCAACACATAGCGTGGGAACCATGCCTGTGCTGCGGAAACTGGTAGATGCTGAAGCCGAGGCGCGATGGATCGTGCTCGAGATTAAGCGTTGTGTTGGGACGACAGGCAAGCTCCTCAACTACTCCGACTTTGCCGTGTTGCTCAGAACGGCGGCTCTTTCTCGACGTATTGAGTCGGCAATGGGGAAGAATGGAATTCCATACCGGATGGTTGGAGGCTCTAAATTCTTTGATCGAGTCGAAATCAAGCTGCTTCTGGACTACCTCCGGGTCATCAGCCATCCGCAAAACAGCGAAGCCCTTACCCGTGTCATCAATACCCCCTCGAGAAGAATTGGAGAAGAGACAATCAAGGCGCTCACCGTCGGCGCCGAGAAAGCGAGATTGCCGCTCTGGGATCATGTCAAGGGTGTAGCGCAAGGCCACCGGTCAGCAGACTGCACACTTTCAAAGATTACGAATCAAGGCCTTTGCACATTCGTTGGAATCATCGAATCTGCCCGGAAGAAGCTCAGTGACACCCCCGATAGTTCATCGCCACGGATCCTCCTTGACCACGTGATTAAGAAGCTAAATTTTCGAGAATACCTCAAAACCTTGCACGGATCGAATGAAGAAAGCCGGTGGGCTAATGTGGAGGAGCTGCTGACCCAGGCCGACGATACGTCTGGCTCGGACGGCCAGAATACCGAAACCGAAAGTCTGCCCGTGATAGAGGGCCTCGAGCAGCAACAGGCTCACCCCGGGGAAGAAGCATTGTCTCGGTTTCTCGCGAATGTGGCGCTGTCCAGCGAGGTCACACCGCAGGAGGAAGGCTCGGAAGGGTATGCCTCAAACGAGAAAGTCACGATTTCTACCATCCATGCGGCCAAGGGACTCGAATGGCCCGTCGTCTTTGTTCCCGCTGTGTACAATGGCAGCATCCCTCACTCACGCGCCGAGGACTCCGACGAAGAACGAAGGCTGCTATATGTAGCAATGACCCGAGCACAAGCGCTGCTCTACTTGAGTCAGCCCCTCGAACAGTCGCAGGGGGGAGAGATGACCAAACTGTCCAATTTCCTGCCGGAGGAAGTAGTCGGCAACAGATTCCGATTACTCGGGCCTGTCTTCAGCGACGATGTCGTTCACGGGATTGCAGACATCCTGCATCGACCTAAACCAGAGGAAGTAGCAATACAAGAGGCCCAAAGCACACTTACTTCATTGTTTGATGACCAGTGGACGAAGGAAGGATACGAGCAACTTGACCCTTCGCTTCAATATGGTGACCGGAGAGCAATGGCCGAGGGGCTGTATGCGAAGAGAAAGCGGTTTGACAAACTTCAAACTGCTGACACTGACACATGGCTTCCTACTCCATCTCTAGGATTCTCGTCAGCACGAGACTACATCGCGGTGAACAATCCCAAGGTTGAGGATACAGCCACCGCAAAACCCGGCGCCAAAAGAAAGGCGATTAGCAGTGGTCCCGGTCGTAAACCCGACGCTTCCCAGAAGACACTTTCCGGGTTCCTAGGACTCTGCTCCTCGCCCGCTACTAAAACGGAGGTCGAAGTTAGTGCCAAGTCCCTCTCAGTGTCAGGGAGGCCTTCTGTACCTCCCTTTCAGACGAGACCGATGAATCCCGTGGCGAAAGGCTCGATTCCGAAACCATACACCATGCTTCGACCGCAAGTGCAGCGGCTACAACCACCGCGACCGGCCCTCGAACCGTCAAACCCGAATGTATACACGTGGCTGGCCGAGCCCACGGACCTCTCTCGGATGCCCAAGTCTCTAGGCCAGAACAGCCCCGCAAGTCCTGTTCAGCCGACGTCAGCTGGCAGTATGAATACATATTCTTCGAATACAGACCACCCATCTCGGCCGGTGAGCACGTTCCACACGACCACGATGTCAATGGTCCAGAACCAACCGCCAACGACGATGCGAAGGACACTGGGGATCCGTTGGAGTAATGTGGACGGGTGGCAGGCCCGTATGCAGAGGGAAGGTCAAGGCCGGTGAGCCGCGGCCGATTGGGGCTGGGACATAGTCCACTGAAGGATTGGGCGTATCGGGTCAACCGCTCTAGGTATGGCTTCGTATGAGCGCGTTGATCGAGCATCGACGAGTAATTAGCTTCTATATAGTTAGCATGTACTCCCAGGTTGGAGGAATGATATACCAATGTTGTTAAACATAAAATGGAGGCCAGAATGTGAGGCAATCTCAAGCCTACAATGCACATCTCTATTAATTGATGGATGCTTTGGTACTCGGATCTACCGAACGAGAGACAGACTAGTCCCACTACTGTGCAGAGGCACACATGCACCTTGAGTAAAATCGAATAGCCTCAGGACTCATCATCGGTCACCGAATGAGTTCCATGCAGTTCATTGGAATAGTGCTTAGACAATAACCCCCTTCCGGTACAAGATAACCCACCGGATCCAAGTGCTTATACACGCTCATCAAAACAAAAATCAAGAGCTTTTTTTTAAGAGTACACAATCAAACCCGTTCTTACTCGATCTTGCCCTTGTTCACGACGAACCCTTCCAGGGCGGAGATGGCCGCCCACAGGCGGTTCTCAGCCTCGGGGAAAACAAGCGAGCGTTTGCTGTAGAAGACCTCATCGCTGACCTCCTCGGGGTGACGGGGCAAGCAGTGCATGAACTTCCAGCCCTCGTTGGCGCCGCCGCGCTTGGCCAGCTCGGGGGTGATCTGGAAGCCGGCGAAGTCCTGGAGGCGCTTGCGGGCCTCGGCCTCCTGGCCCATCGACACCCAGGTATCTGTGACCAGCACGTCGGCGCCCTTGACCGCCTCTTCGGGGACATTCGTCTGGATCAGCTTGCCCGGGTTTTGGACGCCCTGGCCGGCCTGCTGGATGAGCGCCAGCATCGGGGCGGGGATCTCGTAGCCCTTGGGGGTGGCGACGGCGAGGTCGACGCCCATCTTGGCGGCGCTGATGGCCATGTCGAAGAGGACGTTGTTGGCGTCGCCGATCCAGGCGATCTTAAGGCCTTCCAAGCCGAGGCTGGAGAGGTGGTGCGCCTTCGGGGTGAAGGTCTCGTGCAGGGTCTGGAAGTCGGCGATGGCCTGCAGCGGGTGGAAGGAGTCGCAGAGGGCGTTGATGACGGGGACGGAGGAGTGCTGGGCGAGGCCGGCGACGTCGGCGTGCGGGCCCACGCGTGCGACGATGCACGAGACCATCGACGAGACCACGACCGCGGTGTCGTACAGCGACTCGTTGACCCCGAGCTGGATGTCGTCCTTCCCCAGGAACATCGGGTGGCCGCCCATCTGCACCACCGCGCCCTCGGTGGAGATCCGCGTCCGCGTGCTCCGCTTGCTGAACATCATCGCCACCGTCTGGCCCGTCAGCGCGCCCAGCAGGTTCTGCGGGATCGCGCCGGATTTGATGGCGCGCTTGTGGGCCGAGGCGTTGCGCACCAGCGTCGCGAACTCGGTCGGCGTCAGGTCGGCGATCGAGAGCAGATGGCGCGGCGCGAAGGGGGAGGTCGGCGGGAGCGTTTGCGAGGCATGTTGCTGCAGGAGCTGGCGGGTGGCCGAGCTGCACCGCGCAGCGGTCATTCGAAAGGCGCCGGGCATGATTGATGGAGCTGTGTTGGGGTGGGAATTGAGCTGTAGCAAGTCTCCAGACTGGCTATATGACTCGACTGCCGATGGCGGTGTATGACTCAAGTGATGCACATGCTGTCACGTGATGCGAGCAGCGACTCCGGCGGTGACTCGTCGGTTTGCTGTGTTTGCTTTGTTTGCTTTGTTTGCAGTCCGGGGAGGCAAACTGATAACGATTGCCCTGACTCATATCCATTGGTGATGGTGATTCCATTCGGCTAAGAAAAACTGGCCTGGGATTTTTATCTCGACAGTCCAGGTTTCCCAGAAGGCCCATCCATAGCGAGATTCATCCGAGTGTATCGAAGAAGTGAAATCCCAGTGCCGTAGGGCCAAAGTCACACATTGCGCTCCCCAAATTTCTTACGGGCCATCCTGCCAGTCGATTGAGTGGGCAATTCGCCATTCTTATGGAAGAAGCACACAGCAACGCCCTGAACTCAGGGCGAGGGAGTGGCCCTAATGTACCAATTTTCCCGGTGCCTGATGGACCCGCATTTGCGATGCCACCTTGACAAGACAGACAAATGCCAAGTGCACCTGCCAAAGTGCCTACGGCTACATACGGCCTGCCTACCAAAAAGTGGAAGGTTCGTCTGATTCCATCCAGGCTTCTAGCGCCGGTCGGAACAGCGCCACCGGATTTCCGCCGGGGAGTGTCAACCACGTGATGTTTTCTCGAACGGTCAAACTCGAGCCTGACCCACGTGATCCCAATCGATAAGCATTCGGTCTGTATGAACTCGTCACGAACACCATGCTTGATTCGAGCTTAAATTCTACTTCAACCATTGAGGGCTGTGTTTGTGAGTAAAGAATCACGCCAATCGAGGATTCACTTCCTATCTCTCTAAATATCACTTCCATCCATACGAAACTGAAACTGACAGTCGCCCCCCTCGCCCAGAGCTTTACATAATAGCGAGCTCCAGCCCGCCCAGGGAGTGGGGCAAATTCTCTCGTTTTTTTCCCTTTCCCGCCTTTCCCACCGATGGAACATGACGAAAAGCCGATCCAATGGCTGCAAGATGCGCGCTGGTTCCGAGTGGCAGCAGCACCCATCCCAGATTTTGGTTGATAATGAAAAATGGAGAAAACTCTGCCTAGAGCCACATTTGTCACTTAACCCAGCTACCTCCCCCGTCTTTCTGACGTTTGCCTCTCGTCTGTGACTGTGACTGTGACTGTGACGCCGCACACTTCCTGCAACCCAAGCTCTCTGGTCGAAGTCGTTGGCACGCTACCTACTCCAGTACGGTAGCATTTCTGCTCTCCGGACCTGTCTTTCGATCCTCCGCCAACATGGGCGAACAGGACAACATCGCGCCCGCGAATAAGCTGGGCGTCGAGAGTGTTGTCGATGACCCCAATTCCTCCGACAGCAACAGCGGGCTGCGGTCGCGACGCCGCTTCGGATCGGCACAGGAAAATGGAAAGGATATCGAGAGTGATCACGAGGACGAGGGCAAGCTGAAGCGCAACTTGAAGAACCGCCATCTGCAGATGATCGCTATCGGTGTGTTTTCCCGTCCCCTCTTACAGGCTTGTTACGGAACTGATTGGTGAGTAGGAGGAACTATTGGAACTGGTCTGTTCATTAGCAGTGGAACAGCGCTGGCAGAGGCTGGTCCGGCTGGTGCCCTTATCGCATACGCCTTCGTCGGTTCGATCGTGTACTCCGTCATGTGCTCCCTGGGAGAGATGGCAACCTATATCCCCGTTCCCGGTGCCTTCACCTCTTACGCCGCGCGCCTCGTCGATCCGAGCTTGGGTTTCGCAATGGGTTGGATTTATTGGTTCAACTGGGCGTCGACCTACGCCGTTGAACTGACTGCTACCGGTATGATCGTCAAATATTGGGATGAGAACCTGTCCGTCGCTATTTTTATCGGAGTTTTCTGGGTTGTTATCTCAGCGATCAATTTCCTTCCCGTCGGCTTTTACGGCGAGTTGGAGTTCTGGTTCTCGCTGACCAAGGTGTTGACTGTGTTGGGTTTCATGATCTTCGCTATCTGCATTGATGCCGGAGTCGGCAGACAGGGTTACTTGGGCTTTAAGTATTGGCACAGCCCCGGCGCCTTTGCACCCTACTTAATCACTTCCGATTTGTCGGTTGGAAAGTTCGTCGGTTTCTGGGCGGTGCTCATTCAGGCTGGTTTCTCTTACCAGGGTACCGAGCTTGTCGGTGTTGCTGCTGGTGAGACCGAGAACCCCCAGAAGACTGTTCCCTCCGCTATTCGCAAGACCTTTATCCGCATTCTTATCTTCTTCGTCTTGACCATTTTCTTCATCGGATTGTTGGTGCCTTACGATAACCCCAACCTTGCTAGCGATTCCGGCAACGCGTCCGCCTCGCCTATGGTTATTGCCGCCAACCTGGCCGGTGTCAAGGTTCTTCCCAGTCTGATCAATGCGGTCCTTCTGACGGTCGTTCTCTCTGCCGCCAACTCCAATGTGTACAGTGGTAGCCGTGTTCTCCTTGGATTGGCTCAGGAAGGTTTCGCGCCCTCCTGCTTTGGCTGGGTCACGCAGCGTGGTGTGCCTTATGTCAGCGTTGCTTTCACTGCCCTCTTCGGTCTTCTGGGATTCATGAACGTGTCGAGCTCCGGAACCACAGTTTTCAACTGGCTAGTCAACATCTCCAGTGTGGCTGGGTTCATTTGCTGGACGTCCATCAACGCCAGCCACATCGCCTTCATGAGGGCGATGGCTGCTCGTGATATCTCCCGCGAGACCCTGCCTTACAAGTCCTGGGGTCAGCCTTATCTGGCGTGGTACGGATTGTTCTTCAATCTCCTTATTACCTTCACCCAGGGATTCACTGCCTGGATTCCTCACTTCAACGTTTCTGACTTCTGGGTTGCCTATATCTGCCCGGTCCTCTTCGTTGTCTTGTATATCGCACACAAGGCGTGGTACCGCACCTCGTTTGTCCGTCCTCTTGAGGCGGATCTTGACACTGGCAGACCGCAGTTCACCAACTGGGAAACCTCGAACCCCAAGGATGGATGGGGCAGAAGACTGTGGGACAGCATCATGGGTTAGACCTGTCCTGTGCATTTCATCATAAAACATAGATGTGCGCTCTAGATAGTGAGCTTCGAGGTCATCATTAGATCATCGGCAGATGTTGGTGTGGTTGTGCCGATTGGTATCTGTGTTGAAGCAAGTTCTTGTATATATTATCAGCTGGGTTGCGTTCATGTGCCATATTTAGCATTATTTCGTCTAAATCTGTACTATAGACTTCAATTTCGATCTCTTTTTGGGTTCAGCCCTGTAGTTTGTATCATGGCATACTGAGTGTGACTGGTTCATCGACTGATAAGATAAGAGCGAGCGGGTCTGCCATCATTACCGGATTATTCATCATCGATTGTTATCTCCGAGGTCCCCGAATATGCCGAGCGAGTTTCTGGCATCCATGCGACGAGAACTCGATTCAGGTTTTCTCCCACTCACAGAACCTAGGAGTCCTACAGCGCTTCGCTGGACCCAACCTGATCTCCTTTCTGAGAGATTCAGCATTCTCACCCTTCTGCGGGCTCCGCGGACATGGCAAGGTCACGACAAATACTCGATCTCGCAGTCTGGAGCTGCCGATTTCCCAGACTCCCCCAGAAGCACAGCTCCACGCTCGCAGCCAGCGCGCGGCTCTTCTCGACGTCGACTACAGTACTAACCCGACATGGGCGTATTCCTCTTCACATCCCCCCGCCATTCCCGGTGACCAAGTCATGCCCGGAGCCCAGCTGCGCATGTCCTCCCACCCCCGATCTGCCCGCCCCGATCGACCACCACCAGGCTCTCAATGGCACGATGGCGGCCTATGCGGAGCAGCTTCTTGTGTGCACCGGCCAGCGGGACTGGACGAGCCGTATAGAAGATGATGGCCAGGAACACAGCTGGGGGGATCTCGTGCGAGGTCTGAAGGCTCTACTCGGACGCGGCGGGCGATTCGCCGACGTAAGTGGTGCCCAGCCTGCGCAAGTTACTGCCTCTGTTGTGCGGAAGCAAATCCGCTCACCCCAGCGCTACAACTTTACACAGAACAGTCACTAACATCTACAATGCCTCGCACAGCCATACCATAACATCCTCATCACGAATTCCTCGTTCGCGCCGTCGTCGCAGACGTCACCAGCAGCCTCCGCCTTCCTCTTCCCCAGCTTCAAATACTTCCCCTCCATCCCGACCCAACCATCCTCGGAGAACACAGACCTCTCAACTTTCGTCCAAGCACATCTCCTCCCCACCAAAGCGCGACACGGCGGCCCCAGCCGCCGCCCGGAACTAGCGTCAACCCTCCCGGCCGCCGTCGACCTGCGGCACTCGCCCGTGATCCTCATCTGCGGGCACGGCGGGCGCGACATGCGCTGCGGCGTGATGGCGCCCGTCCTGGAGACGGAGTTCCAGCGCGTGCTGCACGAGAAAGGGTTTGCCGCTGCGGACGGGGAAGACGCACCGGTGGACCGCCCCGACCGGGCGCATGTCGGGCTGATCAGTCACATTGGCGGGCACAAGTACGCCGGGAATGTCATTGTGTATCTCCCGCCGGGGATGACGGTTGTCGGGGAGGACGCATCGTCGGTGGTGCCGCATCCGCTGGCCGGGAAGGGGATCTGGTATGGACGCATTGAGCCCAAGCATGTGCAGGGGGTGGTGGAGGAGACGATCCTGGGCGGGCGGGTGCTTGCGGATCACTTCAGGGGTGGGGTGGATCGGGAGAGTGGGATTTTGCGATTGTGATGGTTGGTGTTGTTGAGGGTAGATCAGTAGACGGGGGATCAGTGTCCGCGCTCTTCGATTAGGGTTGTGGTTGGCGCATTTTGTACAGTAGACTAGAGACGAAGAAGGACAATCGATCTCCTCTTGGATCTTGGCGGGACAGGTGTCTGGTTGGGTCATGTATCATAGTTGGATTATTAACTCCAACGTGCACAGTACAAGTAATCCGCCCGGTGCCACCGGAGAATTGCCGTTTTGTCATGGTGGGGCATCACGTCTCTACTGCATAGTCAGAGGGTCAGCAACCCCACACATCGCTGCCACAGTGGCCAACTTCTAGAATGCCTCTAGGGTCGCAGTCTGCAGTTGTAACCGCGGCATGGGTGTAATCAAAACACCCCATACCCTCAATTGGTGATATTCGCAGCGAATTAACCGAGCAGGTTGCATGCAATCCACCCAGGCTTAATTGGGCTGAGACAACCATCCCTTTATGCTTGTCCGTGTGACTGAAATAGTTCACAATAGACAGAGACAGAGTACCTGGTAACTTAGAGGAAGAGTAAGGGTAAAGGGACGGACGGAACGAACCCCGCTGGGCGGGGAACCCCCCGGGTAAATGGTTATTGGTGGCAACTTGTGTCCCATCCATACTTCATTCTCCATCTGAACTGAAGTCCAGCGCAGTTGCTGATCATGGAGGGGCTCAAGCCCTTCCGAGCGTGACTATTAAAGCTTCCTGCGCCGCTCCTTTGCCATCATTCGCAACCTATCTATCGCTTCCTCTTCCCTCTCCCTCCTTTTCGCTTTCTTCCTCCACCCCCCCAATCGCCTCGTCTTCACGGCACCATGGCCACCGCAACTGTCACAACGCTCGAGAAGCCCAACATCGGCGTCTACACCAACACCAAACATGACCTGTGGGTCGCGGAATCCAAGCCCACGCTGGAGGAGGTGAAGAGCGGCGAGAGTCTGCGGCCCGGGGAGGTCACGATCCAAGTCCGCAGCACCGGCATTTGCGGGTATGTTTTTTCTCCTACCTAACCCATCGCACCCCTCCCATTCCCAGCTCCTTTCCCACATTCGTTCCAACCATTCAATTCCACTAACATCAATACCCCCCCACCAGCTCCGACGTCCACTTCTGGCACGCCGGCTGCATCGGTCCCATGATCGTGACAGGCGACCACATCCTGGGCCATGAATCCGCGGGGCAAATCATCGCCGTCGCGCCGGACGTGACCTCGCTGAAGCCGGGGGACCGGGTGGCGATCGAGCCCAACATCATCTGCAACGCGTGCGAGCCCTGCCTGACGGGACGGTACAACGGGTGCGAGCGGGTGCAGTTCCTGTCGACGCCGCCGGTGGACGGGCTGCTGCGGCGGTACGTCAACCACCCGGCGATCTGGTGCCACAAGATCGGCGACGAGATGAGCTACGAGGACGGGGCCCTGCTGGAACCGCTGAGCGTGTCGCTGGCCGCCATCGAGCGCAGCGGGCTGCGGCTCGGGGATCCGTGCCTGATCACGGGCGCCGGCCCGATCGGGCTGATCACGCTGCTGAGCGCGCACGCGGCGGGCGCCACGCCCATCGTCATCACGGACATCGACGCGAGCCGGCTGCAGTTCGCGCAGTCCCTCGTGCCCGGGGTGCGCACCTACAAAGTCCAGACCAACAAGACCGCCGAGGAGAACGCCGCCGGCGTGATCCGCGTCTTCAACGACGCCGCCGCCGACGAGTCCTACGACATCGACGGCCCGACCACCCTCCGCCCGCGCATCGCGCTCGAGTGCACCGGCGTCGAGAGCAGCGTGTGCTCGGCGATCTGGAGCGTCAAGTTCGGCGGCAAGGTGTTCGTCATCGGCGTCGGCAAGAACGAGATGACCATCCCCTTCATGCGCCTCAGCACCCAGGAGATCGACCTCCAGTACCAGTATCGCTACTGCAACACCTGGCCCCGCGCCATCCGCCTCGTCCGCAACGGCGTCATCAACCTCCGCAAGCTCGTCACCCACCGCTTCGCCCTCGAGGACGCCCTGAAGGCTTTCGAGACCGCCGCCAACCCCCGCACCGGCGCCATCAAGGTCCAGATCTTGAGTGACGAGGAGGATGTCCGCGCTGCTTCCGCTGGTCAGAAGCTGTAGCTGCCGTTACGAATGAAATGAAAATGATTCGCTTTGTGTTGGTTTTGGATGTGTGTGCTGTGTTGGTTTTGCTTTTTGGGGGTTTACTAGAGGGAGGTGACTGGTCGCCTTGATTCCATATATATACCGATTCAATCTGGATTTTATGTATTGTTGTGATTGCGTTTGGTGTGGAAGTAAAGTAGAGTAGAGTGTCTTGTGTAAGGTATGTGTTGGTGCTGCGTCGGAGCATCCCTATAGATAGACCTTTGTCTTTGCGCACGCAGCGGACGAAAGGCTGTGGCGTAGTATTTTCAATGCGCAGTCGACCCTTCGAGAATGTGAGGAAGTGACTGAAACTAGTGTTCGGGGCGCAGAGAAACAAAAAAGTCTAGTCTAGTCTAGTCCACTGGCTCCGCAGCTCAAGCTTTATAGAAGTATCGAAAAGCAAGCGAACAGTCTCCCCGGGTCCTCGCATGGGTCTACAGCACCGTGTGTTTGACTCGAGGCAGGGAAGCGGGCGCACTCGATCTCTAGTCAAGCGTGGGGTTTAGGCACTAATCTATACGGTCCCACTAGACTGGGTGGGAGATCGTCTGCTGGGATCCGGTTATGGTACATGGATCAAGAAACTGGCTGGCTGGCGCATGGATGTCTATGGAGTTTGTTGATCTGATCCAGAAGGACAATAGACTACGTCAGATTTGTAGGCCTGATCTCTTACTCTGCACCTAGATACGGTGGATGTATCTAGATCTTCCGGCCGGGGGGAGGGTCCATACATCCAGTCCCAATTTGGATTGCTAATGCTGTGCGGTAGAAATGCTCGGTGTGGTCAAAGTTGCAGTATTCATGCATTCGTGTACTCATATCGTTGACGTTATATCCCTACACGTATTTCTGGCGCTTCAAACATGATGTATTATGGTTCGGCAGTCCAGAAGGTCAGACGCGGCGGTCCCAGATTCCGATAGACCGCCTCTAATCCGACATGAGCCACTCCGGAATCGCGTCCTCGTCGTCCGGATCCTGCGATAGTAACGATGTCTCGCTATCTCTGCGTGAGGAGGGATCGGAGGTTTCGGATTTGGGGGACTGTGCGGGGTTTTGGGCTGGGTCTCGAGCGCCGGCTGGAGGGTTCTCGGCCGGGGATGGCGGGTTGCTGGTGTCCGGTGCGGTGTAAGGGAGAGGTTCTTGCGGAGGTGCGCTATCATCGGGTCGGTCGGGTTGAGCAGAGTGTGGTATGGACATGGAGGCTTTGCTGGTGATGGTATCTAACGACGAAGAGTCGGTGGGCTCTTCTTTCGTCTTCGGGACGACGACCAGCGAGTACCGCGGTGGTCTGGCTGGGCTTGGGTGCGGAGATGTGTCTTGAGGTTGATGTGCAGCTGGGTCGGATCCCGCGGTCACGGTCTGTGGTTGGGGGGCTGCAGGTGCAGTGGGTTTGCTAGCATTGTGATTTGTAGATGGAACATCGTCCTGGTCCATGGGACCTTGTGACGTTGATTCTGGGAGGAAGCCGCCCCCTTCCATTGGGGGGTCTGGTGTTTCTGTGTCTGACTCCGCTATGAACTCACCACCTTCCATCGATGGTTCTGCTGTCTCCATGTCTGACTCGGGTAGAAAGCCTCCCCCTCCCATCGATGATTCTGCTATCTCCGTGTCCGGCTCAGGTATGAACCCACCACCTCCCTGTGCCTCCCCATCCAACTCAGGAATGAAGCCTCCTCCCATGTCGTCGTCCACAGGCCCATCACCCTTCTCACGCAGTCCAACCCCCGCACCCTCATCGACATCATCCCCCTCAATCGCATAGCCTTTGACCCGCTCCGCGATGCGAAGCTTCAAAAGTAGATGCTTCCACGCTCTCAGCACCTCTGCAGACCGCGTTTCCAGCTCGTCATGCAGTCTTTCTTGCTCGAGACCGTCGATGACCGCCTGGAGCGCCTCGCGGTATTCCTCCGCAACAATCACACCGGTATAGACAGCAGTCCCGTGGCGTCCCTGGAAGGTAAAGCCGGTCACAGCAGCCGCAAAGTCAACCCCAAGCAGTTTAGCCGCATGCGCGGCATCTGGGTGGCCGATGTGGATCCCACCGGCCGGGACCATGCTGGGTACGTAGACATCTAAATTCCCGTAGACGTTCTTGGGAACTCGCCCGTCCACCACGGGTGGCGGGACGTAGACCTGAGTCTGGAAGATCGCGTAGAGAGGGGTCTCCGGGGGTGCATCGCGCTCCTCGTCATCCTCAGGCAGTCCGCTAGCTAGAGCTAGAGGTTTGCGGGCCTTGACACGCTTCAACGGCTGCTCGCCCGTCTTGATGTCGCGGCCCAGCCGGTACCATTTGTCGGCACTGCGCACAGTTTGGACGTCCGAACGGCGGTACACCGGCTCTAAGGTCTGGTTCTTGGATCCCGGTTTGCCGAGGCTGACCTGACCGATCGCCCGCTTTGGGTGAATGACCTCGCTCCGTCGTAGGTGGCGCTCCAGCGCGTAGACGGGGTGGTCCTTGAAGTCCTGGATGTTTCGAGGCATGGGCTCAGCGGCGGTCTTGGCCGTGAGTTCACTGACCTCCAGCTGGTCGCGATCTTCGAGGAACGGTTTCTCGTAGACCCGAAGTGCACGATCCCACCATGCTGCGTTGCGGGCGGTGGACTCGACACGGAACTTGCGAGTTTTCGCATTGAAAGCCTTGCTGTAACGGCGGGTCACATCTCGAGCGGAGGCATCATCCTCGAATGCAACCACGTAGCTTAGAAGATTGTTCGGGTCGGTGGCAGGAGGCTCGAATTTGGACGGCTTCGCGAGGGATCTCGTGACTAATGGATCGATGGGGATCCATTTGTTGACTGCCTCGTTGAATGCTTCCACCCAAAACACCGGGTAAGACGACTCTTGATTTCGAGAGTATGGTACTTTGTAGATATTAGCACGTTATCATTTCCATCAGAAGTCAGGGAAGATGTTGGCTTACTTTCTCTGGGCGTGGAAGACGGACGTGATGGTTTGAACCCTGGCCGGGTGAGTCGCTGCACACCCGATCGTGACTTGGTCCGTGTGGAATCGTCCGAGGATTTCTCCGAGCTGTCTGCTGCCATAATAAATGTCTTGCCTGCAGACACGTTCGAGGTCATTTCCTTGGTCACGCCCGAGAAGGGCAGAGGTTGCAGTGAGCACACCAGTCTGGCCTCCACAGCTGCAGATCGTAACAAAGCACAGAACAGTTGTGCGCCGAAATCACGAGATCCTTGCAGGGTTTTCGCTTGTTGCTTGAAGTCTTCGAGCGACGTAAAAACTTCGGCATTTGAGAGGATAGCTTCCTGATCCAAGGTCAATTGGGGTACGTTAACATTATAAAAGAGGTGAGTAATACCACTCTTGTCTTTAAAGCATCCGGGTTCTGAGCCCAATGTGGTCGCTTGAGACCGGGCTTTGTTACTCTGAATCGTTTACTAAATGCGTCACTGATTTGATTCAGGCCGTCTATGAACGTCGTAGACCTGTAATGCTCTGGTTTACTCTCGGGTGGGTGCAGTAGCGATATCACCTGCTTCGATAGCATTCTCTTGAGTGCGCCCTAGCATGATCGTTAGAGCTGGAGAGTCGTTAAAAGCTATTCTCGCATGCTACTGCCACTGATGCCAACGATCATAGAACTCAAACATACCTGAAGCTCATCATCATTGCACCATCTATTACGAATCTGTACATGGCGTAACAGGCAGAGAAGATGGACTTTGTGGATGTCAAGTCTCAACCGCTTCTCCGCGGCCGTGATCGGCTGCCGTCTAAGTGCTCTTTTCTGTCTCTCGCGATCCTGCGGTCGGTCCAAGGTGATTTGAATCGACGAGTCATCCGACAGCGCTTCGGAGACTGCAGGCTGCAAGTTGATGTCTTCCCATTCCATGTCCGACTCCTCGGACGAGGACGAGGGTGAGTCATATACTGTCTGAACCTGTCGGCTGGTGGTCTCATCATTATTAACTGGTGTCGGAGCTTTTGGAAGTTCTATCTGAGCACTGGGGATATGTGTTCGCCCTGCCATTTTGCGTCTCTTTGGGATGCGGTCATCGTCGAGGAGCTGAGGCTCTCGCGCCTCAGCTTCGGCCAGCATTTCCCTGTAGACTTGGGGGATGCGCTGATCTTCAGTCGACCCATGACGCTGGTTTCGACCACTCTGGGTGCGCCGCGTTGAGCGACGAGCAGGAGTATTTACTGCCATTCAAATACAAGGACGGTATGTACAGAGGGGTATATGTACTGTACTCCGACGCGCCGGGGATCAGGCGGACATCATCCACGAAATGGGATCTAGAGGCCTGCCTATGACGCAGTGGGCGCCAGAGCACGTGATGAGTTTGCTGTGTTTGCACGGCAGCTGTCTCCCCGCTCGGGTGCTTTCATTTGGGATAATGAAGTGCACCGAATGTGATGGATAACTGCTTGGTGATTGAGCTTTACCTCCAGTCATACCGTAGCACTAGATAATCTGTGGGTATCCGTCGCAGATTTGGTCTAAGGGGGTTATAGATTCAGCAACAGAAGCACATACTTCGTTTCGCCTGACTGGATAGTAGCACTGTTGAAGATGACTATGTCCTGGGTATACAAGTCTATGGGACAATCAATCATTTTAATAAACTCCTGCTCCACAAAGTTCTCGACACCTTCGAGTGAAAGTATCCACGGTGTAAGCTGCAAGGTCAAATTCCCTACAGATAAACACCTTCCTCTTCCTCGTCTTGTCCCCCATCCGGTGTGTCTCCGGAAGCATTTCCACCTGTCGAGGCGGAATTTGGCTGACTTGGAGGCGTAGGTACCTCATGTGTATCGCCGTTTGTCTCCTTGACCTCGTCCAGCTCGATCCACTGTTGTCCGCGATTCTCGACCTCCGTTTTGAGTAGCGTGACCCTTTCCATCATCGATGTGAGCACATCTTTGTTCTCTGTGATATAGCTCTCCAGCTCTCGCTTTTCTGTATCGCTCTCACACGACTCGTCGATGAAGGTCTGCAGCTCTGCGTTCGAGCGATGCAGGTGGGCGATCGAATTGCGGATCTCGGAGACCTTGGCGTAGAGGACGGGGAGGGGTAGCTCTTGGATGGCTTCGGCGAAGGCGGCCGGAGAGATCGGGAGGGACTCGCCGGACATGATTGTAGATGTGTTGTCTGCGTCACTGGGGTGATCTGGTGTTGCAAGGTAGATTCCAGGTAGAGTTGATGATCTCGGGAAAGAGGTGCTTTGTTTGTTCTGCGTGCTGTCAGTTGGTTGTCTGTTCTGATCCCCGTTGCGACTGACGATACCGTGGGTTATCACCACGTGATTATATTGCGATAGCGTTTGACGTTACTGTATAGCGAAGGTGTGGTGCTGTTTGTTGAAGCCACAGAGACTTGGGGAAATCAGAGAAAGCTAGACATCACGTCATGAAGATCCTTTTTATGGAGAGCAGACTGGTGGTTGTTGCGACCATCTCCGGCGCTTTCCTGTGGTCCTCGTCCGCTCACATCTATTCAGCGTGCGTTACCCAAGAGTTCCCATTCGGAACAACTTCCGGCGGCCGGAGAAAATCGACCGATCCCAGCGTCCTTGGAATTTCTACTTGCCCGTTGCATTGTCAGCCCACGTCATTAACTTGCATTGTGGTAGCACGGTCTCCATTTACTGTCGCTCGCTATGAGCAATGTCTTGGGCATAGCATGGCGCGCTCCATGCCCGGGGCTAAGGGCCTCAAGCCTCTTCCCCTCCGTCAGCCCGAAGGCGCTTCCCCTCGCCAGTTATCTCACCTCTTCCCTTCGGCCTTCGAGCTCACGCCACAGAAACATCTTCTCCGCGCGTTCCTTCGGCTCTCTCCGTGATGCCTCTACACTCCGCCACAGTCGAAACCCCCTCGTTTTCTCCCCGGTTCCCACTCGTTCGTTCCTGACCTCCGCTCCGCTCCGCTCCAGCAAGCCTCCTGCCGTGGACCATGGGGTGAAGCCTCGCGCAGAACCCTTCTCGCACGCCGACATCAATGCCATCTTCGGAGCCCGTGCGAAGGTCTCTCCATCCATGGGCAACCGGGTCCTCGCCGTGCTCCACGGCCGACGACTCAATGGTACCCTGGACCTGGATCTCCCCGTCGACATCAGCCGCTCGGTGCGCCCGCACAGTCTTGACGCAGCCCTCGGTTACCTTCGCGAACATTACCCCGTGGACGAGGATGCGGCCATCATGGCCCGCATTGAGCGGGAGGAGCTGGAAGAAGAACAGAAGCTCATTAGGCGGGCCGAGGAGTTGGGTCTCTACAAGCCCCAGAGCGGCCAGTACGGAGCGGAGCTGGGCGAGAACAAGGACGTCTCCGGAAAGAGTGTTTTCCAGGAGATGCGGAAGCGTAATGAAGAGAGACTTCTGGCCGAAGACGAGCAAAAACGCAAGGAGTGGTTGGAGGGTGCGGCGCAGGATCAGGAGAAGTACAAGCGCATGAGGGAGCGGAACACTGCCCTGCAGAAGTTTGAAGATACCTCCGCTTTAGAAGGTAAGGATATATTTGTGACACTATGAAGAGGATTGCTAGGGTCTGACTGCTATATAGTCCGTGAGCGCGCGGATCCTCGCGAGCGCCCTCTTCTTGCCTGGGTTCAGAAGCACCACCTTCGTGCCATGGAGACGGACATTGACGTGACGAACATGACGACGGTACGTTCATCTTCCTTGTGAGGAATTATGGGATGTGAGTTGACAATGCGATTAGAGTCGCCGGATCGTGCCTTCGCTCATCTTTAGTCTGATTGCCCTGGGTCTATGCTATGCCTTTGCCGTGTTCTATGAACCTCCCGCGCGAGCAGATCGGCTGTGGCCAGACACTCCTCGCGCTGCCGCCACTTTAATGGGTGTCATCGGAATCAACGTCGGAATATTTGTTCTATGGCGGGCATGGCCGCCATCCTGGAGACTGCTCAACCGCTACTTCATCAGTGTTGCCGCTTATCCTCGTCCTTTTAGCATTGTTGGTAATGTCTTCAGCCACCAGAAACCCTTGCATTTGACTGTCAACATGGTAATGCTTTGGTTTGTTGGCACACGACGTGAGTCCCTTGGCCTACCCGTCACAATCCTGGTGAACTAACCTTCATCTTTCCTTTAGTCCACGATGAGGTCGGTCGGGGCGAGTTCTTGAGCTTGTACATGGCATCCGGTGTCGTCGGATCCCTCCTTTCTCTGTCGGCTCATGTTCTTCTGGGCCAGTGGACTGTCACCGCTCTTGGAGCCAGTGGAGCGATTTCTGGAATCGTCGCAGGCTGGTGTATACTCCACGCCAAGTAAGCATCTCTTTCTTGTTCGCGTGACGAACCCTCTCACTAATCATGTTCTCTGCAGCGACAATCTCACCTTCTACCTCCTCCCCGAAGAATGGCAAAGCGTGGTATCAGCCCGTGGGTGGTTTATCCTTTCCACCATCGTCGCTGCTGAAGTCGTCCGTCTGGCGATGACCTTCCGCGCCCCTGCCCTCGACCATTGGGCGCACATTGGTGGTTATCTCACGGGAGTTATCTGGGCAAGCATTAAGAACGCGAAGGAGAAGAAGCGGCGGGAAGAAATGAGCTGGTTCCAACGGCTGTTCTCCAACTAGCGATGGGCCACCCCCTCGCATGCCACGCAAGCTAGGCTCACCGGAGCCTTGTAAATACCATCGCTGCCATTAGGCACATGTATACTATATAGTACTTCGATTCTTGAAAGCCCTTCACGTCTAGTTGTATTTGCTGTCACTCTTTCCATTAATCAGGGGGCACGAGTCTCTAGGTCTTACTAGTGTAAACGTCTTCATCAATCGATAAAAGTACTCAACCAGCATTGATTTCTTTTTTCCGAGCTGCAGTGTGCAGGACCCCTTTCGGAGGGTGGGGCAGCACGACAGGCGGACGCCGTGGCTCTGGTCGGTCCATGTGAGGCCGCCCCGTTTTCCCTTTGCTTGCTCGGAACCCCTCGGCACCCCAGCGTACGCGTGAACCAGTTTAAGCCTGGGCGGCCCAGCAAGCTAAGCTCAACTTACAGAATTAGAGGCATATCAAGTACGGTACAGCCCTATAGGGCGGAGCAGAGACGTCATAGGGTCATCGCGACGTCAACGAAGCGCGACGCAGCGCGTCTGGCTGGACTACAAATAATTCTATGTTCCAAGTTGTCCCCAATCTCGACAATCCAGGACCCGACAAACCCCTGAATCTGATATCATCGCCCGATTTCAATTCCAGGCTTCCGGTACAGTGAATGGCCTTCCTCTTCCCTTCCCACCTCACAACCCGGCAAGAACACTGACCACCATCAGGCCCCAGCTTCCGTCCTCTACGAACACCCAGTACACCCAGCCACCACCACCAACACAACCACCACAACCACCACCACAGCACCCAAACCTCCTCCCTCCGCAAATGCCGCATGACCCAACCACAATGCCCTACCAAGAATTCCCGGCGCACGAACGCGACCCCCTCCTGGGCGGCACCGGCAACACCGGCAACACCAACACCACCACCACCCCAACAGCACCACCAACAACAACCAGCACCTCCCCCCGGCTCACCCGCCTGCACACCCACCTCATCACCCCCCTCTCTCAGCGCTGGACCGACCTCCTCCTCCTAACCTGCTACACAATCACCGGCCTCCTCGACTCAACGGCCGTCTTCATCTGGGGCTCCTTCGTCTCCATGCAAACCGGCAACACCGTATACGCAGGGCTCGGCCTCGCAGGCCTGGACCCCACGACCCGATGGCAGAAATCGCTCCTCTCGATCGGGAGCTTCTGCACGGGCAGCGTGCTCTTTGCCGCGATTCACCGCTGGTCCCGGAGCCCGAAAACCCGGGGCGCGTTGGTGTTGTCGTTCGCCCTCCAGACGCTGTGTATCGCCGGCGCGGCGACGATCACCAGCGTGTACCGGCCAGACGGTAAGAAGGAAGGGGATGGGCTGGAGTGGACGGTCGCCGTGCCGTTGGCGCTCGTGGCGCTGCAGAGTAGCGGGCAGGCGGTCGCGAGTCGCGCGCTGGGGTTCGCGGCGTTGACGTCGGTCGTGCTGACGAGTATCTACTGTGATTTGTTCTCCGCGCCGGTGTTGCAGGGGCAAAGGCTGGTGGCGGTGGTGAGGAGTCCGGATGAGTGGAGGCGGGCCGGGGCGGTGGTGGGGTTGTTGGTGGGGGTGGTGATCGGGGCGGCTTGGGCGAGGAGTGAGGCCGGCTTGGAGGGGGCGTTGTGGACGGCGGTCGTGTTGAAGGCGTTGATTACGGTGGCGTGGCTGGGCTGGAGGGGGGAGAAGGTTGGTGGGTTGGAGGAGTAGATTTGGGGATGCTTGGGAAGGTGTACGGGGGTGGAGAGGACCGGCTTAGAGGGTCAAGATATTCCATGATACAACGATCCAGTACAGTGCAATAGCTGCAGAGTTCGGATAACAGGTGAATCACGAGAATGTCATTCACGGGCTAAAGAGACTAGGACGATCTAGAGTAGACTATGTAAACAGGCTAATGATCTAACAGTAGGCATGTTTTGTGTAAAGCGATTGATTCTCATTCACGCAAACCCACTCCCCGAGGCTCCCGGATCATCAACGCGAACCTCTGACTCCCCTCTCCACCACGCTCCGTGTAATCCAGCAGTATCTCCTCGACGACCCTCCACCCGTGCTTCAAGTACGCGGGCACCCCTTCCATCGTCGCCTCCAGATAGATCCGGGCGTTACTGGCGTCTGCTCTCTCGATGCCCCATTCGAGAAACGCACTGCCAACTCCCATTCGTTGGTACTCCGGTAGGACGCACAGTAGCTCCAGGACTAGCCGTATCTCTAGCAGTCAGTATTGTTCACTCCTCATAAACAGCAGCATCATGAATTGACGCGGAGACCGTTAGATGTTCATGTAGAGTAGCGAAATAGAGGCGCACGAACCAAAATCAGTCTTCCTGAGATGCCTACCCCGACTCCGCCGTATCATCTCCTCGTACAACGAGTAGGTCCCCCGATTCAACTCCGGGGCGTACGCCCACATATCCCGCATCTGCGCCTGCGCGTCGCTGCTCAGATTGGTGTCCACGGCTCTTTCGAGCCCATGAATAGCTGGGATATGCCATCGGCCGTACGCGATGATGTCACCACCCCCCAAGACCCCCGCCAGAAGATGGCACTCAGGTTTGGCGAAGTACTGGAGGGCGGAGACGGTCTTGAAGGTGTGGACGGCCCGCGGATCGCAGCCCTTGTATGTGCTGCGCATGTAATTGGAGGATGGGAACGAGCGGATCTCGATGCCCACGAGGGTGCCTAGGTTTGATGCTTGGGCGTATTTGATTTCCAAGGGTGCGGGTGGATTGGTGGCTGGCATTTTCGAATTGTGAATTGCACTGCTGTGTGAGTGGAGGGTTTGGTTCTATGGATAACGGTTTGGATTTGTGTACTGGATGAGAAGAGGGGTTCAAGTGTTTACATGATTCATGCCATAGTGATGGCGATGACTCATGGAGTGGTGAAACTTAGGCTACAGTCGGAGCTAATAGAAAAAGTAGACTTCTTTGTATTCTAGGCTGTTCTAGTAAGTTGAAAAGTGGTACTAATTCGGACACAAAGTAGAAAGGCACGTTCTTTTGACTTGTACTAGAATATGTTACGGTAGGCATTATCTACTTGTCGTACACAGATACTGCTGTTTTCATAACAGCCTGGAGCAGTATATACTTGAACTACTTATTTCTGAACTTAACTGATAACCAAGCCCTCCATCACCGATAAAGCCGCCAATCAGCAGTACCTCACCCACAAGAGGGTTGGCGGACAATGGCTAGGTACTCGCTTCTAGTTATTGATTTTCCACAGTAGTCCGTGATCCAGAAATCTGTTCCAGTAGGTGATTGACTTGGAACTTAAGATTTTCAACCAACTCTTATTCCAATATTGGACGCAAGTATTTTATTACACTTACTGTTGTCAGTAGTCTTGGACGCATTCTTTCCAGAGGATAGAGATATAAAGAGGCGGAAGTGATCTGTTGATGGGTATTGGAACTAGTATATATAAATTGGTTCTTGGTCGCAAGCATCCCAAAACATTCACCAGTGTTTAACATCCTAGTCAATGTGCTTTGAGTGAAAGTTTCAAATATCTGGAAGTGAACATCCTTAATGTGCGCAGAAATCCAGCTTCATCGATAAGGATTTAGATTAAATAGATTCGCATCGAATAGATAAAGGCAGGCGGTAAAGCACGGCAGGACAGTCTTGTTCTTTCCCTTACCTACAGAAACATCGGCCTGAGTCGAGCAATGCAATGCAATCTACAACAATGTACTCCACTCCACTCCACTCCGCTCCGCACAACGATGTGATTAAACCCAGCCCAACATCCAGCATACTCAAGCTCTGCCGCTCAGTTCTGTGGTAGCTTTGTTTCCACAAACTGAGCCAGCAGACTCAGGTTCTTCCTCACACTCATGATATCCAGGAATGGGATATCGACCCGGAAAACCGTCCAGAACCAAGTCCGGAACTCCGAAGCAATCATGCTGTCTACCCCAAATTCGGGCAAAGGCTTCTGATCATCAATCTGATCCAAGGGCATCAAAATCAGATTGGCGAACCGCTTTTTCAAAAGTCGGACGATGGCAACCAGCAGACTCTCGGCATCTGCCTCGGACGCAAAGGTCCCCGTCATGGTTGACGGAAGCTCTTTGAACCAGGGGGCTGCCGAAGTCACCACTTGGCGATCGGATCCCCGAGCCTCGCCCGAGCCCCCAGCGCGCACCTCTTGCTCCGCCAGTAGCGCAGCCGACAAAATGCCCGCGCGCGCTTCCACCAACACTCCATGACTCGTCACGTCGAACCCGCGGGCGCTGAGTTCGCGCACGCCCGCCGGTTCCAGCCCGGTGAGCATATGGGCTTCATCCAGCTTATGCGCGGCCTCGCTCTCGAGGGCAAGGTCGAGCACCTGCAGGAACTCCTCCTCGTTGAGCGGCTGAATGCCCTTGCGCAGGAGGAGTGCCTCGATGTCGGGGTTTTCATGCAAATATCCCACCTCGGAGATCATGCCCAGTCCGACGGCGACGGCACATTTGCCCTGCGAGCGGCGCCACCGGGCAAAAGCATCTAGGAAGCCATTGGCGGAGCAATAGTTGCTCTCCGTAGCCGTACCAACAGTGCCGGAAACCGAAGAGGTGAGGAGGAAGAAGTCGAGCTGGTCGTCGTGGCCTTCCAATGCATTATGCAAGTTCCAGGTGCCTTGCCATTTCGGATCGATACCGGTATGCCAGGCCTCGTTGGGCATGCGTGTGAATAGAGCCTCGTGTAGGCCCATGGCCGCCTGCACCACGCCGCCGATGGAACGTCCCAAAGCTACACAGGCGGCCACTGCGGCTTGGACATCGGCAGCTTTGCTGACGTCTCCTCGCACCACGGAGACTTGCGCCCCGGCCCCTTCGAGACGTGAAACCAGCTGCTGAGCACTGCTTCGGTCCAAGCCGGAGCGACCGAGGAAGACAAAATGTCGCGCTCCTCGCGTCATCATCCAGCGACTCAGACTGCGACCCAACCCCCCTAGACAGCCGATGAGAAGATAAACCTTGTCGGAATCAAACGTGGTTCGGTATAGAGTGGGCATGACCTGAATCGTGCATTAGTGAATTTGCTCGAATAGTGTTTTTCTTTTTCCATTGGACGTGTCTGCGTTTACTTACCGGAACACGGGCTTTAGCATTTTCCATCGAAATGACCACCTTACCGACACGGTCTTTATTCGCAAAGAAACGGTATGCTTGCGCCACCTCGGTGATATCAAAGACTTTCAATGGAGGAGGCTGGATCTTCCCTTCACGGTATAACGTCATCGTTTCTGCCATGAGACGATCCCAGATGGATCGGTTCCATGAATCTTTGGCATAGAAGAGTTCCGACAAATCGAAGGCTGTGAAGGTGACGTTGCGGAGGAAAACGCGCATATCCAATTTGCCAGCGTCGAGAAGTTCCCGCTTGCCGATTTCGACAAAGCGACCGAACTCAGCGAGACAGTCCCAACTCTCGTGCATGAGGTCTCCTACCAACGAATTAAGCACGATGTCGACTCCACGGCCTCCAGTGGCATCCCTGATGGCAGGGACGAACGACCCATCTCGCGAATTGAAGATATGAGAGGCTGGCACTCCTAACTCGCGAATGAGGTAATCCCGCTTCGCGGGCGAGCCAACCGTGGTATAAACGATGGCGCCAAGCTGTTGGGCCAGCGTGATGGCCGCAATGCCAACCCCCCCGGAGCCGGCATGAATCAAAATGGATTCACCCGCACGGATATGCGCGCGGTCATGCAATGCGTATAAGGCCGTGCCATAGACGGTCAATAGCGTGGGAACTACAGTAAGTTCCTCGTGGTCGAGTAGCCGGTGGACGGCGCCTGCGGGCACACGCTCGGTTGTGCGGAAATGACTGGGCATCCATGCCACAGCGCGATCACCCACCTTGAGGTGTCGCACATTAGGCCCAACTGCAGTGATGACACCTGCGAAATCAAGTGCTGTCGTCTTATCCCGGGTGTCAACACGACCGTTGATGGCATATACGTCCTTGGCATTCAAGCCGACAGCTTTGACGGCGATATCCACGTAGCCCGCGGCAGGAGCGGTGGTCTTGGGCGCCAGCTGTTGGAAATGCATAGAGTCCATCACTCCCGCACGGCCAATAGAGAGCTGTGCTGGCTTGGCAGCTTCCAAAGTCTCCTTCTCTATCGGAGCTTCCGGGTCCAGTCGCCGCCGGAATGCCGCGTTGACGCCGAAGTCTGGCCCAAAGCGGCTGACGTAGAGAAGACCATCGACTTGAATGAACTCACAATCGTCGGCAGTCTGACGGGTGACTAGGGCCTGCACGACGTTCTCACAGGCCCGTTCAACGTGATCAAGGGACTCCAGCGACTGGAAAGATCCGAGGTCGAGGACAGAGTACCGTAGAGCCGGCTGTTCGAGCATCAACGCGCGCGACAGACCGTTGGCTAGGGTAAGGTTGGGGTCAGGCTGACTGCTGAGCATGTTGGCCCCGGTCACCCATAAAAGATCGGTTGCCACATCAGTCATGACACGCAGCCAGTCCATCTGCTGCGGGCTCATCGTAGCCAGGTATTCTCGCGTGGCTTCCAACAACGACACGCAGATATCCTTTTCGGTGAGCCCGACGGTCTGAATTTGGTCGATGGGGACGATTTTCACGGCACTAAGAGTAGCCTTGGTCGTGAGAAACTCAGATAGGCTGTTGGCGAAGCTAGTCACTGCCGGGGCTGGGTTTTGCGGAATCTGGCTGACTATCAGTATATCATCA